CATACATACAAACTTTCGCCTTTGTGATATTAGTAAGGATTAGTTTTTTAGTATAAATAGCTCGCATCATGTATAATGTATTTACTCATACTCTCTCTCTTTACCTGTGTTTGACTAGTTAATGTATTGTAATTATCTTCCGCAAATTAAATCAGTTTGCTTTATAGTCCCGAGTGTTATTTATTGGAAACATAGTCCAAGTAATAGTCCTCGATTAGTCTATCTTAGTAAGTGGAACAGGACAACTTAAATATACACAGCATCCACTTCAATGACTTTTCACAGGATCCACAGGATTCGTATTTCATAGAAAAGCACTGTTTATCGATGACCTTTCAGTAAAAAATAGCTTTCTATTAATTTTTTAAATAATGTATATAAATCTACTTTTAACACTTTTTTTATTTTTGAACAGCCTATAAAATAGAATACTTGGAATACAGAGGGGTTTTATGTACTCATTTGGGTGTAACATGGTGTATCGATACCATGAGATATCAATACTTTTGTTCCGATACTTTTTAAGTATCATACTATGATCCTCCGAGTTACAAACAACACGTTTTGGCTACTTTCTACCCCCGCTGATAGAAGATTAAAAAAATATTTACACAAAGTAACAGCCCCCGAAGACGCACGTGCAAAGCAGTAATTCCGATAATCTATCAAACTTCGTACCCAATTTGTCTAGGCTTAGGCTACTCTTATTAAATTTCAGTGTAATTCACCGAACTTAGCGCATTGGCAAATAAAAAGTGACTGGCCACAAACGTTTCAAGGCTATTCGCCATCTGATCGTTTACGACCAAATATAAAACCCCTCTGCGTTGCGTAGTAAAATTTAATCCCCTGTTTGATAATAGATAGTAAAAAAACTTATACTACAGTAGTTAGGATTAAACCATGGTCTCAAATTGTTTCAAATTTTATCGCAAGCGTCTCGAGGGACAAAAGTAAAATCGCGAATTACTAACACGAATATTAATCGAAATTTTTCGTAGGCTGCAGGGCGCACCGCGAGAATTAGTAACATGACGCGCGACGGTGATTATCTATTAGTGGTGGGATACTATCGATAGTGAGGACTATGGAAAAAAAACATGTTATTTACTTGTACGACAAGTTTTTAAGAAATAACATACAAACCAATATTCAAGTGTTAGAAAGTAAAAACTATAAATGTAAAACATAAGAACCATAAAAATTTATTGTGTTTAACATAAGAATGATAAACTTTTTTGTTAAAAAAATAAAGTTTTTTTAACAAAAAAGAACCGACTCTAAATAGTTTATAATAATCCTAAATCCAATATGATAAAATCTTGAAAAGCTAACCTATATAACCTTATATTTTGGAGTCGGTGCCTTCGTTCACCATGGGTAATGGTAGTACAACATAATAATAATAAACTTGTAGACGCTCTCTGGACGTTTACAAGTCAACCATAAAACTTTATAGCCAGCCCAATAAAACCGCGCTCCGCCGCGTCGTTACTTAGAACCGTTATAAAACTTTAATGGAAAGTACAACCGCAGGTAGATTAAAACCTCGGGTAGAAACTAACCTAAAAGTCACAGATCGCGTATCGAAACAATGCCAAACCAATTGGGACGCTCTACTAGAAGATATCGAGCCATCGCACACCGCCTACTGGCGGTTGGCCCGTAGTTTGAAAGCAGAGCCCCGTGAATCCCTACCACCATTAGAAGTACCTAATAGCGTTTCTCTAGTCCTAGATGACTCCGAAAAAGCCGAATGCCTTACAGACAACCTAGAGCAGCAATGTATGCCATCGTGATTACATCGATACAGCCCACCTAACGGAGGTGGATCGCGTAATCGAAATTAGAGCTGCGCTATTACCGGTAGGCGAACCTGTAACCTCAGTGACCCCCAAAGAGGTCCAAGATATCATTAAAAATCTCAAACCCAAAGCCGCCCCAGGCCCAGATAAAATTAGTAATAAAGTCTTAACCTTTATTACTCATTTTATCTCCCCCCTGGGCCGCTTATCTGCATACTAGCGACCATTTTAAACACACTTCTCTCCAACTGCTCCTTCCCGGACCACTGGAAAGAGGCCATCGTCATCGGAATTCGCAAGCCAAAGAGACCTGCTAATAAGTCCTCTAGTTCGACCTATCAGCCTCCTCAGTTGCTCGGGGAAGCTCTACGAGCGGCTCATATTAAATAGAGTCAAAGAGTACGCAATTACAAACGACCTTGTCCCACTTGAACAATTAGGCTTTCCAGCTAGATACTCCTTTCTCGACCAATCATACCGCCTAACGTGTTCTATTCTGAAAGGCCTTAATCACCCCAAACATCTGAGCACCGGGGCTCTCTTCTTCGATGTCGCAAAAGCCTTCGACAAAGTCTGGTACAATGGCTTGCTTTACAAGCTGTTCGCACTCAACGTGCCAGGCAGACTCGTGCACACCATCCGGGCCTTCCTGTTGAATCGCTCCTTACGATACCGAGTAGGGGGCACCCTATCTACGAACCTCACTCTCACGGCCGGCGTTCCTCAAGGCTCCTCTCTCCCTTGCTTTATACAAGAAACAAAGCAACAATGAATACTGCGGTTATGTAATAATAAGGTTAAAAGATAATTGAATATTTTTAATTATGTTAGATACATCGACCATAATTGTGTAACAAACTTAAAAGTATAACTTTATGCTCAGGCTTAGCACCGACTCCGGAAATTGTTAAATTTTGTTAGGGGATAGGTACGAGTAGGTTAGGTTATATAAGTTATATATTCAAGATTTGCTTATATTAGATTTAGTATTATTTTATATTAGATTTAGTAGTATTATAAACTGTTTAGTGCTAAAAAGTTTTCTGAAGTCGGTTCTTTTTTTGTCAAAAAACTTTTTATATCCTTCAAATGTTGAGATACTCGTTTTTTTATCTTTCTTCTCGCTTTTCTTAAGTGATAAAAAAGCTAAAAAAATATCGATAAAAATTCGTTACATCGATGTACGATATCTATCAATTATCTATCAAAGGGAGGTTTGTGGATATAGGTTTATTATTTATAGATTATTTTATATTAAAAATGAAAAATATGCTAGAAATTATGTAATACATTCACAATTAGACGCAATGGCTCAATATGGAAAGTTCATAAAATAATGAAAAATTTATAAGACACAATTATTTTCAGTTCGTTCATTTTTCATTTATGTTGTTAGTAACACATAGTTTGTACAGTGTGTTGTAACCTCTATGAGATTTATAAAAATATAAAGAAGAACATGTCTAATGTCAGAGCGAGAAAGATCGAGAAAGATCGAGAAATGAATAACCAACGTGGTATCTATTATAATAGCTTAGTTTCGTATCACCGTAACTAATTAAAACACGGACTTGATTTGACTACGCAACCTTCTGAGAGTTTCAGGCAAATACTTTGTACAACTTGTATTAGAACGTCTAAGAATTTCCAAAATTAAAATTCTTAGAGGTTCTAATACGGCGGCTTTGTAATATTTGTTACCGTTTTTAATGAATTAAATTCCTTAATGTCCCTAAATATTTTACAATCACAATGCAATCATGGCACATATTGAACTTATTTCTCATTTCGGTAGCGATAATATTAGCACTTACTATAACTTGACTAATTAAGATTGTTTTCTTTACAGATTGAATGAATAATTTATTTGAAAATGGATGCCCAAAGTACTTATGGTATTTATTTTACGTATACATCATTAAAATAAAATTATTACACTTTTTAAAGTATAAATAATATTCCTTTTTTTTTGTTTTAGATACTATTACTGTAATGGGGAGTTATAATTTTCATCAACCAATCAATACATCCATACTTTATGAAGATCACGAAAAAGAACCCAACAAAATAATTGACCTACAAGACAACAGCTTGAACAGTGCAAATTTACAGATAGACAGGCAAAGTTTAGATTTGTCCGTGCAGCAGGAAAATGTATATACTGTAAGAAAAGAACCAATAACTAAATTAGAAATAAATCATCATCGCAAATTGTATGGTGATAGTGTTGGAATTTCAAAACATAACTCGAAGATTCGTAAGAAATACACAGTATGTAAAAACTTTGCAACTAGGAACCTAGTAAATAGAAATCCATATCCAAATGGCAAGAAAGTACACATAAATAACAACTCAAGAGAAGTAAGGTCTCAAATAAATGAAAGCGTTCTGTTCGACGAAGTTGCAAAAAATTTATCTTTAATATTGAAAGCTTACGTACACTACGACAAACTTATTGGCAGGTGTGATGATACGCAATATGCAGCTCGAATAAGAGCCAAATATTTACGTGAAAAGTATTTCTACTTCGACAAATCTCTGCCAATAGCAGAAGAATTTCTTCTACAGCGTGAAAATAATAAACAATTTATCAAAAGCCTTTTGCTTAAAGTAGTAGAATTTTCAAAATTCTCACCCGATGAAATGCCTTACGAATATCTTATAGAGCTGTATAATGGTCTATTAAAGTGGACTAAGATTAAAACACACAAGTTAACAAGCAATGTTCATAAAAATTTAACAACTACTGGAAATTCACCAGCTGAGATATTACTTCCAAATATCGATTTTAAATCAGAAAACGGTGACCAAAATTTGTTTACTAGAAACATTTTGTCACGCGGGCAACCTGGAAGCCAAATTATAATAAGTGTTGATCCAAAGATCCTTGCACAGTATAGAAATACATTTAATGGGCAAAATCAGTCAGCTTATTCAACTGAAATAAACGATCCCGCTCAGAGTTTTGCTAAAACTAATTCACCTAATATGGAGATGGAAAGAAATGTCACACACCAAATTTCACATACAAATTTCCCTACCATCGATGATATCAATAGACAGAATCTGCAATCGGCAGATCCAAGAGTACCATTTTATTCTGGTTCCATGTATTTCACTGAAAATGACAAATGTATGCTTAACAATGGCACGCAAAACAGCAGTTATAATGTCATGTTTACAGAAGGTAGACAAATGAATCTTGAAGATACTACAAGGAGTTCAATATCTAGAGATAGTGGATTTACCAGTCCTGTTACGTTGGGTTCACCATTAGAACTAGAGGTGAGTCGTACAAGTTGAATCACGTACTGTGTCTTACCGATACGAGAACGTATAAATACGAGTTTCAAACTTCTTCTTCTTCAAACTAGGTCCATGAGTACCTATTTAGACTTCCTAGTTTCTACATTGATTCATCCATTCTTTTTTTACATCATCCGAATTAATTTTTTTCGTTTTGGTATAATTTAAGACTTATTTAATATGTGAATTTTTCGTATGGATAATACTCAAAATGATAAATGAATAGAATTGGAATCTCAAGGCCTTCTCAATGTGATTGTATAGTAAATTACTACACTGAATACTATACAGGTATTATCACAATAACAACTCGATATAATAAATTAAATTGAATTATTAAAACAATACTAGGTAGCCACACTCAAACGAATTGTAAAACAATATTTAAATGTGAAAGTTTAAAATATACAAAATACGAAATAGGTACCAATTCAATCAATTTTTACGGTAGTAGGGCCACGCAACAGTTTTCGCTGTTGCACGAATGGGCAGGTCCATCCGGGTTAATACCACGACCTCACAGAAGACAGGCGTTAAGTAGAAGTGATGCACTTCTGCGTTTCGTTTGGTGAGTGAGGTAGCCGGGGCCCACATTATTGAGAGGTGGCAACGCATCTGCAACCTTACCGGGTGTTGCAAATGTCCATGGGCAGGCGATTATCACTTAACATCAGGTGAACCTCGTTTGCCACTTTCTCACATAAAAAAAAATCTAAACTTACTTCCCGTTTCGCCTGTATTTCAACTATCCTTACTAATATTATAAAGGCGAAAGTTTGTATCTATGGATGGATGTTTGTTACTCTTTCACGCAAATACTACTGAATGGATTTTAATGAAACTTTACAAAAATACAGCGTATACACCAGAATAACACATAGGCTATAATTTATGTACATATTTTTATGTATTCTGTCTTTCTGTCTGAATGTTACGCCTTCAGCTTCTACGCAGACGTAGTCGCGGGCACTCAGTACACTAGTACTAATAATATACTAAAAAAACTGAGTTGAAGATATTAAACAAACGATCTTATCCCCTTGAGATCCACCTCTCTCATCTGTATAACGCGTCCTGTTCGCGACTCGCAAGAACCCGAGTACCGCTGCGTTCCATTGCGTTGACGAGTTTGGGACTCGTCAATACCTATAAATACTCCATACGCGATCGTACTATGATACTAAGTCTTGAGACGTATTGAGTGAATGAAACTTGACGTCAAAATCGGTTCCAGTATACACCATGCTGCTACAACAGCGACTTTAAATTAACACACTTCTAACGCTACGTGCCAAAAATCAAAAAAAAAATATAAACGTTAAAAAAATCCATAATTGAAAAATTGATTTTCAAATAAACTAATTAAATAAAAAGAAACAAAATTTGTAACATCCTATAAAACGACAACTGGTTGATTCATACATTCAGCGGCTTTGTCATTCGTTGCCACAATGTCGCATTACAAGTCTCTTCCTCTAACACAATCTTTATTTTTAAATTAATGAATTTATTTGCTTTGTGACCTTTAGAAATGAACTTTACGTTACAGTCTTATGCGTCTTCTAAAATTATTTGTTTTAGAAAATTTAATAATTCGGTAAATTGATGTTTAAAGAAAGCAAATTTTTAATACAATTTTAAAAAATTGTCTTCCATATGTGTGTTAATTTATGGTCGCGGTAGTAGTTGTATACGCCTCACCACTAATCAGAACACAGTGTTTTAAGTTCTTATTAGTCTTTTTTTTATTGTAAAAATGTACCATTTGCCTTAAACATTACATTTCAATTACAGTACAATAGCTTTCAACATCAATCTTCACAATACGGAATAGACACTTCAGCTTTGCAAATGCCAAGCACTACTACAACAACAATCGAACCAAATTTTGCCCAAGAATTTTCATATGCCTGGAATAGCATTGTACCTTAACTATAAAGTACTCCTTCAGGCATTTTTATTGCAGCAGAAATAACAGGTAATTCCTTTTAATTCAAAATTGTACATTTTCATTTACGAACACACTTCTTTTGCCGACGTGCACTCAATGTTAGTATTTTTGTTTTTTTTTGTCAATTAGCACTGAATTTCTGAACACAATTTCTAATACAATAATTCTACACGTTATGTATTCAAATAACCTTATAACAATGCAGTCTAAACATAATTATTTTATTTTTCAGCTTAATAAATAATGGAATAACCATTAATCAGTATGCATCACAGTTGTATCATAATTATAATACAATTGTCAAACAGAATCTCAAAGCATGATGCTCTACAACCCATTACAAGATTAACGGCTTGCGTTCCGGAATAAATGGTGCAGGCTGTTAACCAAGCACAAGGCAGCCCGTGATATAAAAACCTGTTTTTGGGATGGTATTGATAAAAATTTGAATAGTGTTCAGGAAAATATACTAGATGAAAAACGTCCAGCGACTTTGATTTTATGAAAATTGAACTCAGTGAACAGACATTAGGAATCGCATCATACAGTTGTCATAGTAATGAAAACCGTACTTACGGCCCGAATGTTGTGCCAAAAAGTTGATTAATATTAATAAAGAACAAATAATAATTGATTAGTTTTCCTTCTGCAATAATATTCCTACAAACTTTAGGGATATATGTCTGCAATCTCAGAAAAAAATATAACTGAACCCTGACCCTATTGGGAATATCTCCAAAAAAAATATCCCGTAAACTTTGGTAATAAAAACTTACATATTGACGCATTTTCCCCATTTGTCTGCGATTAACAAAGGCAGTTTTAAAATTCTCACATATATTCGAAATATATTTTTTTTGTTATTATTTCGAAAATATGCAGGTTTCCTCACGATGTTTTCCTTCACCGCGGAGCACGTGATAAGTCAGCACTTAAAGTTAAAAACTTCATTGGTGCCAGCACCGGGGATCGAACTCAGGTTGCTCGAGTATATTGAATTAAAGGCGAGCGCCCGGACACTGCTATCACGGCTCTTAGGCCTATTGTGATGTTCACAATAAATTATGATTTGACGAAACATTTGTATTGTAGTCCTAATATATCTGTCACATTTTAATATTTAATTTTTGTTTGTATAATACCTATTTTTATTTTATTATTGTAATGTGCAGATATGTTTTTGATTACAAATAAAGATTATTATAATATTATTATTATCATTGTCGGGCCGTGATAGCTCATTGTAGATAGGTAGTGAGGTTGATTTTTTGTTTCTTTCGGAAAAAAGTTTTTAACTGATGAAATTTAATAAAAATTAATGTTTTCGGCTAACGCATAAGATTAACATAAGCCTCCTCAATCTGAGAAGAGGATCTAGTTCTGCAGTTCGCAGTCTGTGTTATAATATATTAATATGTACCTACATAATATGTATGTATCGGCGTCGCGGTGTCAACAATTATTTTAAACTATCGAAATAACACTTAAGCGCGTGATTGCAACTAAATAACTCCATTATATTTAAACTAAATTAACTAGTGGAACGCGGAATAATGTAGGACTCCAAAGAGTACAGCGGTCAACCATCACTGAGCACGAATGTCAGGACATTCGTTAGGGCATGCCCTAAGTCATAGATAAGACATATATACTGAAAAACCAGTGAACTAGGGTTGAGGCGTATATACTGGAACAGGTATAAATACCCAGTATGAACATACCAGTACGCACACCGGGTATGTACGGGAGAGGCCCGTTCCATACCCGATAGGTATGGCCGCCTCGTCCGACGGTGGCGGTATATAACGCTCGCGACAACCCGCCGGCCGAATAGGTACGAAGTTCCCCGAAGGCTTACGGCGGCTCTTCCCGATCATGCCCGAATTGAAACGTATGATTTAGGCATTTTATACCAAATAATTCCTTGAGATAAATTTATTCATTATTTCTATGACCATAAGTTAAATAAATAATAGCGTTATAAGGGTAAACAGTAATATTTATTTTGAATTACTTTTTTTTTATAATAGGGTTCTTTACGTCAGTAAAGATGGAGCTTATTTTAGACTGATTAAATCTTAATTTAAAAAAACTGATTGCTAAAAAAACATCTAAATGTTCCAATTCCAACCAAAGAAAGGTCCAATTCCATACCGGGTCTCTAAAAGGAGGCCTGAACATAACTAATACCTATAGGTATTTTGATACTGGGTTTTAGCACCGGGTATACGGCGATACCCGTACCTTTGAGGCCGGGTATAGAATGTTGCAGGTATATCTCATGCCTACAGTGAACATTTGGACACCAGCGTATACAGGTTGATGGAGGGAAGTTAGAGACACGTTCGATGACTTCATCAGTGCACGATCACGATACAGATATTACCTGTGCGTCACGGCCAAAACAGAGATCCCGTAATACGTATTAACAATAATGAAGGACAATAGTAGAAATAAGGATTGAAAGTAAATCCGAAAGGATGGTTAAACTTTTTGAATTGACAAGAATGAGTTTCTTAATGATCGGAAAAATCAATTCAAAAAGTTCAACCATCCTTTTGGCAACGCAAATGACAATTTGAAAGGCATTTTTTTGTGATAAGAACATGGGAAAATAAATGAAGCATTATTGCGACGAATAGGAAAAATGTATGACTCCTGCATCCTAAGCTAAAACTGCGCTGTATTAGCACAGCAGCTGCCACTGATGAGGTTGACGACGAAAATCAGAAAAGCAGAATCTAAATTTCGCAATTTTATTTGATTAAAAATCAAGATCGAAATCGATTTAATAATACGAATGTTGCATGCAATAATGCATGGAAAAGAAGGGTTACGAGGGGTCAGTTTTTTTTTTTTTTTTTTTTTTTTAATTATAGTGGCTCCATCAAGGATAGCTTGATGATTCTGCCAATGTCAAGGTTGAATAAAACAAACTGTTATTGATAAAATTTCCTAAAGTGATGACTTTTGTACGGTATTTAGAACATCATACTTTATTGGTTGAGATACCTGAATAGAAACTAAACATTTTGTTAGAAGATGAATAAAAATAAGTAAGGATGACTAAAATGATAAAGGCGACACAAACAATTACAAGGAGGAGAAATGGAAATGTTAAAGCTTTATATTATTAATACAAAGGAATTTATGTAGTACTTTGACAACGTGGAAGTCATTAAGAGTTAGAAGGAATGGGATATTAACAGGTCTGGGGAACTTTGAGGGAAGGATATCATATAGGGGGACGTTAAGATTTGGACATGAAAAAAACATGTGTTCCAGAGTTCCTTCTGCTAAGCCGCAGTGACAAAGAGAGTGGTCCAGTATGCGCAGTTTAGCTAGAAACACTGGGGAGCAAACATGCCCTAGTCGCAAGCGAATTATTACAGAAGTAATTAATTTACTAAAAGATTTGTATTTGAAAAACCACGGCTTTGATGGGATATTATCCTGGATACTGGCAAAGAATCTCCCTTTCACAGTTTTGGTTTGTTGCCACAAATTATCCCAAGTTTCCATTAATTGAGGTTTGGCCATAGAGCACAGATCGCGAGCTGGGATGTTAGAGTGACATGGATCGCCTATCGAAATAGCTTGTTTAGCATAATAATCAGCCGCTTCATTACCCAGAATACCCACGTGGCCTGGAATCCAGGCTAGGACAGTTTCAATACCCTCTCTTTGTAACTTAAATAATGTTTCTTTTATATTAAGAATAATTGAGGAGTGGCTTTTACAGTGGAAGGGAAGTTTCTTTAAATCCTCCAGACAACTACAGGAGTCACTGAGGATCAAAGTCTTACGAAAATGAGATTGGTTAGAATCTATATACTTAACTGCTTCTAAAATGGCTAATGATTCACCTGTAAAAATTGAACATTCTGAAGGACATTTAAAACTCAAAACTACACTGTACTTTGGTATATAAACGGACGCACCAATAAGGGACGAGTCTGTTTTTGATGCATCTGTGAATATCAGAACCCAGTTTGCCCATTCATTCCTCACAAGCATGTTAAATTTCCGGTTAGCATCTAAGGTATTCTTGTCGATGCCAAAGTTTAAAATAATATTAGGATTAAAAATTAAAGCATCATAACTGATTGTAAAAAGAGGGTGGTTTTCTAAGCAGAGAACAGAGAAATGAGAGGAATTATATCTATTATAACTATTTACTAATAGAGGATGGGATTTGTTTGACCAATAAGGCGACGAGTTAATGGAGCGAGAAAGGAGACTTAAGGGTTTTAAAATGGGATGAGAGGGGAACTGAACAGCTTTGGAGAAAAATCTATCAGCAAGAAACTGTCTACGGATGTTTAAAGGAGGTTCCACGCACTCCACTTGGAGGGCATTAATAGCAGAAGATTTCATAGCCCCAGTAATTATACGCAGGCACTTAGACTGGATTTTATCAAGTTTACCAAGAGCCAGCTTACTGCAAGGCTCCAAAATGAAACAGCCGTAATCAAAGTGGCTACGAATAATTGCATTGTAGAGAATTTTTTGGACGAAAGGATGAGAGCCCCAACGAACTCCCGATAAGGCTCTAAGGACATTGGTGTTTTTCTCACACTTAGAATATATATACTGTAAATGAGAAATACCAGTCATGTTGGAATCAAGGATGACTCCCAAAAACTTTGCCTGGCTCTTAAATAAAATTGGTTCACCATCTACAGATAAATGCAAGAGGGGAATATTCCGTTTTCGACTAAAAATAACTGCATAGGATTTAGGAATAGACAGACTTAGACCGTGATCTTGGAGCCAATCATTTAGATAACCTAAGGCGGTAGTTACTTGAGAACATCCATTAAACAGGGAGGAGCAAGTTGTATACAAGGCTATATCATCTGCATATTGAAGGATTTTGCAGAAGCTATAGACAGATAAGTCAAGATCAGCAGTATAGAGATTGTATAGGAGGGGACTTAGGACTGAGCCTTGAGGGAGACCCTTCCAAACGAGACGGGAAGAAAGAAGAGAGCCCTGATAGCGGGCACGGATAGAACGACATGTAAGTAAATTAAAGATAATGTTAATCAGCCTCATAGGGATATTCAGTGTGAGCAATTTCTGCCTAAGTATTGGAAGCTGAACATTATCATAAGCAGACGAGATGTCAAGGAAGACCCCAATAACATGCTTATTACAAGAAAATGCAAGTCTTATATCAGTTGATAGGATGCCAAGACTATCCATAGTGCTCATACCACGTCTGAAACCAAATTGATTGTTTGAGAGCAGACCTCTATTCTCAAGGATCCACTCTAATCTATTTTTGATAAGATGCTCTACGATTTTGGCCATAACAGATGATAAGGCAATAGGCCGATATGATGATGAGTCGCTAGGGTCTTTATTGGGTTTTAAAACTGGAATAATAATTTGGGTCTTCCATGACTCTGGAATGCATCCAGAAGAAAAAATTTCGTTTATAATATTAAGAAAAAAATAATTTTGACGAACTTGAAGATTTTATTATAAAAGAATAAGTTATACCGTCAACGCCTGGAGAAGAATCTCGTAGATTATCAAGAGCACAGCAGAACTCAGAATAGGAAAAAGGGCGATCCATTCTATCGAGTGGAGGAGAAAGAGAAGGAGGGAGGGGAAAACAATGAGGGGTCAGTTAGAAGGAGGATAGATTTGATCCTGACAGAAGCATGATCAAGTTAATGGACTCAAAACACCTTTATAGCAATGTTACCCAACATAAAGACGAAGAATCGTAACTTTAAGTTTAATTTTATTTTTTAAATTATATGTCATTTAGAATTTAACTTAAAAAAATTGGTTTCTTTACTTATGGTGGTTTCTTTGTTATTTTTATTACTTTGTCGTTTAATCAAGAAAACATTCATGTTTTTAGGTTTAAACACGACAGCAAACAATATACTAGATTTTTAGTATTTTCTCGTTCTCTTTTGGTAGAATTCAGTAGGTTTTAACCTCGTCAAGCAGTAGATTCGTCAAATGAAATCTGGTCACACTGTCACTGAGTCCTGAGTGTCATTTTGTTATTGTCAAATGTCATGTTCAACGAATATAGTGCTCTAATATTTGCAAATAAAAGTTAATCTAAAATTTACGTTAAAAAATTGATTCCTAGAATGTTTTTTATTTAAAATGTAGTAATATGTGAAATTGTAAAATGTTAACAACAAAAAAAGCGAAACTATAGTTTGTACAAAAATGTTACTAATTAATTTCTATTTTTCGTACAATTTTAGTTTCTGCTCTTTTATTAGGAGTAATTATAGAAATTTTAAGATGTGGTATGCAGCTTTAGTGCGATTTATTCGGAGGAGATTAGTACTAGGCATCATATTCGCGTCTTCACTCACTTACTGTATTGTCAGTTTTTTGAGAGAGGCTAGTATAGTAACATTTTATCATAAATCTTTTATTTTAAATATAATTCACCAAATAAATTTTTAGGCCACTTGGTTTACGAAACAAATTTTATTTTGAATACATATTAACCTCCAGGGTAACAGCAGAAACATGATGTACCAGGATATATCTATGGAGCAAAAGCCATTTATTTGGAGAACACTTCAAGAACATAATGATACAAATGATACTAAAATTTGTAGAAATTCTGTACAAGGGAAAGCAATAATTGTTGATGACAAAGGTATACTGATCTTATTATTTTAAGGCCAAATATAGTGTTAAAAATTACTATTATTTATTTTGAATCTTTATATTAAAATTTTCGTTTGAAGTTGTAAAAAGCTGTAAACATAAAGGTAGATTAAAAGACATTGATATTTTGAGAGACATTTTAAGCATACATATTTTATATCCTAATTAACTTTCCATTTTCTAAATTAGGTTATGTATGCCAGAGGAAGGATATGATGAAGAATGGCTGTTGCAATCCAGATGCAGAGTCTACATCCAGATATAGTTGTGAATCGTGTAAACAAAATAACTGCTGCATTGAATATGAATTTTGTGTATCTTGTTGTTTGGACCCAAGCAAGGTAAATACAATGGATTTCATGTAATTTATGTTATGTGCTGAAAACAAGCCTATATAAAACTATTTGTAACTATAAATTATTTAGTGATGACCAATCATTTGATCAACTTTACAAATGCTGAGCCTGTAGCCATACTGGCTACAATTTTGACCCAAAATTAATTAAGAAGTCATTGCTGCTGAGATTTTAATAGAATCATCATATACTATACATACATATATACAGCGTGTCGTTACCACCGCGACAATAAATGAACACATATATAGAGGATAACTTTTTAAAATTTTATTAAACATTTACATTCTTTAAACATCAATATTTACCGAGTTATAAAATGTTCCAAAACAAACAATTTTAGAACACTCTTACATATAAAACTGTTACGTAAAGTGAATTTAAAAGAGACAAAACATACTGTTTGAAGGATTGTCGCATTACAAGCCTCTCCTTCTAACAGTATGTTTTGTCTCTTTTAAAGTGACTCAACCTATTCATATGCTTTGTGACCTTTACGAATGAACTTTACGTTACAGTTTTATACGTAAGGGTGTTCTAAAATTGTTTGTTTTGTAAAATTTAATAACTCGGTAAATATTGATGTTTGAAGAATGTAAATGTTCAATAAAAGTCTTAAAATTATCCTCTATATGTGTGTTCATTTATTGTCGCGGTGGTAACGACACGCTGTATATATATATGTGTGTGTGTGTGTGTATGTATAGTATATGGGAAAACCATTTGTGTAACCCACAGATACTTGTTTAGCATGTTTGTCCATAGGAAATTATTTTTTATAAAACATCCTTACAACATAGGATGATGTTATCCTAATGTGAGAACAATGTTTTTAAAAAAAAACTGCTTAGAAGTCTGATAGCAAATTTTAAAAGTTCAACGAATAATAAATTAAATGAAAATATATAAAGTATTATATATTATCTAAAATGTGATCATAATAGATAATTAGTCAAAATAACTTTGCCACTGCCTTCTGGGTAATCTATCTAGCCTTTTTGCAACAGTTTATCTATAATAATCACAGTGTAAATGACAAATAGAGTGCCACCAGTAAAGATACAAAAAACTTTAGAATTCAATAGTAAAGTCAACACCTCTCATTCAGGTATTATTGTAAAATGTTATTTAAAAGTATTTCCTACTGCAAAGTTGCTCTAGGATGCACTAGGCATTGCTTGTTCTCCATGTTTTCGCGTCATGAAGATATTAGTTGACAAGAGCATCTGCCTCTTTTTTCCAATAATTTATCTTAAACACATTTTAAGTTCCATCTTGAAGAAAAACTAATACTGATAATAAAAATTATCAGATTATATTTAGTTATTTAACTTTTTTACTTCTGAATGTAGTTTTTCTTACTTTTTCAAATACATTAACAATTTCTGTTTTTTTTTTTAAGTTTCTTTGGTATAAAATTAACTAAATTGTGCCAGTAACTCAAAAACATTTGATAAGGTGCATTCGGCTAATTCCGTAAAACGGGATATTCTGCTAATCACAATTTTTATTATGAAATATGGCAATAATTTTGCTCTGGCAACGTTCACCTAGCCGCCATCCTAAGATGCCAATATTAAAAATTTTTATTTAGAAATTATTGCCATATTTCATAATAAAAATTGTGATTATCAGAATATCCCGATTTACGGAATTAGCCGAATGCACCTTATTGGAATGCTCTATTTGCAAATATATACAGCGTGTCGTTACCATCGCAACAATAAATGAACACACGTCTAACGCTACTTGCCAATAATCATAAAAAAATATTAACGTTAAACAAAATCCATAATTAAAAAAAAATATTTTTCAACATACTAATTAATTAAAAAAGAAACAAAATTTGTATCACCTATACAACTCGCGTCACAGCGTCGTATTACAAGCCTTTCCTTCTAACAGTATGTTTTGTCTCTTAAATTCATTCAACCCATTCATATGCTTTGTGACCCTTACAAATGAACTTTACGTTACGCTTTTATAGGTAAGGGTGTTCTAAAATGCTTTGTTTTGGAAAATTTAATAATTCTGTAAATATTGATGTTTAAAGAATTTAAATGTTTAATACAACTTTAAAAAGTTATCCCCTATATGCGTATTCATTTATTGTCGCGATGGTAACGACACGCTGTATATTCATTTAACCCATAACTTCAATCTGACTTTTAAATAATGATGATTTTTAAATCTTTGTGCTTACATGTATAAGTCATTGTTTTCTGTAATAACAGTTGTAGATTATTTTGTAAATTAAATAATGTTAATTAATGTCAAAATTATTTTTGTTTCAGAGAGACATGTTAGAATTAGTTCTTTCGAAACTTTCTGCAGAAGAAAATGTACTGTTTCGTTCATTGACTGATGACTACGAACTGTGCTTGACAAAATGCCGCACCAGTTCTCATAGTGTACAACATGAGAACTCGTATAAAGACCCAACACATAAGCATTGTTTTGGTGATGAGCCACCAGGAACAAGGACACCTGACTAATGTTACCATAGTGTAAGGAGTAACATTAAGAACTTAGTAATAATTCTTAAAATTTAATTTTGTTTATGAATAAATTGTAGATATTAAATTTCAAGAAGAGCGCTTACTACTACCATCACATTACTTTTAGATTGCGTAAATAAATCTAGTACATACAATTATTTTAAGATCTTCACCATTATTGAACATTCTCAAAACTAAGCAGTGTTAAACCAAATTAACTTTGGGAGTTGGAGTTGCTGATATTAAAATTATATTTTCATACTGAACATTTTGGAATATCATAATGACTAAATATTAACTTTATAATTCTTTTTAATTTTTACACTATACCCGATATCAAAAATATGTGCAATTCATGAAAGAGAATATATCCAAATTACTACTAATACATTATTCATTATTATAATAATTATTATTCAAATGGCAGTGTTAAAAAAACTTCATATCTTAATATGACTGTCACAGCCTAGTAATCTTACATTCAGTGAGTTTAAACTCTTGACTAAAGCTTACCCTGTATAAGGGTCTTGACAATTGATGTGATAACAATTGGTGAAAAAGGTGTCACACCTTATATATGGCGAAGATGATTCTTTTGGATTATGTTTTAAATAATACTATTTTTCTGTTAGTTTTAGTCCAAAATTTAAAATCACGAATTTAAATTCTTGTCATTTGTCTAACTGAAATCTATCATGCATAAAGGTGTTCTCATGCCAATACAATATAATTATATAGCAATAGACTTTAAGAGTGAAAAAAATTAGGGAAAAAGCACTTTATGTAACACTTTATAGTTTTTTGCACACAAAACCGTAAAAGGCAAATAAAACAGTTCAAATTATCATATATTTAGCCCTTGTTAAGTAGTGTAAGTTAAGTAGGCTTACTGTCAGTAACTGGCGCTCAGTTACTGATAGAAGCCTACTTAACTTCGGCCTTTATTATTAGCTTCTTGGCTTACTAGACTGTGATAATCTTTTATATCTTATGAAATAATTTTGAAAGTAGTTTAAAATATTTAAATGATACTGAGGTATAAAAATTAATTTTCCATTTTAAGAAAATTAGCAGACTGTTAATGTTAAAACTATCACATCTATATTATTAATTATTAATATCAATCAAGGAAATAGTGCCCTTATAATGATAGACTTAGAAGTGATGGAAATGTTGTATTGTCAAAACACGAAGCAATTATTATTTAACAAAAGTTAAGAAAATTTTATAATCTCTTGTAATTGAGCATACTAATATTATTATTTACAAATTTTATGACATAGCTGTTATTCATTTATTTATGACTAATTAAACAATATCATGCACATTTAGTTCTTCCTACTCAATATATATTGGTAACATATTACATTATATCTAAATTACTAAATTCATTAATGATATATAAATGGAACAAAGTTTGAACAAATACTAAAAATTTTTATGGAACAGGTTGTCATATGGTTTTACTTTTCAGTTCTCATAGTAGTATTGTAAATTAATATTATCTATATATTTTGGCAAATACCTTTCATTATATGATTATTACTGTTTTAAAAAAAGCACTTACATTTTTAATTTTTTACAATAAAAAGGGGGGCCTTGTGAGACTATTATGCATTTATTAACAAGTTTAAATTAAATATTCTAAAATAATAAATTATTATAAAATATAGTAAATTTTCAATAAACATGTTTAAGATTCAATTAGAATTTGTATCTAAGCTTAGAAGTAATTACACAAAATTGAAACACCAAAAATAGAAATAGATTTTAATATTATATACAAATGCTGAAAATGATATGTAGTTATTGAATATTTGAATTTTAACTGCAATATAGGTAAAATAAATTAATTAGATTAAGAGATGACCAACAACTTGCTTAGATGTACCTATATAAGCTTTAAAATTAAATTGAATCAGTAAAATAATGAATTTTTAAATTTTGTGAATGTTGAAAGTAATTTTTTTTATCAATATAAAACTAGTATATATATATGCGGAGAAAAAATAATACAGCATATTTTCTTAAGGAAATACCTTCAATGAGATCTTTTCTCTAAGAAGATTCATAATATACCATTAAATTTTGTCATCACTATATGTCTAACTCCTCTGCTTCGTTTTAAATATATGTACATTACATTGACTATTGATATCTCCAAATGTAACATTCATTTAAAAAACTAGTTATATGTTTTACTGTAGAGAAATTAGATCAGTTGCTAAAATTATTTGTAAAAATAATATGTAGGTATTTAGAGTTCATGAAAAGTTTTTATTAATTTCACAGAGAGGTACTATCTATGTTATATATACCACTATTGTTTTTTTATATGTTTTTATGTATACAAAAACCAGCAGTTATTCGAAGATACTGACAAAATTATTAACGGACAAAATTATAAGGTTGATAAAATGAAAGCATGTTTAAATGTTAAAATTGTATAATATTTATTAATAAATATCTGTTTGAATGAGTATTAAATAATATTCTGTAAAATATTTTGCAGTGTAAGGCCTTTTTTATAGATCCTTACCCTAATGTTAACCTTTTTTGTATTGTATATAAGAAATCATTGTTTAAGAAAAGAGCAATTCTATTCTTTCGGCTACCCACACACCGTGTGTTTTGTTTGTTATATTTATTTTAAAACTTCTGAATCAAACATAAACAGTGGTTAATTATTGTAAAACCAGTTACCAGATTCAGGGTCATAACTTAATGGAATGTTATATAGTATATTTTGTATTAGGTCACTAATTTTGTAATAAAATATTTTTACTAAGTTCAATATAATTTTTATGCCCAGAATTAGAACCAACAAAATACTGAACACCAAATTGACTTAATTAATAGAAGTGGATATGCATCTTGTATTATTATCTTTGATTTAACGAACAAGCAATGAGATATTCATTTACGGGCTAAGGGGTCTGTATTTATATGGACTGTCATAAATTACGTATATTTGTATAGTCTAAAGATACTTGATTTGTGAAAGGTGGTCAAATAGATGGCAGTAATTTTATAGCTTCAGTACCTACGACGAACCGTGATAACCGTTGCCCATTGACTTTTGCAGCAACCAGTTGTAGATGCGTTGCCACCCAGTCTCGGCAACTTAGGGCTTTTAGCCCCAAATTAAGGACGAATATACGCTTATGGGTCTTTTTTTAGAGTGCAAAATTCTAGGGCCATTTTATGGGTCGTGAATACTATTATAATACATTTCACTGACCAGTGATTAAAAAAAGGAAAATGTCTATTAATTAATTTTTAGTTAATATTGTGTTGTCAATTATTTCAACTATTTCTAATGAAAAGTAATTTAAACTAAGTTATATTTTATTCACCTTAACAAAACGTAAAACTTATTTAAACAATATTTTTGAACTCAATACAGGGTTCTTTAAGGGCCTTTGAAAAATGCCTTTAGGCTTGTTTAGGGCTATTTCATTGATTTTAGAGCCTGTTTTTAGTAGTTGGCAACACTGTTGCCACCTTTAAAAAGTGTGCCCAGCTACCTCACTCACCAGACGAAATGCAGAAGTACAACCTACAACGTAGTAAGTATGAAAGTACCTCTTCGAGTAAAAGTGTTTTGTGAGTTCAACACTACCACTTCACGCCAGTCTTCTGTGAGGTCGTGTACTTACACAGACGGACCTGCCCATTCATGAAATTGTGCGTGGTCCTACAACAGTCAATATGCTTAATAAGTTTGAGGCATTATTATGCCGAAAGACTAAAGGAGAGATAATTGAGAAAAAAAAAAATTATTCTTTATGTTTAAGGGACATCGTGCCCTCCTATGTTATACAACGTTGACTTATTACTAATACTTATTTTAAAGTTTTAGCCATAAACTCATACAGTAGATTTGCATTTTCACTATTTGGGTGTTGGTTTCACATAAAAAAGAATGAAAAAGGCCAACATTACATTTGCTTAAGTTTATGTCTCTTAACAAGTTATTCCTATTGGACTCATGTCTAACACATTCCATCAACAGGCGATGAAGGTCTTCAGTCACTCCACATTCCTCACAATTTGGTGAATTAGTTTTCTTCATAAGGAAGGCAAATTTGTTACATGGAATGTGTCCAGATCTGATTCTAAGAGCTGTACATACTAGTTTCATACACAAATTAGTATTTGTGAACCACGGTACCCGACAGGGATGGCACTGAATTGTTTTATACCATATACCCTTATCTAAAGACCGTTTATCAAAATATTAATTGAAAAATAATTAATTTAATTATTAATAAAAGCTGCGCAGAGCGTTTTGTGCTGTAAACAATCGTGTTATCAGTATCGTTTCGTTTTAAAAGAAATGTGTGTCAACGTATCTGAATTTGCAAAAATCTGTTAGCGAAATCGAAACTTATCTTTATGAAAATATTTTGAAATACTTAAAATGGCTACAATAAAAAAAATTGAAAAGAGATCGAGCACTAAGGTATACTAAGCTTAGCATCTGTAAATTTCTTACATTTGAGAAATTTGAATTCAAATCCTGAATACACCACTTGAAGTAAAATGAAATAGCAATTTTAAGTGGTAATTTATCACGTGTTTGTGTGAAAAAATTACAAATAAACTGGGGAGGGTTGGTTATATATAATCTTAGAAATGTCACAAAAATGTTAGGTACCTACATAGATTACAATAGAGATTATCAGTCTGAGTTAAATAGATATGAATCTTAGAAATATCTTTAAAATATTACATAGATTAGATTACAGTTAGAGATTATCAGTTCGTCTATAATGGTACCCATAGCAGGCTGTGCTAATAATGTAATATAATCTTGTAATCTTTGCATTAATATCTTAATGCTGAAAAGAAAAATTAACGTACTATAAAATATGTATAATAGTATTGAAAAATTTATTATAATTTCATTTGACGAACTTGAAAATTGTGTCGTAAAAAATATTGCTATTATTATGCTTTATGGTATTTCATTTATTTTCTTTTTAACTTTATGTTTTAAAAACTTTGCACCATGCAATTTAAAAATGCCTTTCGTAATGTGAAAAACGTAAGTGAACAGAATTATGTATTCTAGGATTAATAATATTTTTAGTTAATTTAAGAACGTCAATATAAAAAATCAGCTTGGAATGACTTTAGTAATCAAAAAAAAGTTCCAACCCAAGCTTAGTAAAGTTGGGCACAAGCACACGAGTTTCATCTTTATTTAGCATATCCCGAATATAAAAACGCCGGGGTTCGATTACTAAGTTGGTATTAAGTTACGAGTAAAATATATATTGAAATATTACACTAAATCTTTTGTCTCACAAACTCATCGTAAAATGTATAACAACATAACATTACTAGTCTTCTAGAAATCACACTAATGCTAAAACAACAAATAGGTATAGGTATATTAATTAAATTTTGTATGAAAGTAGATATTTAATGATAAATAATTAGTACATAGTATTTTCTGCAACACCCGCACAGCCTTCCTTCCAAACAGCCCCCTAACCTCGGACTTTGCGCCAATATCACCCGACGAAGCTCAAGATTGTCTTCGCCGCATGTTTCCGATTTACAAATTTGCAATGGGGCCTGACGACATACTGATCGAGGAGTGGAAATCTTTGGGCTTTCTTGGTGTGGACGTGTTTACTGATCTGTTTAGGATTGCGGTCGTTATAGGGGGATCAAAATCATGTGCCACACATGATTTTGATCCCCCTATATCTTCGTCGTCTTCGGCATTCGCGGCCTGACGCTCTAGCCACTAAGCTAAACGGCTGATTGCCACACCGACGAAAATCTTAACGTCTTTTATCTACATTGTTTTTTAGCATTTGAAGCAACGCATCTATTGTTATATCCTTTCCAGCATACAAACATTCCTACAGCGGCGACAATCTTTTTGTACTTTTTCTACAAGTTTTAATATTTATATTTGTTATTTTTTCGAAAATATGTAGGTTTCCTCACGATGTTTTCCTTCACCGCTTAAAACGTGATAAGTCGATAAGTCAGCACTTTAAATTAATAATTTCTTTGGTGCCGACACCGGGATCGAACTTAGGTTGCTCGAGTAAATGGAAATAAAGGCGAGCGCCCGGATACTGACATATAAAAAGGTTTTCTTTTAAATTAGTTGCTAGTTAGCTAGCTTTAGAAAAAAAAATGAAAACCGGGTAAGTACGAGTCGGACTTGCGCACGAATGCTTCAGTACCATTATTTATAACAAAAGAGCAAAAATTTTTTTTTATTTTATTTTTTATTAGACAGCGATTAGGTAGGACGACCCCCCACTAGATGGAGTGACGACCTGTGCAAATGTGCGGGAAGTCGATGGATGCAGGTGGCTCAGGATCGTACTTAATGGCAGTCTGTGGGGGAGGCCTATGTTCAGCAGTGGACTCAAACGGGCTGAAATGATGATGATGAGACAGCGATTTTGGTACGAAATTCTTAAATACTTTTTTCCCTACCTTCATTATGCCACTGAATTGTTTTGTATTGTTATTAACATATGGTTTATATAGTTTAATTACATTTTCATCAATAATATTGAAAATAAAAATAATGTTGGTCTTATTTCCACAACCTCCTTGCCGAACACATGTTAAATTTTTTTATTGTTTCGCATCAAATTTCACTTAAAAATTAATAAAAATCTGTTAAGAGTTTTTTTCAAAGTCCCTTCGTTTTGATTTCTTCGAGATACATACGTACGATCGTTTACATACCTTTCATTAGTGAAGTCTTCGAAATGTCGCGATTTTAAAACCCGTACCCGAAATAAGGTAATCCAGTAGTTAAATATTTTTCTTTCTCCTACTTCCTTCTCTTGGTGGTTAGGTTTTTACGACCAATCCTTCTTGGGAATGAACCTGGGTGTGACTAGTGTATCCAGAACAATTATCTTTGCGTCACACAAATACTTGTCCGTGTGGGAATGCAATGGAATCGAACCCACAAACCCCGTTGGCGCAGCCAATATACATTAAAAAAATAATTAATCAAATTTATATGGAAATTTGATGACTCCGTGGCGCAGTTGCCAAGGTATTGGCTTAGGCGTCAGGGGTCGTGGGTTTGATTCCCACACGGAACAACTATTTGTGTGACCCACAGAAAGTTGTTTCGCATCTGGGTGTTTGGCTGCGTAAAATTTATGTTTGTAAAACGTCCTTCCAACACAGGATAATGTTATCCTAAAGTAATGGCAATGTTTTAAAAATTATGCATATTCATTAAAGATATCAAATGATCAATAGGATTGTGAAAATAATTTGATGTAATATTGAGATTAAAAATATATACGAGATAAAAAAATTGGATTGCAATCATACGTATCAAAAAAAGTGTAGCCGAAATAGCTGCCGTTCTAAACAACTGGCTGGTGGGTGACTGCCGACGTGTATCAACAAACTGTCCTTTGTGGAGTTTGCGCTAGGCAAACGTGTTTAGTTCAGTCGTCAAACGTCTTTGAATACCAACTGTCGTCTCAGCAAAATGGTGAGGTGAGCTCCAAATACGAAAATATTTTTAAAGTGATATTAAGTGACAGTGATTTATTGTGTAATACATGTATTGCTTATATAAACTGACAAAAAGCCAATGGTATTATCATATCAAACTAAGTTTTATGTATAAACATCGCAGCCACATCCGCAAAAATTGTGGTAGGGCCGCTCACCAGTTTTGATGGTGCCGTAACATGAAATAAAACTTTAACGATCGATTTTGTAAAATAATCTTTAAACTTTAATTGCTTTGATTACACAAATAATTTTAATATCTTTATGTTCTTTGCAAATTAGTAATCATATAGCACTTTTCGAATAAATTAAAAAGGTATTTTTTTTATTTATATTTTATAAATTATTTACCTAGTTAAGTAGTAACAAGTGATATGATAATGGACCATAATTCTACACCATTTATTTTTTGTACAGAACTTTATATCTCAATATCAATAATGAACTGTGTTAGGGCTACGCAACAGCTCCGGCTATTGCAAGAAGCGACAGGTTCATCCGGGTAAGTACCACGACCTCACAGAAGACCATAGTCTTCCAGTGATATAGTCTAGTCATACTCCTGCGTTTCGTCTGGTGAGCGAGGTAGCCGGAGCCCAATTTATCATAAGGTGGCAACGTATTTGCACGCTATGGGTGTTGCAAACGTCCATAGTCGGCGGTTATCACTTAACATCAGCAGCTGCCATCTTCTCGCAATTTACTCCACTTAAAAAAGTACTGAGTAATGCACTTATTGATATTTTTATAAAATTTTTTGAAGTATTTATTACTTAAAAAAAAATTAAGTATGCTATTATGATTCAGCCAATTTAAAGTATATTGCAATACGTATTTTCGCCGAAAAATTCAAAAGTGCAATTTGAATAAAATGCAGCTAAAAATAAACAGTTATGTACTACAGTAAGATTTTTACATAATTTAAGGTATTGAAAATATGCAAATTACTGAATTATTGTAATTCTGCGTAAATAATAAGTCATTAGAGAATAATTTAAATATTAACAGAAATACTATCGCTATAAGATTAAACACTATCGCCGAACTTAATTTATCGCAATAATTTTTAGTCGTTTTTGAGTTATTAATTTAAATGTTTAATTAGTTTGATTTTTTTTAGTATTAACGCCCGGTTTTTGAAAGACTGATCAAATTAACTAATCAGTTATCAAATTGCTTGTTAAATATTAATTGATTTGCCAATAGATGGTTAAACACTTTGATTTCAAATCGATTTGAAAAAGAAGCATTTTCAACCAAAAAAAAACAAAAATACAAGCTCAGATGACATTTAACAAGCCATCAAATAAATGATTAGTAAATTTCTAAGTTGATCAGTCTTTCAGAAACTGGGCGTAAATCATCAGTGCAAACTAATTGAAATGTACACAACTGTGTACCAATGATAAATACAAAATATTTAATCTAGGGAATCAATCATAAAACAACGTGTATTTAATGTGTCGGAACCGGTTTAAAATAATAACACCAAAATGTTTTACAACAATCGAACATATTTACGATAATGATTAATCATAAAACAACAAAGATGTTGTATTTAATGTGTCTAAACCGGTTTAAAATAATAACACCAAAATGTTTTACAACAATCTAACTTATTTACGTTAGTGATTAATGCGGCCGGATGCTCTTACAATTACGCTGCGTGAAATATGAAAAGAAAAAATGCAATCGCATATCGCATTTCTTTTAATATAGGTACATGAACCACGCATTTTGCTATCTCAATCGTGTAAAGATATAAAGTTTTGATAAGGAATGTTAGGGCAATTATGTATATGTTGTGTTAATCCTGCAATAAACAATGTACTGTTGGCCACTGTACCGAATAGCTTTCATTTCCACGTGTATTTCCTAATCAGTTACCTCCGGGAATGCCTGTCATCTTTACCACGATAATTCCTATTAAGAGATATGAGGTTGTCGTTAAACGTAAAGCTACTGGATTTTGCTAGATTTTGGAGTTTGATAACAGAAATTTGCCGGCTGTCGCCTCTAATAATACTAATAGGTTACATTCAGTTCTTCTGCGTATTGTTGATAAGACGATTTTCGAAAAATTAACCTGCCAATAACAGGACATGTTCCTCGTTTTATGTGAGCTAGATTTGATATTATCGTCTTAATTTAAGCTAACTATCGGCCCTACTAAGAGAATTAGAAATGATGAATGAATGGATCAGCCATTTGTCATATCCCTCCCTTCCCCTATTTTTCCTATTGAACCTACGTAAGTTGTTATCTGTATTTTTAAATGTAGGTACATGTCAGGTTCTATTTGACCTTAGAAGTCATTCTGTCCAACCTTTACACTGGTTTTTTACAAAGACAATAAATATCACTTAGTTTCACAGTGGTTTCAGATTTACAGGCTTTTAATAAACGAAGGAGGAATTTTCATCTATATCTTTGCCATAATTGCTAGTAATTTGTTTACCTAAACGGTTAACGTTACTCTGCATATCGTTGCCAACTAATTGCAAGAACTGTAGGACACAATCAAAGAATATATGAAATACATGACATTACAATTTCCATGCTTCAGATTGTGCAATGATTTATCTACGAGAGAAACTGCTAGTAAAATTACGGAACATTTATCACTCAAGACCCGGCACATATCCGTTTAAAAAATCGACCGATAGATAAAAACCGACCTACATTACAAAGTATGAACACTTTATTTTATTTTACGATGAAATCTAATGTAAGTTAAAAAACAACTACCCTAGCACCAGCCAACTTTAATTAAAACTTGCTAAGCAATTTCTATAAACGTAATTTTTAGTACTACTTGTTTTGACTACCTAATTATTGAATGTATTTGCCCTTTATCCTTAACGTATCTACCAGATTCGAACTAGTGAACCAGTCATCGAATTTGAAATTGTCATCCTGGGCATTTTATCAACAGATGCGTTGAATTTTCTTGCATTAAATTTCGCCAAGATTAGGTAGCAGACGACTAAAAAGTGAACATAATATTAGTTACATAATATGCCGTCATCGCCTTTTGTAGCAACCAGAAGATCTTCTGTGATACATATTTCCTATAATAATCACTTTTTTCCAAATTCTACTTTCCAAAGTTGTCAGAAAAGTATTTATTATGACTCCGGCTATAATTTTTAGTTATTTTGAATCATTAACAAAAATGGCAACACTACAAACGTTCAAAAGTACTCAACCTATTAATCTCTAATGTTTATAAACATTACTCCCATGTTTGATTCAGAAACTAGCAACTGTAATTTGATCATTAAAATTATTTTAAACGGCGTAATAATGTGATCTTTGTAAACCTTGTCCTATATTTACTGAATTAATAAAATCTTCGGTATTAGCTCCAAACAGGTCGAACATAAACAAAGTACAATATATTTTAACTCGTTATATTATAATGTATGCATATTCTTCAAACTTAAAATTCCTTCTTGTTTCTTAATTTTTGCTTGAATAAAAAATAAGGGCTTACTATGGTGATTTTTCATAACTTTTAATATTATGAACTAACTGTTGTCGACAAATTATTTTTGAAATAGTTAGTAAAGAACATTATGAAGTAAAATAAACACAAAAATGATTTACAGAAACCAGGTCAATAAAAATATTTTTAATCATTTATTTATTACTAAATAGTCGCGACAATGCATGCAGCCATTAAATAAACAATGACACAACAAGCAACATTGACAGGTGCTCATGTTGCCGATGCGTCCAAAATATTATTAGGCGGTGTTAGTTTGAAATTTTTTCGTTGATTCCTTCGCGGGAGAATAGAGATTGTTCTGTTGCAATGGTCATCGGTGTTGGGGCATTTCTCGTTTGACCGCATTATTAAAGTTGTTGTTTCGCCGTAGTTTGTGCCGGTCGCGGCGCTTTGTGGTGGTCAGCGTGTTGGCGGTGGCGGTGGTGGTCGCGCTGGTCGCGCTGCTGGTGATCCAGCCGTGGAACGGCGGCGACCACCCCCGCTACCCGCGCGCCGCCGTCGCCGCGAATGGCTACGAGTGCGCTTCCATCGGACGGTTTGTACTTTCACCGATGATGTTTTAATGAAGGTGACGCATGTCCACACTGTGCGGCGTTTAGAAATTGTCGCGCTTCACATTAATGTAACACGTTAATGCGACATTTGATATGTAACGTATGATACGGTAAAGATATAGCAGTCTATAGAATTTCAATCTAATTACACGATTTGGTGTAATTTCAGTGCCTCAGTTTCGGTGCGCTTGTATCATATCTAACTCGTATTTGTATATAATATCATTGACTTTCACAGAATAGCTGGTGCTAAGAGATCAAAAACAACATAGCATCTGGTACCATCTAACTAAAAATAAAATCTACGATCACATTTAGCCTTTATATTGATACGTCATGATATACTTAGGTACCTAAAGTCGTGAGTATTCTAATTTAATTTTTCTCAAAAAACAAAGATGCAGGTGCGGTACGATAGTGGCTGGGGATGTAACCCAAGATACGCAAACGTTTGCGGTAAACAAGAAATAATCAAATCAATCGACGCTTTTGCCATTGTTGTCTTTGTTTTCTATCTTCACTAGTCTCTTTTCTCCATAGACATTCCGGTGCTAGTCACGTCAAGTTATCTATTATGTTACGAAAAATTAATATTAATTATGTCTTGAGTTTTAAAAATCTTTAAAATATTTGCAGAACTCGAGAACAAAAATCTTAAAATCTATGAAGATTTCAATACAATGCTTGCAAATGCAAATCTAAAAAAATTGTTTTAGGACCTTAAAAATATTTTCCATTTCTTTCTTTTGCTTTATAGTTAGACAAAGCTGGCACAATGGTAGTAGCGATTCCCTGATGTTGAGTAATTACAATGGAAAACCACAATACTATGCGTATTGTGAATGTCTATCGTAATCATCTATCGGGTCCATTCCATCGTTATAATCCGTACGATCGCAGTTGCAATTCAAACCTTTATAATAGCGAACCAAAAGTATTAATACCTTACTTTGGTCTACTATGAAGCGCCACTATTCCCAGAAGATTCTCAACGTTCAGGCAGCTGCAAAGTATGCTGCGTGGCTCGACCATAATAAGATTTTTTTTTCTTTTAATTCAAAAACTGGCTAGCACTTGACTGTCATCCCACCTGATGGTAAGTGGCGATGCAGCCGCTGATGGTAAGCGCGCTAGCTCAGTAGAAACCTATTCACTCTTGCCTTGAAGATGCCAACGTTGTATTCGGATGGAAAGGCGGACGCCGGCAGGCTATTCCATTCCTTTGCTGTACGGATGATAAATGAAGAAGCGAATCGCTTTGTACGTGGGACGTCGACAGCATAAGGGTGGAGCCCCGACGAACGCCTGGTTGTCCGATGATATGATGGGAAGGGGCGGGAGGAATAAGATCATGTAACTCCAACGCACACTCTCCAAAACGTGTCCTGTACAAAACCGAGAGGCTGGCGACTCTACGCCTGTGCTCAGGGCTAGTGAGATTGGTTTTAACCAAGTTATGGTCACTAAGCCTTTCCGCATGGCTGCCTTGGCCTCAATGGAGAGGCCATTGAGGCCAAGGCAGCCAGATGGCATTTTTCAGCCCCAGCCCAGATATGGTAACAGTACTCCACACACGATCGGACTTGAGCCTTGTATAGAGCAAGAAGCTGTCCCGGCGTGAAGTACCGTTGCACCTTTGCAAGGACGCCTAACTTCCTTGCAGCTACCCTGGCTTTAGACTCAATGAACCGCCCAAAGTTGAGGTTTGAGGATATTTCTACTCCCAACAACTGAAGGCGGTCGGTAAACTCTAAGGAAAGACATTCTGGAAAGTAGGAGCCAAGTTGAAAGGACTTCTTTTTGCGGAAAAAAGATACGCCTGCATTTTGGAGGCGTTGAATCTCACAAGATTGGCATCGCCCCATTCAGAGACCGCCTGTAATGTAAGATTCAAACGCTCTACCATGGCCTCTCTTTCGGACTGGATGTGATCTCTACATACAATCTTCAACGTTAGCCCACTCTGTATATAAACGCACCACTGTCGTTGCAGCGAGATACTAGAAAGGGACGGATCCGCTGTTGACGCGGCGATCGCGACGCTGTTCTGCGAGGGCCTCGGGTGCGCGCAATGTATGGGGCTCGGCGGCGGCTTCCTGGCCACGGTGTACGACGCGCCAACCGGCCAGGTGCGGGTAATCAACGCGCGGGAGAGGGCGCCGGCGGCAACGTACGAGAACATGTACGACAACAAGTCCTCCGTGGTTGGCGGCCTGGCGATCGCGGTCCCCGGCGAGCTCAGGGGCTACGGGGAGCTGCACCGGGCGTACGGGCGGCTGCCCTGGCGGGACCTGGTGGCGCCCGCGGCGGAGCTGTGCCGCAACGGGCACCGCGTCAACGAGTACATGGGCCGCGTGCTCAGGTCCTACAGCGACCGGATCAAGGCGGAGCCCTCGATGAGGTAGGTTTTGTCGTGTGGCGCGAATGTACTCATCATCATGATCATCATTTCAGCTTGTTGGAGTCCACTGCTGAACATAGGCCTCGTCCACAGACCGCCACGAAGCACAATCATGAGCCACCTGCATCCATCGAGTTCCCGCACATTTGCACTGCTCGTCACTCCATCTAGTGGCGGGGTCGTTCCACACTGCGATGACCAGTTCGAGGCTGACATTCGAGAACCTTTCTCCCCAGCGGTTAACGGTTCTACTTGCTATATGTCCGGCCCATCACCACCTCAGCTTACTAATCTTCTGAGCTATGTCGGTTACTTACGAATGTATTATGTTATATTAAATGTATATATCTTTTCAAAAGGTTGTCAACACATCTGTAACCTTCGGGTGTAGCAGATGTGCATTGGCCGCGGTATTCACTTAACATCAGGTGAACCGCATGCTCGCTTGGCAACTTTTCACAAAAAAAAAGATACATAAACAATCAGACACAAGGAAATCACTGTATTAATAACACAATAGAGTAGTGGGGATCTAACCCTCACCCTCTTGCCTAAGAGACAGGTTCAGTGTCCACTACGCCCATCGGCTCATCAATCCGTATATGTGTATATATAGGTTTAAGCTGAAAACCAACGATACCAAACCAATCTATTGGTACGGAACATATAGTTTATTTCTTTCTATTTTCAATAATTTCGAATATTAATACATAAATATATCTTATATATCTTATATCTATGAAAATACGATATATTTGAAAGTTTAGCTACGTGGATAGCAGAGTTTATAATAATTATCAAAAATTTGTTTTAACGGACTACTGTCCACTAACATAGTATCATGAACTTTATTTCTCTATAATCGTTTTAAGTTATGTCAAGAGTAATGTTTATAAAACACAACATTATCATTATATAATTATCATCTTATTACCCTATAACCTAAAAAAAATTATCATCAAAACATGTCGTTTTTCAACGAGACAATTTTTTAATTCATTAAAGATCTGTTCTTTATCTATTCAAAACAAACACAATCGGTACGCTATACGAAGTAATTATAGACAGTAATTAATTATGTTTACAGGGTTATTGTCGGGCGTTTTACTTCATTAATAATTAATAACATAGTATAAAACAAATTCGTCCCGCTGTCTGTCTGTATATACTTAGATGTTTAAAACTACGAAACGGATTTTGATGCGATTTTCTTTAATAGATAGAGTGATTCAAGAGGCAGGTTTATATGTAAAATACAATACCCGTGCGAAACCGGGGCAGGTCGCTAGTTAATAATAAAACTGGACAGTGTCATTGTAAGTAGGGGTGTTTGTCATGTGCCATAGGGAAATCTACGTGAACCCAGAGACCTTGGAGGTTTGGAACGAGGGCGATATGATACGCGAGCCAACGTTGGCTCGGACATTGGACGTAATAGCGGCGGAGGGCCCGGAGGCGATACACAACGGTTCGCTCACGGCTTCCCTCGTCAGGGATATCGAAGCTTTCGGTGGTATCGTAACAGAAGACGACCTCAGGCACTACAGGTGAGCTAAGGGTAGTAAGGTAGATTTATCAAATACACGTATTATTTATGTATATTATTTCACAGATGTGTTTTTTGTCGGTACACCATAACCTAACGGTTATGGTGATTCTTCGTGAAATCTAATGATTCGTACACCATTTCACCATTTAATTTTATGTTTGCCGTTAGTTAGTGTTTTTTTTTTTTATTAATCTTTCTAGTAAATAATGTATTATAATGGCATCTATTGGCAATTTCCTTAAATGACAATTTAATTAAAGTGACTGAAATCTTATTTTCCACTGAATCGTTATTTTAAAAATAAGATACCTCTCATTGATAGGTATCCTTTTAATTCCATCGATGCAATATATACTTGCAATTACAAGAGCTGATCAAAGACATGCTTGGGTGAAGTTCGTCTATCCGCATTGAAGTCACGTGGTGAACTATTCTCTTAAATTGTCTCTCATTTTCTTCCACCAGCTGTAGTACACGTACAATCCATTCTGCGCGATTTAAAGTTATATCACGTTCCCGTCTCAACGGCTGAATAGATTTCAACAAAATTTGGTAAATAATGAATGAAAAGGAATTTAAAAAATTATACCTATCTCAATCTGCAAACTATTGTCAGAAGAGAAATTGGTTGTGCTTTGGCCACATACGAATGAAACTAAGAAATCAGTAATAAAATTATATCGGTGCTTGGATGACGTTCCATTTCGTGATCACTTGCAAGGGAAGGTCAAAATAACATCTAAAAAGTTTGTTGAGCTCAACAGAGCGAGACATTATTTCTTGCCGGCCCATCGCTTACACCAAGGCATAAGTTCGGCCGGACATGCATTATACAGATTTTGCATTATACAGAGTGATCTTTTAGACGAAGTACATATTTTGACAAATGTTAATTGAGCATTTCATAGTTCAAAAAAATATTAATATATTATTTTGACAAGAAATAACCAGAAAAATATCAATTCAAACATTGTTTATCCCGTTAAGAGTGATCACTCCAGTTTAGTAATTATGCGTTCAGCGCTTTTAGATTTACTAAAAAGTGCTCGTGAATAAGTATTGAGATGGCAAGGCAGGAATTTCTTACGGTGTCCATAATGTTTGAAAAAATTAAAAATAATCTTTGAAAAAAAAAATTATGTCACAAATACGTACCAGATTCAGATTTAGAATCAAACTCCACATGTGCTCTGTTAATAAAATCACCCTGTATATACAACATAGAAAGTAATGTCAGGATTAATATCTTGCTTCTGAGTTTATTCATCATACAATACCTTTGACTGGTTTTTTTAGGTGCGAAGGTGACAAGAGAGCTGGCGATTCACATGGTGTTAAGTGATTACCACCGCCCTTGTACATTTGCAACACCAATAAGATTGCAAATGCATTGCCACCTTTTAATAACTTGACTAGTAGGGCCACGCAACAGTCTTCGCTGTTGCATGAATGGGCAGGTCCGTAAGTACCTAAAATTAATGTAAATTTAGGTACTTACAAGGTTTCGCGAAAAGCCCGTATCTTTTTGATATTTACCTCACCTAATAGGGACTATATACCTCAGTAGGTATCTCGTATAAATTCCAACTTTCTAGGTCCACCTGTTCTCGAGAGACACGCGGACAGACAGGCGGTCAAGAGAGCGATGTTTTAAAAAAGGAATCCCTATAAGAATACGGATTCCTTTTTTTACCTTTTAAAGTACGGAACCCTAAAAAGGGAATATGTAGTACATATGCATCTTACTGCCAACTTTCGCGATATGTTGTGACGCTGTATTCTCATGCAGGGTGGAGTGGCAAGAGCCAATCGCAGTGCCTATAACCGACGACTACACGCTGTATTCGGTGCCGCTACCGGGCTCAGGTTCGGTGCTTGCCTTCATCCTGAACATGCTGCGCGGCTGGGTCGGCGACGGCAGCGCCGCGCCCGTCGGCTCCAACCTCTACTGGCACCGCATCGTGGAGACCTTCAAGTACGCCTACGCGAAGCGCACCGGCCTCGGCGACCCCTCGCGCACCAACGTGCCCTACCTCATACCTGAGGTACGCTCCGAATAAATCCGGAAATGTTTGTCCGTTCAGTCCATCAGCGTTTGTCCACGCACGACTTGTGTAGGTACTACAGTATTTAGCACTACTAACTAAGTACACAATATTAAATCTAGAAATAATTTACCTTCAAACACACATTGAACAGTATCAATGTACTTATGCCTTTAATTAAGAATAGGTATTAAGATGCAGCGCACAAGAATAGCACAAAAACATTCTAAATCCGTAATAATCACCTTGTCCTTAAATAACGGAGTGTTGTTTTGTGTATAATACGTGTTGAATGTACTATACGTGTTGAATGTTTTACTACAGAAACGCCGCCATAGCGGTACCGTTTACAAAATAAATGTAAAACATAACTATGATACAATAGCGCAGTGAAAATATCACGTTTTAAATAGACAGATAAGAGGATAAACGTGAGCTAAAGGAATTGATTAAGTAAGCATACTTAATTGCGATGTTTTTTGACTTTTAATAAATTTAATATTTCGTAAAGTACAATTGTCAGGCCAATTTCTAACACATTATCATTATGGTGTACATTATTTTATTGGCCTGATAGACTAAATAATTAAAAAAAAAGCAAAGCGTGTCTTTCCCTCGCGTCCGACCGCTCTGACGCAAGCCCGATTTAAAAAAAAAAGAAAGTAAATCGTGGAAATTTCCGCGCGCGCAGCTCGAGCGCAACCTGTCGTCCCGCGAGTGGGCGGAGGCCTACCGGGATTTGGTGGACGACGCGCGCACCTTCTCCGATTGGCGTCACTACGGCGCGCTGTTCGAGGGCGCCGACGACCACGGCACGGCGCACGTGGTCGTGATCGCGCCGGACGGCAGCGCCGTGTCCGCCACAAGCACAATCAACTACATGTAAGTGCGGTGCTAACAAAACAACCGACTGTGTTTAATATTAATATGTAAGAAAAACTTAGTCTGTAAAATGAGCGCCATGTGTGAATATATCATTTTTATTAAAAAAAATAAAATCTAAATTTTCATTCCATTTAAATTTGTTTTTGGGGAGTTCAAGATCCATTGACGGAATTTTGAGGCAACAAACATAAAAATCGATAGGTACTTTTTTTTAGAAATTGAAATTGTTTATAGTGCTAATCTCTGCACTTAAGATTGAACATTAAAATATGTAGAAAAAGTACGAAAAGATTGTCGCCGCTATGGGAATCGAACCCATGTCTTCGGCATTTGCGGCCTGACACTTTAACCACTAAGCTAAACGGCTGATTGCTACACAAATGAAAATCTATGTTGTAAAATCGAAAGTTGTAAAACGATATTTGAAATTGTTTGTATGCTGCGGCGGCAATCTTTTCGTACTTTTTCTACATATTTTAATACTTTTTTTATTTACGTGGGGGAAATCCCTACCCATACTCTTCTCATGGCACGCTCCAAAAACTTCCTGCGACCAGTTGGGGGTCGCAGAGGCGGTCGCAGAGCCTCGGCATCATGCTGAACAACGAAATGGACGACTTCGCGATCCCCAACCGCGAGTCTGCGTACGGGCTGCCGCCGTCGCCGGCCAACATGCTGGCGCCAGGTCTGCAGCCGCTCAGCTCTATGGTGCCGAGCATCGTTGTCGGCCGGGACGGCGTAGTGCGTTTGGTGCTCGGTGCCGCGGGCGGCACCAAGATCACTACTCAGGTCTCCCTGGTGAGTTGTGGCCGGCAGCGCGCAGTGCTTGCACAATATTCTCTATGTCGAAACCTTGGAGAAAGATTGTCAGTGATAGCCAGAGTGGAGCGAGATTCTTTGTTCTATAAAGTGTGCATTGCAGCTGGCAGGCTGCCCACGAGTAGCGCGAACTATCTAGTTGATTCAGACTGCGTTGCCAGTAAACTAACTGGCTTACCAAGAGGTAGCATAAAACTATAAGTTCATTCGAAATGCATTGCTCCAAGTTCTCTACCGTGAAAGCCTTAGCGATCGATGGTGGAATTGAGTTAGAAGTGATACAAACATAAAGATTGTTATCAGTTTTATCGTGAGTTCACAAAAACAAGTTAAGAAATTATCATCACCCTCTGGACTCAAATCCACTGCTGTACATCAAAGGCCTTCGACTTAGCGCCCGGACACAGCTATCATGGCTCTTACTGAGCTATCGCCGCTGGGACATTTTCCATAACTAACGTAATTTAACCTATATCTTCGCTAGCTGAATAATCTTTTAGAAGCGTTAGAGTTGGAGGCGGTTTCGTTCAATTAAAAAATTCATACCAATAAATTTTTCTCAGCGACCAATTTATAGTTTGGCACTTACCATCTGCTTTTCACCATAACAAGGGTTTCACTAGTAGAGAATTCCATTAGGCAAAAGCCCACCCATCGTAGCCTTTAGCTTAAGGTGTAGCAATAAAGCTTAAATAAATAAATTAAATGTAAATGATAAGTAGCCCTTGGGTTTGGAAATATAAGACAGATTGATTCGTTTATAAGAGAATCTACAAAAGTAGGCGAAGGGAAACAAAATCAGCACGTACGCGGAAATAATAAATCGCGAGAGATCACGACATCCGGAGAGGGACGTAAGACGTGACGGAGCGGAGGGAGCAAATATTTACTACGATTCGACTCGAAGCGAGAACAGTCATGACAAAATTCCAACTTAGTTCTATATAACTACAATGCTGTAGCGTGAATTCAAGTAAATCAAAATCACTATCTTATATTTTAATTCCATGTTAATTAAAGATAAAGTACTTAAGGATATACTGTTCAAATAAAAGTATAGTTTGCGTCTCCATTACCATTAACTTTATATCTTTATTACTGTGTTCTATATAATGTATTTGCTAATTGTCTTGTAATTTGACTTGAACGTTGTCGGACTTCGCAATACGCGCATAACTGCTTTTTTTTGTATCTTTGACCTTAACCGACTGACTTCAAAAATTCGGGCACACGAGCATCTCTAACATCATGACCCGACCTATAATATTTTACAATACCTTATCTTATATACAACAAACCTATAAATCGATGTTTACGTAATTTTTATTGTTAAGAAAAATCTTTCCCCACTCTATACTGCGCTACACAATGTGGAAAAAAATTATAAATGCATATGCAGTTTTCTTGTCAACGACTTGATTGGACCTATATAGTAGTAAGTAGAGTAAGATAAGTATTAAGGAGTGAACAAGCAAGTGCCTATTGCAACCGTAACTGTTTCAATACTGTATTTATCGTTCGACGTCGTGCAGAAGCAATTTTCCACCGTGGCGAAATATGCTAATCATCAATGACACAGCTGTACATTACGCAATAACACTCGACCATAGATATAGTGAAAAACTGTTGCATTAATCTCTGCTTTGGGCACAGGCGGCCATCCATACGATGATCGAGGGTGGTGACTTGCCTGAGGTGATGAGGCGGCCCCGGCTTCATCACCAGCTCGTGCCGATGGAGGTGGAGCACGAAGCGGATTTCGATGCGGTAAATACTAATCTTCAATAATTTACCAATAATTAATTAAGTTTAAGGGTAAGAGAGCGTTTTCTTATTACATATTGTAACATATAAACATACCTAATGTATCTATGTCATTATTTTTAGGACATTTTTACGTTCTCTCATCCCAAACTAAGCAACGCTTGCGATGGGTACTAGACAACTGATAAACATACTTTTCTTTTGTAAATAAATACATAATATTAATCAATCAATCAATAAATTTTATTTGCCATCTAAGTTTACATTATATAAATAGGTGTTACAATAGAGATGTATACAGAAACTTAGATGCCTTTTCCAGGCACTGCAATTTTTTTAATGGACACTGCTCACTTAAATGTTAATTAAGTTAAAGAATATAAAAATTAACACAAAATGACTACAATAAAATTATTAAGCGATATATAAGATGTTAAAATAAATCATTTTTATATTATGTCAATTTCTATTTTTAATGAAATTTTTAATTTAATCAGGTAATGTTTTAATTTTACCTTAATAGTATAAAAAAATCGTGATTTTAAATTCAGTAAGTTGTTTGAATTAAGTCAATTTTAGTGGGTTTTCGAATTTATTTAGGAGTAGTCTTTTTGAACTGTTGGTATCACTGGTAATAGCTTTAGTTATATATAGGTATAATGATCGTCGAACAAGACTTTCGACGAATAAAGTCAAACAGCTTTCGTTCCTAAACGTGAATTTAAACCCGTAGGAACGTAAATACTTATTAACCCACACATAATTGTAAATATATAATGTTATGTTTAAAATATCAGGAAAATTATGTCTTCGGCATTCGCGGCCTGACGCTCTAGCCACTGAGCTAAACGGCTGATAGCCGGCCGTCAGTTTTAATATATTAAATATTGTATTGGATATGATGTTGACGACAATATTGTATTGGTGCTTTTAGCTTAAGATATTTTTAATTATTAGCAACCGACCGTTTAACTGACCGAAGGGATATTTTCTATGTGAAAAGTTGGCAAGCGAGCAGGTGGTTCACTTGATGTCAAGTGGATACCGATGGACATCTACAACACCTTAGGGGTCGCAGACGTATTGAAAAAAAGTGAGCCGCGGTTACCTCACGAGACGAAACGTGACAGTATATTCTTCCACTTCGCGCCGATCTTCTGTAAGGCAGTTATATATACCTACTGTTATAGGTATATACCGTGGCCATGCTTCCACGGTCAGGCCTCCCCATACGTGCAGAAAATGCTGTGTGACACTGCCACAATAATGTAGAAGTCGAATGTTAAAATGTATACAAACGGTATTCTGCTTCAGTGTCTTCCACTTTAATAATTTGAAAAGAAATCGCATACCTATAAATCGCTTTTTTTCTCAGCCTCTTCGATATTACCTAAACGATATATACACAATTTAGCTCGTTACTTCGAAATCAGTCCTTCTAAAGAGCCTTTCCATTTTAAAATACTGTTAATTCAGCTAGTGTCGTTAATTTGATGCGGTCGCGATTGCATAATGCCTTTTGTGTCGCGTTCATTGTGCACGGATTGACGACCGTTTTATGTGACGTCACGCCCAAAGGCGGAGAACGCTATAATTATTATAGTCGCCAAACTTGGACCAATAATGTTGAGAACTTGTTTTGCTATGCTTTAGTCACATTAAATTCTGAAATTTCAATAGATATTCCTCCTTTAGAGATTCCACTTATTTTTTGACTGAGTAAGCTGCCAGCAATGATTTCTTTTTTTTTTTCAAGGTTCAAAAAGTAGTGTATGATATTTATAATTGGTGTACCTCGTCCTAGTCTAGAAAAAAGTCATGCTTTTTTCCCCTGAAATATATTTTACGACAGTCCTCTAAAATAATCTTCCGACGCGTCATTAAAGAACTATGATACCACGGCACATGTATGGAATTACATTATGCGATCAATGGTTGGTATTAACACTAACAGCTATAATTATCATGACTCTAATATTCCATAAGTTATGGACCTGAGCCATTAGGGTTTATTTATTACACAATTTACAACGGAAAAGTCATTTAGCTGAACTGATTCACAATTACTTCGATCTCAGATGATGAGATAAGCAATGAACGTTGTAAAATATTCCTATTGTTATGTCTATACTAGCCCATTGTCTGTTTTATTAAAGACGCTTGATTAACTAAGACACGAACTCAACGCATTTCCAGATTGTAAATGAGTATAGTTATAGTTTAGTATACAATTAGTTAATACATATAACAATTAAAAGCTTATAGTCTAGAATGTTCTAGAATGATTTCCTCAAGCTTACGTTTTGAATGTTCTCTGCATCCTCCACCCAATTTTCTCTTCTGAAACGTTAGAAATCGCTTCCTGCATGCAGTAACGAACTGGCAATTTTCAAAGTTAAAAAAAACATTATGACTCTCGTTTTGATCGATAACGGCGTTGCGCCCACGCAATATGCCCACTGCTTAGTCTTACTAGGTCATTCATGTCCCAGTTTGCTGCAAGTGTAAAACAGCACTATAAGGCGTGTTAAACTTAGCCAAATGGGTTCGAAAGCGTATTAATATAAAGCGTCCTATCAAGCATTCCTAATTTCAAACCATCAATCCTATATTTAAACATAATTCCTAATAAATGAAACTGTGTATGGATTTATCGCGTTCTTACATTTAATTCCCGACGTTTCGTACCCTTTAAACTCTTTAAACTCGAAACGTCGGTAATTAAAATAAACGCGATAAATCCTTAAACATAGTTTCATTTAGTAATGTATAACCACCGCCTTATACTAGTGTTTGCATAAAGATTAAGTAAATAAATAAATAAATACAAGGAACTATTATTATTCCTAATGTCAAAAACTAATTGTTGTGGACGTTTTCGCAGTCGGTGATAGAGTCTCTGCAGGCGAGGGGCCACGCGACGACGGCCCGTGGCCCAACAGCGGGATTCGCGGCGATGGTGGCGGCGGCACGCGACACAGCGACGGCCACTTAATACCGCAGACCGACCGCCGGAGGCTCGGCAGCATCGACGGCTTCTAGGGCACAAAAATGGATGTGGTTATGCAAGATCTCATCAAAAATAACTCAACAAGCGATTAAAAAGGAGACGGCAACGAAATAGGAAAGAAACTAAACAAATAACTCTCCAAAAATCGATGTTACATTTAAAAAAAAATGTCGAAAACATTATTACCGAAACGTATATTCCACGTGAATGGCCGAGAGATTATGAGGGGGATCTTTTTTGGGTAACTACATAAATGCATCATGGACTTTTACACGGACGACTGCGAAATGGTTGTATTGTTGAGTAAATAATATTTATTGACACGTTTCTTGTAACTAAGAATACATGCACATCAAATTTCTAAAGTAAGTGAACGCAAGGAGTTGTTAAGTTAAACTTATCTTACGACAATTAAAACAGAAAAATCTCGCTGGAAAACTGGTACAGAACATAGCTCTTGTGATAAATATATTTATTATAGAAATTGTTATCGTTAAATAAAATACATTTATTTGTTACTAAACATATTATGGTTTTGGTTGTAAATATTTTTATAAAGCACTGTGATGTTGACGTTATTATAGAAAATTTATAGTAAATATCCTAACATTTCTTTTATTATTTTTTCCTTTCCTGAAACAACACCAGCCGGTCTTTAAATGTCATTTATGAAGAAATCGCATAAATTTTATTGTACTATCTATTTATACTTCGTTATCTTTTGTAAAATTCGGTAAATAAAGACATGCGTAGTCTCTATAAGTCAGATGACTTAGGAAAATATGGTAGCAATTTATGAACACACGTTAAATTTTACATTGTTAAGATAAGGGACTTAACAATAATATACTCTAAGCCTAAGCCTAATAATATACTCTAAGCCTAAGTCTTCTTCTTGTTTGTGTAGGCCTTTATCAATCGTGAAGGATATTGTATGTTGTACATTGTTACATTGATAAATATTGAAACCTTATCATATCGCTTGTCAGTATGTCATCGTTACATATGATTTCTTCGTATCTTTTGCTTAGAACAAGTTAAAAGTTGGTGCAATTGTAGTAGATTTAAATTATTAATGAGATTATCGATTAATTTCGACTCGATTAAATGAAATACCGTGTTCCGTTGTAGTGCTGATTAAAGACTTCAGAATATTTCTAATACATCAAATAATTATCTTTTTACTATCCAACAAAAATATGAGATAATTGGTATTAGTCTAGATTTGTGGAACAAATGTACGCTTTTGTATCTGCATTAATTTGCCAGGACTGCTTTAGTATTTGCCCGGATTTTATGATTTATCATACACACGCAGGAAGTTTTGAGAAACTAAATAACTAACCTAAATGAATGGATGGAAATAACTTTCGACCAAACTAAGTTTCATGCATCTGAACCAATTATCGAAGCACTTTTTCCTGTCCGCCGCAGACACCTCTTCTACAGCCTTGTCAAACGCTGTTACTGCGTCTTCCGGCGATGAAAACCGTATCCCTTTCAGTTTATTTTTTATTTTAGGGAATAAAACAAGTCACCCGGTGTCAAATCAGGACTTTAAGGAAGATGACGTGTCGTGTTTAACAAAGGAAACTTGCTAGAACGCTGGTGTACCGGCGGGATGAAACAGAACTATAATTCTAAATTAAAAAAGTATTACGATGCTACTAATAATAAATACCTATTTGTAATATATTTAACAGCGGCTTTAGTAAAATATTGTTTGACATGACTTAGCTCGCCGAGTCATGTGGCAAGTAAAGCTTCAACGTGTAAGTAACATAACATAATAACATTGCAGAAGCTTAAAATATTTACATATATGCAGCAAAGGTCCACTGATGCCGCCATCTTACGTCTTGGGGCCTTGATGCTAGCGTCAAACTCGTCTTGACGTAATAATATTGGTATTGTGAACCTTAAGCCGTTTTTCGTGAAGGATATTTTAGTAGAAAGTAGTTACGCGGACCTATTTTTAGGATTGAAGAATCACAAGTATGACATTTACTACTATCTGGCTATCTGCTCATTAAGGATAAAATAATGTCACAGTGCTGATGGAATAATACAATATTGCAATAAATTCGCTAGATCATTGCTAGATCATTGCAGGAAATATATATTATAGCCTATGTGTTATTCTGATATATAACCTATATTATTGTAAAGTTTCATTAAAATCTATTCAGTAGTTTTTGTGTGAAAGAGTAACAAACATCCATCCATACATACAAACTTTCGCCTTTATAATATTAGTAAGGATACTTTATTGCATTGCACCAATGTAAGAACAATATTGTAAATGTTCCTTTATACATGAAAATGTATACCTAACGAACCTAATCTGTCAGTTTGAAAGAAATAAATGTGGAACCTAAATTATCTTAATTTGAAAGGAATGATATTGATACCTTTTGGCAATTATGTCGTATTTTATCGAATGTCGTCGACGGGATAATCCCAAGGTACCCAATTTATTATCTGCACACACCACCATAATTAGCGGAACAATAAAAAAGTGAGATTGAGAAATAATGCACTCATCAATCCAGCAACATGAGTTTTTAATTTAAGATCTAATTTTAAAACATACAAAATACTAACCGATAGTATTTTTTCATCCGTTTCTTTTAATATTTCACTCACACTAAGTTTGAGGTTGATTTTGAATTCTTACAAAATTCATAATATTAAAGTGTATTTTTTTGTTTTTTGCTTCTTGTTCTTGCATCAAAATCAAATCATACCTGACTTCACAGCACGGGCCACGCCGCAGTCTGCTGTTGCAGGAATGAACAGATCCGTCCGGCGAAGTACCATGGGGACCGGCGTAAAGTAGAAGTGTAATACTTCTGCGTTTCGTGAGTGACGTAATCGGGGCCCACTTCCTTAAAATTGATATAGATTCGTTTGTACTAGGCATGAGATATACCTGCAACATTCTATACCCGGCCTCAAAGGTACGGGTATCGCCGTATACCCGGTGCTACAACCCAGTATCAAAATACCTATAGGTATTAGTTATGTAATCTCCTAATAGAGACCCGGTATGGAATTGAACCTTTATTTGGTTGGAATTGGAACATTTAGATGTTTTTTTAATTGAGATTTAATCAGTCTAAATTAAGCTCCATCTTTACCAACGTAAAGAACCCAATATATATATTTATTATATATATATATTATAAAAAATAAAAAGTAATTCAAAATAAATATTACTGTTAAATCTTATTACGCAATTATTTATCTACCTAATTGTCATAGAAATAAAGAATAAATTTATCTCAAGGAATTCTACATATTTGAATGTTCAATCTTAAGTGCAAAGATTAGCACTATAAACAATTTAAATTTCTAAAAAAGCCATGGCGACATCTCTCGTTCGAATTATCGTTGTAAAACGATATTCCAAATTGTTTGTATGCTGGAAAGGATATAACAATAGATTAGGAATAAGAATAGGCCAAGCATTGCTTCAAATGCTAAGAAAACAATGTAGAGGAATGCATTAAGATTTTCGTCGGTGTGGTAATCAGCCGTTTAGCTCAGTGGCTAGAGCGTCAGGCCGCGAATGCCGAAGACGTGGGTTCGATTCCCACAGCGGCGACAATCTTTTCGCACTTTTTCTACATATTTGAATGTTCAATCTTAAGTGCAAAGATTAGCACTATAAACAATTTAAATTTTCAAAATGAACTTATGTTAAATTATAAACTTATATTTTTACTAAATATATATTCAAGCAAACGATTGGTTAATAATTTATGACAGCGCGTATGAAGATAGTGAACTATCCAATATTCGAAAGCTAAGTGCTGGCTCCGTTTTTTTTTTTTTTTTTTTTTTGGGTTGGATGAGCCACTGTTGGCCTTAGGGGCCTTAACAGATCCAACGGACTTGAGGGGGCCGGGCGCACGAGGCGCCTGGCCTGAACCTCGCGTATTATTCTTACGCGTTAAGGTGACTAACCTCGAGGGCTCCCGAGGGAACCTCGGCTCGGGCCGTCACGCTATTAATTTCACCGGTTTGGGAGGCCGCCAAGCTCTTAGGGCGCTTTGGCGGACGCTCCATGGAGTGATCAGGCTCACAGGTCCCCGAGAGGGGACCTCAGCTTGGGCTGTCACTCAGCACGCGTTTAGCACTCCGATTCGAGGTTTAATATGTTATAAGTTTTAAACTCAACAAAACTGTTGTATTTACAGATTCATTCAGTTCTTTACAAAGCTTAGAAAAATTTTCCTTAAAACTGAATCCTTTTTTCCACATAACATTTGAATGTAAGAGAAAGTTGTTGCATTGCCAATTGAATAACTACACGCTGTCACAGTCACTTTCTGCTGGATACCTAGCCACTATGGCATCATAGGAAATGTAAGAGCGGACAGTTTGGCAAACGAGGCAACTGTGAGTGGAGATTTATACACGATTTTCGGACACGACCTGAACGCTTTACCTAGCACATATCTCCGTGATACATGGAATTTGAGCTGGAGAGAGAGCGGTCAGGTCAAGAGTCGTTTCCTCTACGCTATACAGCCTTTAGTCCCAAGAAAGCCATGGTTTACCAAACTGTGTTTTAATAAAACTGCCACTTCGTATTTAATCCGCATGCGTCTTGGACATATTTGCCTTCCGGTACATCTACATAAACTTGGTATAGTATTTTAGTTATTGCGATATGAATCATGTTTTCTTTTCCTGTCCTTTATATGACCACTCTTCCCTATACGAATCTCTAATATCTCTCTCTATTCCTCTTCCTTCTAATATTTACTTACTTTTAAGAGATAATAGACCAAAATATAATGATCATATTGATAATTGGTATATAGTACATTAAATAAATTCATTGTAAATAATAAGATTAGATTTTTGTTTAGCTTATGAAATTATTCTGATTTGGTTTTAATTCCCGTTATTCGTTTTCCTCGCTTTGCTGAAAAAATGTAAAATACTTGACAATGCCTTAATGCACGAATGGTAGTAAAGTAAAGTAAGCCTATACATGTCCCACTGCTGGGCAAAGGCCTCCTCTATACAGAGGGTATCAGGGCATAGTCCACCACGCGGCCCCACTGCGGATTGGCGGACTTCACATATATTCGAAATATATTTTTTTTGTTATTATTTCGAAAATATGCAGGTTTCCTCACGATGTTGTCCTTCACCGCGGAGCACGTGATAAGTCAGCACTTAAAGTTAAAAACTTCATTGGTGCCGGCACCGGGGATCGAACTCAGGTTGCTTGAGTATATTGAATTAAGGCGAGCGCCCGGACAATGAGCTATCACGACTCTTGCAATGCACGAATGGTGCTGAGCCATAATTAAGGAAAAGAAAGGAAATAACAATGCATAAAATATTATATGTATTCTATTAATACATGTGTGTATTTTAAAAACAATAAAGATTTCCTTAAAATCTGCCAAATTGTGCCACTCTTTTAAATCGTCAGCTTAATCTGCCACATCTAAAGATAAGGTTTATGTTCTTATTAATATAACTGATCGAGGTTCATGTCAATATTATTTTATGTTCTATTATTCTCTTTTCGCTTTTAATGTGTGTAGTTGTGTCTTTCGTGCATGATAAAGAGAAAATACGAGCGTTCGTTCCTACCTGAGTGGAAACAAGACCTTTTGCTTCTTCCCTGGATTTTTGGAGCTAAAGAGGATCCTGATGTTGCATTTTGCAAAGCTTTAAATTGTAAACTAGTCAACGTTTTTAACTTACTTTTTAAGTTAAAAGCTCTTTTTTAAGTTTAGTCCTAATCCAAAAAGGTGCGCGGATCAAATTTCTGAAAACATATAAATCCCCATAAGCGCCGCACTCCACCAGGCGACAGAACGATGGGGACAGCTTGTTGACCAATTGAATATGAGTCACTATCCTCAGCAGTCAGGAAAAGACCAAGAAGAAGATGTCAAATGCCTCATGCGAAAGTCAAAGTCAAATATCTTTATTCAACAAAGAAGCATACACTTACTTATTGATAGTCAAAAAACTGTACGAATGAAAGAATGTCTCTTTCATTAATTATACTGTCTCCAACGATACAATAATGTGATAGTATATTTTTGGCATTTTTTGGAGTTGAGTTTGGCAGATTTATTGCTAGTGTCGGGCAGATTCACCATTTTAGAGATGGTCAACCTGATGGTAAAATAATAATTCTTGTCTTGGCCACACTGATAATAATACGCGCCAAAATTGACGTTCGTACTTCGTAAAATTGTTTCATTCATTTCTTAATTTTATTACATACATATTTTCTTTGTCATTATTTGCCAATATATTAAAATAAAACTGGTCTAATAAAATTCCAGTTGGTAAATAAATCACACTGAATATTAGAAGTATATTACGAACAGCGCCATTATGGCTTATAAGTTATCAGAAGGTTCTTTAGAGGTTTGTACATTATATTATTAAATTCACCGGTAGAATGTATGTTCAAAACAAGTTTTTATTCTTTTCATTTGAAAAAATGTATTTTTGTACTTTTTTAGGTTATTATGAATGGAGGGCATTATGATAAACCAATAATGCAAGTACTAGGTAGCAAAAAAATTCAAGGAAGTGGAGCTAATGAAAGGTTCAGGCTATTAGTATCAGATGGCAAACATTCACACAGCTTTGCCATGCTTGCGACACAATTAAATGATAAATTAATAACCGGCGAACTATCAGATTACTCTGTTGTTCAGATAGATCGTTTTGTCACCTCTCTATTGAAAAATACAGGCAAAGGAGAAAAGTTGGTATAATTATATGCACACATTATAATACGTGGCATTAAAGTTTAACTACTATTTACTCTTTTAGGCGAGTCATGATAATATTAGACATCACTATAGTAGCACCTGGTACCGAAGTTGGTAAAAAGCTGGGTAATCCTCAAACATGGACAGAGGAATCAGCAGCAGCAATACCAGCTCAACCAACCATGCAAGCCATACCTAAACACAACCCTGTCATATCGACACCTAGTGTTAAAACTTCACCAAATCCATCACTGGACTCCAGTATGCTGTCATCTCAGATGACACATCCAATAGCAAGTCTAAGTCCCTACCAAAATAAGTGAGTTTTATTTTACCCATAACATACAAAAGCCAATGACCATTTTAAATGCATGAAAGGGCCTTCCCTATACAAAATCTATGATATATTTTCAATTGATCTGTGAAAAAATATATACATAATTATGAAATGAGATTAATTTCAAGTTTTATCACTTGATAAAACTTGAGATATGTATACAGACAGTTGAGCCTCCTACTTGTTTGCCCCTTTCCAACTAAAAAACCAGAAAAATTTAAATTAGTCTCAATTTAAATTTGTCTATACATATAGAACATTATTTTTATTTACAGATGGGTCATAAAGGCAAGAGTAATGAGCAAATCTGCAATCCGCACATGGAGTAATGCTCGGGGTGAAGGTAAACTATTCAGTATGGATTTGTGCGATGAGAGTGGAGAAATCAGAGCCACTGCTTTTAAAAGTGAATGTGATAAATTTTATGATTTAATTCAGGTAATAGTCAAAATATAATATTCTGTCAATAATATTAAAGTATAGAGGCTTTTTTGCAAGATTCTCTAATGTTCGTTTTTTAGGTGGATAAAGTTTATTATATTAGCCGATGTCAACTAAAGACTGCAAACAAACAATTCACACATCTGAAAAATGATTATGAGATGACATTTAATGCAGATACAGTAGTTGCTGAATGTATGGAGGATGTGGGATCGGTTCCTACAATCAAATATGAGTTTGTTCCAATTAATGAAATAGCTAATAGGAATCCCGACACATTGCTTGGTAAGAATTTACTCACATTGCTCCCACATAGTTTAAGTAAAAGTAGTAAGAAAATTTATAGAATTTAATTATTGCAACCATACTATTATGTCCAGAATAATAATAAAAGACGTTAAGTATGGACTATAATGTAATTAGCTAGGTAGCTCAACACAATACGTAAATTGTCCGTCGCTTCTACTCCTACCTTCACTTATTTAACTTTATTTGACAACAAAGTAAAAAGTACCCACATTTAAGATTACACATATTGGAACATGACACATACATTTTTTCATTTTCATTATGAGAGGTAAATGAACCATTCCGATAATGCTCAGAAGATGCCCATATTCTATTTAATAACAAATGCATCAAGGAGCAGATTGGGCTATACCTACTTTGTACACATGATGATATGATACATTTGAGTGCATGGAATGTCAAAAACAAGGGGATAGAAACATAACTCCTCAACCCCATAAAGCAATTTAACATTGTGTCTAAGTACTGTTGATTTAACACTGCTCAACACAATTTTCCAGACTTGATTGGTGTGTGCAAATATGCTGCTGATATACAAGAATTAACAGCCAGGAGCACAGGAAAGCTTTTAAAGAAGAGAGAAGTGACACTTGTGGATTCTTCGGGTGGTGCAGTAAGTGATAAAGTTTGCATGCAAATGCACTTTTAATTTTTTTTGTTTTCCTAAAGTTGTTTCCTGCCTTTCTAGTAATATTGGTAAAAATATAGTAAACATTGGATTAGATAGAATACATCAGGGGTGGCCAAACGAACAGGCTCTTTGAAGCGTTATTTGTGGCTCTTGTTTGCAATTTGTGAAATCCAAACACCAATCAGTTTTAACTAACCAACATCTTAAAGAATTACTGAGAAGTTCTAGTACTAATTATTAACCAAATTTTATATAATTATCAAGAGATGTAAAATAAATGTTTAATTTTTAATAAATAAATTCAATACACATATTTTTTACTTTTACATGTTTTCAATAAATATAATTGTTAAAAAAAATTATACTTTTAAAATTTTATATCTTTTTAAATACGTATTTTGTGTTACTGTGGTGTATTATAATATGAGCCCTATATAGTAAATAAAAATAAAAATTATGTTTCACGATTTATTTTTATTTAATTTAACACTCAATTTTAATGGGTTATTTCATTTAGATCGCCCTCACACTTTGGGGTAGTGAAGCCGAAAAGTTTGATGGTAGCACAAACCCAGTGATAGCTGCAAAGGTAAGTTGTGTATTATTTAGATTATTGGATAATTATAATGTAGTAGTCACATACAAAACAAGTACCACCCTATCGTAAGCTAAGTTCCAATTATTAAATGAAACCAATTTCTGATTAATCCAAAATACATCTATCATTTTACGTTGGTCCTCTGAGAAGCCGTAGTACTTCCCCATATGGACCTGCCCATTTTTGCAACATCGAATACTATTGCGTAGCCCTACTACACGTTCATCCAATATCTATGAGCGAAAAGGCACGGAGTCATCAAGTCAAGGAGCGAAAGGGCGTAAAGATAGCGGTGAAAGACACACCGTTCCGTTCGTACTAAATTACACCACGTACACGGGGTACAACCGCTCCTAACTCGCTAAGTAAAACTAAGCTCCTAGTGTTGTCAAGTAAATTTTCGTATTATTTAAGAAGGGATCTAGAGTGTAGGTGGTTTACCTGATGTTAAGTTATTACCGCCGTCTACAAATACACGCGGGTCTACTTCACTCGCCAGACGATTTGGAAGGAAATGCGAATGTATTTAATATAAACATTTAAAGTGAGAATTAAATATAAGAAAAATTTCAGGGTGCTCGATTAACGGAATTCAATGGCAGTAAATCGCTGTCTTGTTTGGCAAGCACCATGATCCGTTTGAATCCCGATTTACCAGAAGCACACAAACTAAGAGGCTGGTATGACAACGGCGGAGCTGATATGGAGGTTGTTAACATCTCTGCGAGGTACGGAAATTTACATTAAATTATTGTCATGTTTTTATCATTTTACATTTACGAATACTGGTGGACTTTTTAGTTTAGTTTTTAGGCAATAACTCATTCCAAAAGTTTTATGTCAGATTTTCTTACCTGTGCAAAAGATAAGAAATATTTTTAATCGTTTGCGCAGGTGTATATGAAATAAAGTATATATAATGAAAAAAAGTACTAATATTCGTACAACATTCTAGGAGTCGATTTTCGACTTTATTTCAAATAAAACGAGTAGGTTTAAACACCATCGCTAAATGGGACTCGCTTAGATAGATAGTTTTCCGTTGTGTACAAAAAAGTATATTTTCAATAGAAAGTTTTCTCTGATCGTTTTTTACTTGATTTACCTCACTAAAACTATGTTCTTATTAAATGAAACTACTTTACGGATTTTATCGCGTTTTTTAAAGTATTTTCATTTAATATGTATAATATTCGCGTAAAATCAAGAAAACAATATGTTAACTTGTTAAATTTATTTAATTTAACTCAGCGCCCGGCTACTTCAAGCCAAGCCCGGTGGATCTGTAAAGGCTTCTTATAGGCAGTGACTGATCCAATAAAACAAGTGCAAGTCGGACTCTCGCACGAAGAGTTCCGTACTAATATCCATAAAAACGGCAAAAAAAACTCATGTCTGGTGTATGAGAGTCCCACCTATATATTTTTTTTATTCTGTTTTTAGTATTTATTGTTATAGCGGCAACAGAAATAGATCATCGGTGAAAATTTTAACTGTCTAACTGTCACGGTTCATGAGATACAGCCTGGCAGACGGACAGACAAACTAACAGACAGACAGCGGAGTCTTAATAATAGCGGATTCGCACCGGTCGGTGGCGTACAGTGAAACTACTGATACGGGACTGTGCACCCTATTGCGCTGGCGTTAAAGGCCGAATCCCGCAGGTCGGACGCGTACAGTGAAACTACTGTTACGCGACTCTGCACCCTATTGCACTAGAATTAAAGGCCGATTGGCACAGGTCGGGCGCTTACAGTGAAACTACCTTCACGCGACTGTGCTCCCTATTGCGCGGGCGTTAAAGGCCAAATCGAGCAGGTCGGACGCGTGCAGCGAAACTACTGTCACGCGACTGTGCACCCTATTGCACTAGCGTTAAAGGCCGATTCGCTCAGGTCGGGCGCAGGGGGCGGCGCCGGCGGCGAGTGGCTGACGTTCGCCGAGGCGGAGGCGCGGCAGCTGGGCGCCGGCGAGAGGGGCGACTACTACAGCCTGCTGGGCGTGCTCACGTTCACGTACGCGGACAACGCCGTGTACAAGGCCTGTCCGCAGGAGCAGTGCAACAAGAAGCTGGTGGACCAGGAGAACGGCCTCTACCGCTGCGAGAAGTGCAACCGCGAGTACCCCAACTTCAAGTACCGGCTGCTGCTCGGCGTGAGTGCACTCGTGTGGCGGAACATTAACACTGTAGTTTGGCGACGTTCGAGTATTACGTTTAATGAGGGGGTCTAACATTATTTAAAGTTTTATATGTGCAATTGAACGTGTCTCTAATACCCACCTAGAAAAGTGACTGGAAAGGGGAAGCAACGCACATACAAAACTAGCCTATAGATGTCGAACAGACCTCAAACGTCATCAAAAGGTTTTTTTATGTTATTTGATTGGGATAATACGGGTCACGTCTTACTGCGATTATTAGCCACGGCGTCAAGCAGCACAACAGCAAAGGAGAACAGCAATACAAATAGCCTGCTTCGCTGACGTGCACGCTGACAACATTTGTTTTTGCAGGCAAACGTGTCGGATCCCACCGGCGACCAGCGTATAACAGCATTCAACGAGGCGGCGGAGGCGATGTTGGGCAAAACGTCCGCCGAGATCGGGCAGATGTTCGAATACGATAAGGCCGCGTACAGCCAGATATTCGAGGAGGTCAAGTTCAAAACGTTCGTATTCAAGTTCCGCACAAAGATGGAGACATACAGTGTGAGTTGCAACATTTTCATTCATAATTCAACATTGACTCAATGCTGGCTTTCATAAATACCTGAAATTCAAACCAACAACGACATCAGTGGAAGTAACAACCAAATATGTGACTGCTGAAGTAAACATTAGAATGAATGTCTTTATTGCCAGAATATGGTAGTACATTGTAATCTTAACTATAATAATTTGGAAATTTAAATTTTTATAGTGCTAATTGTGTGCCCTTAAGATTAAATATTAAAGTTTAATCTTAAGTAGTATTGTGCATTTAGCACACAATAATTAGAAAAAGTACGAAAAGATTATCGCCGCTGTGGGAATCGAACCCACGTCTTCGGCATTCGCGGCCTGACGCTTTAGCCACTCAGCTAAACGACGGCTGATTGCCACAAATCTTTTGAAGAAATGCTTGGCGCATCCATTGTTATATCTGTGAGCTCGATTCCCACAGCGGCGACAATCTTTTCGTACTTTTTCTACAAATTATTTGATGCAACATATTCAGCTGACTTCAGCATGCAAATGTCAATTTAGATTCAGACAAAGACAATTTAGACAAAGTAATATTTCCTTTTCTTTTTAGGGTAGCCATAAAACGTCCACTTTTCTTTGAAAATTGTTTAGTCACTGCGCAGTACACAATAAATAGGTGTGTCAAATGGTACATGGGAAGACTCCGTATTGACTGCCCTCTCGTTAGCGCCGCATATCGCTATCTTGCTCTCGCAACAAGTTTTTGTACACAGTTGGATCAGGTCTATTATTTATCTTGGTACACATATTTTTAAGACTTTGCTTTTAGTTTTCCGTAATGTTAAAAAGTAATAAGTAAAATCATCGTCATTGTTATAAGAGTATAGTTATACAATAAAATACCTTTGCGTGAAATTAAAAAAAAAAGACTAAATTACAGTGATCTAGAAAGAATTCGGGACCTATTAAAATTTAGAACATTTAGAACACACTTTGTTTAAACAATTTTCCATCCACGATTCTTATTTCCTTCATACGCAATGAGTATTCCCATACTATGTTATTTGATCTTCTGTTGTCTTGCGTATTAACGAATGTGATTTTCTTTCAGGACGAGGCCCGATTAAAGACAACCGTGATGAACGCGCAGCCGGTCGATTACAAAGATGCCAACTCTCGGCTATTAAAGAGCATCAAGGCCTTAAGTGGTGTTGAAGTGTGATTTTCTAGAGTAGTAATTATAATTAAGTTACCGTATAAATTAGGATAAGTGTTATCAACGCCGAAAAAACATAAAATTCCTGTTGATCAGCGAACATATTCCAGATAATGTTATGTATCCGATGTTGGGTTTAAAATTATGAAACTTATTATTCCTATTTTAAAATTTATCGTGATTAAAATATTTTTCACAAATGAATTTTCTTTTCTTATCATAGTAAATAATTATATTATAGCGTTGTGTTATTTTAATCTATGCCCTTATGTGTCTATAATTTAGTAATTGTTATATTTTTTTGTGAAAAGTTGTCAAGCGAGCAGGTACCGCCTGATGTTAAATGGATACCGCCACCCATGGATCTACCTCTACTCACCAGGCGAAACGCAGAAGTATAACACGTCCACTTCGCCACGACACGCCGGTCTTCTGTGAGGACTTGGCACTTACCCTGACGGACCTGTCCGTTCGTGCAACAGCGAAGACTGAACGGAAATTAAAACAAAGAGTACACAAGAACTGTGTGGGTCTACTTTGTTTTTCATTTTAATGCTACCTCGGAGCCACGAAACTGCTTCGGCTCCTTGATTATAATATCACGGCTTAAAAGTAGCGATCCTAAATGAAACTATAACTGTGGTAGGACCACGCCACAGTATTCGCTGTTGCACGAAGGGGCAGGTCCGTCCGGGCTAGTACCACGACCTCACAGAAGAACGGCGTAAAGTAGAAGTCACTTTCACGTTTCGTCTGGTGAGTGAGATAGCCGGGACTCCACCTTATTAAAAGGTGGCAACACATTTACGGTGTTGCAAATGTCCGTGGGCGGCGGATATCGCTTAACATCAGGTAACGTTTGCCACTTTTTCACATGTTTACGAATTAGTTTACGCGTTAACTTTTTTGTTTTATTTGCTGTAAAGGGTTCGAAACGTCGGAAATTAAAATAAAAAAAAAAATAAACGCGATAAAACCGTAAACATAGTTTCATTTAGTAATGTTTAATCGCGTACATACAAGAAATTACCAAGCGGTACTTATATTTTACTCGCTTCTTTAAAAGTTGGTAACGCAAGTTCAACATCGGATAGTATTTCTGCCCCTTATTGTCAACCTGGCCCAAAAAAGTGGTTCCCCTAACCCGAATAGGAAATGAAACAAAGCTTTAATCACTAGTTATTTTATTCAATCTCATTGATATGACTCAATTTGGCTAGGAAATGGACATTTAAATACGCAAACTCGGGCGATATGCCGTTGCGGGCAAATGTAGCTTCAAACGTTAGTTGTAAAAGTTGAGGAATTAAAACGTCACAATACATAATACAATCTGCAAATCTATCTTACAATTGTTTAAAATCCAGTTCACCTTATTGTAATAAACCAGTTTTAAAGAACAATAATTAAAGAATCTTCAAGAATATAAATTAATTAAACTATTTCTATTGTCCAAGAATTAATATACAGTGCATGAAATCAAGTAGCTGTTATATTATCACATGAAGTTTACGGGGTGTTTGATATATGATACTATGTTAAGTCAAAATAATAGTTGTTAGAAATTACAGAAATTTACAAAGTATAATATATAATTTAAATTATTTTAGGTATAAACTGATTTATTTCCTTATTATATGGCAGTGCAGTCAATCGTAATCAGTAAAAAAACATAATCGTAATCATTACCACCTTTTAAACAACAAAATTGAAATGGCAGAACGTAGGTCGGAACCTCAAAGCGTTCGTCCATAGGCATAATTGTAAAACAAATATAATATGTGCGAGGATTATATCATTTGTAGCCTTAAAAACTAATCCACTGCAATCACAATGTTATTTGCCCTTTAAACCTATTTAATACTTTCAAAATCCTTAATAAATAAGATGGCCGAAAGAATTTAGACAAAATTATCGAACCGGCAAACAACGTAGATGCATAAGAGTGCAGGCCCCATATGTTATCCATCTACATTAGTCTCGCTGCAGCCGGGCTCACCTTCTGTGTGTATTTTAAACAAAGCTTAGACACTAACTAATCAATAAATAAAGCAGCTACAAAATAAATTTATTACTCTACACTCTGAATCACTTTTAGAATAGGCGTTTTATTTATAGAAACTGTGAAGGCCTATTTTATTTAAAAAACAGTGTTACTTAACAACATTAATAGCTACATAATTATCACAAAAACCAAATACATGTATCGTTATAATATGGAATTAAAGCCATAACCAACAACTATATGATGTATGCAACGGGAATGATCCATTAACCACTAATGAGTATAATAAAATATGACTATTGAATTGTTTTTGCACTCTATCGTACATAAATTGTCGAGAAACTCATTGTTACAACACTAAGTCTATACATTGATACTTTTATAATAACACACTTTACTATATAGATAAGGATAAAAATATATTAAGAAAATATCGTGTCTATAGTTGAACAATTCAATTATCAATTCCCAAGAAAGCGTCCCATTACACAATATTATCTACAATATCGAATGGAATGAGATTCTAGACAAACATCACTTAACAGTGAAGGAGACAATTCGTAAGCAACGAATCGATCGCACGAGCGAATCATGCACAGACAGATCATAATGATTGCTGATACGATGCGTAATAAAAAATAGATTACACACAACAGCCGGTGCTATTACCGTGGTTAGGGGGTAACTTTACGTACACTTAATACAGTTAAATAGGTCGAACGTTGCGACCGACGCGCACATACGATTCGACGACACTAAAACTAGTTGTGCAGTGACACATATCAGTCATTAGGGGGACGCAAGTCAGTGGGACATGCGGAGCGAGCGAGGAGGTCGCCTGCCCGGGCCGACGCCTGCCCGCCTCCGCCTCCGCTTCCGCTCCCGCTACCGCTCCCGCTTCCGCGCGCACAACACACACGCACGCACCACGCTCGGTCACGGACGAAAGCTCTTAATCAACTAAAAACCCACCACGACTAGGGGCGCTAATAATTCAAAGCGAATAAATAATGCGGCGACGCTCCTACGAACTAAACTTTACGACAACGTAAACACATAATTATGTTATATGGCCGACTTGGCGGATCTAAGATTAGCGTCTCTTAAACATCGAAAACGATGCTAGCTATACACTAGGATCTAAAATATAACATTTAAAATAAAGAGAAAAAAATAAAATAACAGATCAGACTTACAACTGTTCTCAGTCAATAAGCACTGTTAATGACTGTTTGAACTGAATAAATTACTCAGGTGCGAGTATAAAATCTCGAAGCAAATAATGGATACGATATTTTTGGGTAGAGCGAACGGAACACAAGATAAGGAGAAAAAAAATTGCCGTGATTTAAAACGTTTCATATCTCAAAGGAATAACGCTGAGCTCTAAACTGTGACTGTCTTTACCCTAACAGCCCGCGCCATTCGACCGCATAAACATCGACCCTTAGTTTCTTTGAATCATCATAATCAATACATCACGATTACAATTTCGACTTTATTCATATTAGTACGGTTATACAACGTCATTATATCTATTATCCGAAAAGTGACTTCCATTGGCCATGTTTTCTTATGTTGCTACACAACCTATTCAACAAAATTGACAAAAATTGACCAGAGTTTGAATGCGAACGATAGAACCTAAACACGTCACGCCAAAGTGGGAATCGATCGGCAATTTTGAAAAACTTACAAATCCAAATCGACGTTCGGCTTCAACGTACACAGAACGAACATTGAACGAACTGCAACCGAAGCAGTCATACAATCGAACGACCGAAAACCACCGACCGAGTGGGCGACCTTACTAGGGATGGCGAAAAAATATCGATATATTTCTTCACTTTCGACATCCCTGGTTCAGAACGAAATTGGTCCGTTTCGCGTGCACGACGACTACTTCTACTTCATGATTCAAACGAAATTGCCCCGGCTAGATGACGCCGTTCGTTCACGGTCCGAGCGAAATTGATCCGTATCGCGTGGGCGATAAGGCTCGATTCGGTTGAGGCGCGGGCGCGGGCGTTCAGCGGGCTATCGTGCGGCGTGCTCGTGCGTCAGAGCGGTGCGCGCGGTGCGGGTGTGGCGCGGGGCGGGGGGGGGGGGGGGGGGGGGGGGCGCGGCCGGCCGCTAGCGCGCTCACGGCACCAGGTCGGGCAGGCGCCCGCGGCCCTAGGGGCGCGCCCCGCCCTCCGCGCTCACCACCTGCGAACAGCCGCCCGACGCGCCCTCAGACATCGCCCCCAACACAGCCGGCCTCTTTCGAAGCTGCACCTCGTTCGGCGCGTTTCGTGTGGAATGGTTTTTACGATGCGCGACACCGGCTAAGAGCGACACCGACTTCGCGGTGTTACCACATGTCGACCGAAACTTTTTGACATTCACCTATTACGATTCCAGGTTGTTTAAATGAACCGTTTTTTCAATTGCATTTGATGTCTTTTTTTTTTCCACAAACAGTGTACTTTTTTCATAGTACATAGTAACAATTCCGTTTCTCTTTCCATTTCATTTTATTTTCTGCGTCCGTTATTTCACTTTTGTTGCATCAGTAACTATGACCTTTCCCCGATAGCCGGAAGAGACCATAAATTGCGACCCCATCGAGTGCTTCATCTACAATACATAGTCATGTCAAGCTTTACGGCTGTTTTACAATAGACCAAAACCATGATTAAACCGAAAGTTTACTCACCACACCTATACGCATACAAATAGCATATTGGAGCGACAAACACACCCAAGCTTACAACAGGTGAACACCCAAAATGAAGATGAAAAATAGACATTCACATTTAAGCATCTGGCATTTCAAACTCATCTATTTGCGTTTCTTCTAGGCAATATATATATCAAACAAGGTAAATGAACTCACTCAAATATCGTATGTCCATACGATACATACAACCAACGTTCAAAGCAATTTAAAAACTGAGTAAATTACCGCCATACGAGCTGTGAGTCTCATCGATACGATAGTAGATATCATTTTCGGCATAAACGTAATGGCTTACTTCCACAAGTCGCTGGGGTTCGAACCCTATTGGCGTTCAACAAACCGGTGGGAAACTCACTTTTCGCTCCTTGTAGTAGAGCTCCTCGCTCTCCTTGTCGCATAGCAGCAAAACGACTGCCCCGAAAAGAAAGATGGCCGCGCCCCAACCGACCCCGTACGCCCAGCCAAACTCCCACACTGACCTATTGCCTGCGAACATAAACAAATTAATTTGTGTACAAGCATGAAATTCACAGTCAATTTTGTCACCTGTTCATTTCAACAACAACAGACTGTATCATGGATACAGACACTTAAATAAAAGATGTCGATAGATGTAGGTGGCTCAGGATCTTGCTTCGTGGCAATGTGTGTGGGAGGCCTATGTCGAGCAGTCGACTCAAACAGGCTGAAATTATGATGTTGATAACTCTAGAACAGCGTTCAGATTTTTTATATGACCCGATTGACGTAGTGAATAGTGTACCTACTTCTTACGCCGGCGTTTGTGGGTTCGATGCCCACCACTCGAAAAATAGTGTGATGAACGTAATGTTTTGCTAGTGACTGGGTATTTATAATTATATCTATAATAATTATGTACTTATTTAGAGAAATAGTATGTATAAGTAAAAAAATCCTCAAATATGTTTTTATTTATTATTTCTCTTTATAAAAAGCTTTGCAGTGAAATAAACTCATACAACCATAAGACAGATACAGTAATCTTATAATAAAACTTATGATGCAACCCTCGTCATAATTAATTTAAGATTGTTGTAAAGAGTGTGATTGATGAACAAAAATATTTCTGAAATAATATAATACAAAATAAAGAGATGTTTTGTTAATTTTTACAAGTTAGGTACGTTTTTGTAATCATATTTTATTTAGAAATAATATTGGACATCTAATCGTTCAAAATGTGTTGCAACTGTTGGAGGGTGTTTAATATAAAAGTCCATTAGTTAAATGCTAGGTTAATTACTTTATTGGAAGTGAGCTATTATAAATTTGTACCATCGGATAAAATGTAGCAATTTGCTTTAAACTTATTTATTTTGTTACTTCTTATGCATCTAAAAAGGTTTCTATGATACGTTTTTGACTTTGTTATTTAATAACGTTTTTAAACAGTTTCATAATAATTACACTTACCTAGGTTCAATTCTGCCGCGAAGCAAACTGGGTAGATCACCAGCGCTATCAATATGCACATTACTGAAAAACAGAACGGGTATCATAAAGAAACTTTTATTGTTTTCATATATTGTAAAGCGTCCATTCAAATAAGTTATTTTAACAAAAAATATTTACGATATGATGATTATTGACTCGGACAAAGGATGGCCACTGTTCGTGGGTTGTATCACGTAATAACGGACGTTATTCATGAAATTAACAATACAACCTTTTTTCTGATGACTCAATGGTGAGATCGTTGAATAAACGAACCATTGAATTTTTATATTACAATTGGCTAGTGGAACGATACTCGCCGAATACCATATTTACTTATAAGAATCCGGCGAAATGTTATTCATAAAAATATATGCAAACAATGACGTTCATGTCTTTTTAGTCTACTAGAATTCAAACGTCTTCAAGACTGGAATGAGCAGAGGAGAAGGCTAAATTTAAATAGCTTTTCCTTTTTGTGGGTTTGTAATATATTTACTATATTTCCTTTCATCATCAGATACGATAAAAATGTAAAGTAACAGTATAATATATGAGTAAGTAACAGTAAGTATAAGATGGGCGTACTCCAGTGCAACTGGCGACACCACTGCGGAACGGCAGTTTTGTAACGTTTTCCAAAAAATTTATTGAGTATTGATACATCATAACGATCGCAGGAAAAACGTGGATGCGATTCGCTCAGGACGGGGATGAATAGCGCAAAAGGGAAGAGGCTTATGCCCAGCAGTGGGCTGTTACGATCAGTCGTTGAAATAGAGGGCGACACGGTATCAGCTAGTCCTTAATCCTTAATAGTATAAAAGCGGAAGTTTGTATGTATGGATGGATGTTTGTTACTCTTTCACGCAAATACTACGTTTAATCTTTACAAAAAATTATAACATTGAATAACACAGTATACCCGTCTTTCTGTCTGAACGTTACGCCTTCAGCCTATACTACGCGGGCGGCAGCTAATGAGTAATAAAAGCGAACTTACGCGCCAGCGCCATGGCGAGAACGGCGAACCGGTAGTATCGGAACTTGGTGCGGTGGTCGGCGGAGCGCAGCCCGAGGCCGGTGAGGAGGGCGCCGCACACGTCCGCCGCCAGCGTGGCCACGCACAGCCCGGCCGCCGCCCTGATCGGGTGGACGTGACCACGGTTAACCCTTACAGGACCATAAGATGTCCAAGACTAAATCAGTATTTTAGATTGTGGGTATAAAGTAACAGATATCTATAGATGTATAGGTTTCCTAATTTCATGGGAAATATTTTTCGATAAATTAAGGTAGTTGCTTTGTAATACAAAAAACACAGTAAAAATTATCAGAAAAGTAAAATAAATAGTTAGTTATGGTATTCTATGAAACAAAGTGAAGCACAAGTGTTCATTGCATAACACATTTATTAGTCCTATTTTCTAACGTCGTTTTGCACAGTTTACGTATCGCTTCAGTTTATTTCCAAAGCTTTTCAGAGGAGACTTAAGATTCTTGTTTGCTGTATGGATGTAAAATATCGGAAATGGCTCGTTTGTTACTCTTTCACGCAATTGGAAATAAGACCACATTGGCTTGAAATAAGGCGAGACATCACGTCGGCGCAACGCCTAAACCTTTATAAGGCGCAAATTCGGCCCTACATGGAAACTTGTACCTCTGGGCGGGAATACCAACTTATAGCATTTGACCGCATAACATGAGAATATCGACGATCAAAGTCTTCCGATCGACTTCATACTTTGGTTCTGCGTAGACATGTTGGATCACTTGCATGTCTACCAACCTATCACGGGGAGTGTTCCGAAGAATTGTTTGGATTGATTCTGGCGGCTGAATTTCACCATCGGACAAAAACCAAAAATTTCATCCACGCCACCTCGATTTCCAGCGTTCCTCAACAGCGAGATTTTCAAGGCATTTCCTGCCTCGTACAAACCGCTCTAAGCTGCCGCCGGTGTGTCAAAAAGAGAGCGCAACTTACCCTCGAGTGTTGCAGGTGGCCATGGGCTGCGGTGATGTCTTACGATCAGGTGTGCCTCCTGCTCGTTTGCCGTTTTCTTCCCATATAAAAAAAATATTAGACCTCGTGCTACATGTTGCGAACTTCGGTAGTATCGGTTCCAACTTGGTGCGGTGGTCTGTAGGCGGAGCGCAGTTCTTCCGAGGCCGTCTTTTCTGTGAGGAGGGCGCAAGAAAATACAAAAATCCCTACATTATTCATAAAGCACTACATATAAATCCAGAGAATTATTCCCACACGTCCGAATACACCAGATATGGACCAGAGGGAAAATTATTTCCCGCCAGCGTGGCCACGCACATGTAAAACCCAAAATAAAGTTATTTTATTTGGTCCGCCTTAGATATTATTAATTCAGCCTGATCGGGTGGACGTGACCACGGTTAATTGTGTTGGCCACAATCACTGAACGATCACAATCCATATACGATCTAATCACTCCTAAAGTTAAGTAATTGACTATATGTTATGTGTCACCGATTTCAAGTAGAAGTGACCAAGATCGACTATAGCGGGCACAGTCACTCATCGCGCCCTATATATTATGTCCTACTTAGCAAAAGCGTCCTCTGTGCGGAGGGCATAGTTCACACGACTCCATTGCGGAATGCAACCTTTATTTTCAAAATATTGTTTTATCATTATTTTGAAAATAAGCGTCACAACCACTCCAATGATATCACGATGCGCAAAGTAATAACATATAATAGATAGAAATGCTATAACAAATATTTATACTATAGACATGTTTTATTTTTAGTTCCAAAAGTTCCCGTTATTTTGAATTATAATGCGAATGTTCTCTACACCTGTCCGAAGAGAACAAGCTACGCGTAAGTTCAGCCGCCAAAAATACAATTTAGGTTAGGTGTAGGGCGACCCCCACTAGATACAGAGACGACCTGTTCAAATGTGCAGTAAGACAATGGATGCAGGTGGCTGAGGGTCGTGCTTCGTGGTAGTTTATGGGGGAGGATTAAGTTCGGCAGTGAACTACAGGCTGAAATGATGACGATCAAAGGGAAAGACTTGTATGGCGTGTTTTCGTGAAGATTCAAAGAGGCGACCGCTCACTTGATATACGGAGCGGGTCTCGCGGCGTAGCAGCCGGGCTGCGCGACGATGTCGAAGGGCAGCGGCGTGGGCGCGTCGGGATCAATGCAGTGCATGAACAGCCCCTGCCGCCAACCGGCCGCCATGAGCCAGTCGGCTGACGCCAGGCCGAGGACCATCAGCACGACCACCAGGAGACCGCATATCAGCGCGATCACCTGCAATCGATCAGCGTACAACTGTTACGAGCGCACGGACATGATGCAATAACAGGCTGTTAACAACAAATCACATTTTTAAACGAAGAATACGCATACTTGTGGTACGAATATTCGGACGTTTGTCTACTTAGTGTTCGGTCGAATACCCGAAAGTAAGGTTAATTGATCAAAAATTATTCGCAATATTAAATTCAAACTAAATTACACGTTATCTAACTAACCTCGCCCACGCAGCAATGTCTGATTAATTATACCTAACCTTTGAGCGAGAAACGAACCAGCCCTCTTACCACCAGACTCAATTTTTATGTGCGAGGACCTCATTTCTACACCAATGGCACAGAAACATAATATACGCAAAGAGAGGCTTTGGAAAGCCAAGAACAAAAATTAAGGGCTTTGCCTCTCTCTCAAAGGATAAAGTCAACCTACGGTCTCTTACCATCGTGAGAGAAAATACCACGGAGCTCTGAATTTGACGGTAACAAGAGACCTTTTTTTTTGGTGACGTGGGGAAAATGCCTATGCATACCCGCCCTCGCGGGGTCAAGAGCGAGTTATGTCGGACTCGCATCGATTAAAACCCCCACTATGTTCCACCTGGGCGCATATCGGCAGGGCCACGGGAACGCTTTCGCACACTTCCGCGACCCTGCCACCGCTGGCCGCCTCAGCAGCCCGCTCCCGGGGATCAACTCCCCTCTCCGCCAGGTAAGGCGCGCTGGCTCCACCCCTCACCACGTTTCGGCCGTGGAGGGCAGGGAGAACGGCGCATAGCAATACTGACACTCCTCTTCCCCCACGATTTCTCCTCGAAATCAGAGGACAGGGAGTTGCTCCACCTCTACCACCCTCGACCTGTCGCCTGCACCCTTCAGCACGCATCCAGAGTAGGCTCAATGAGCCCACTCGGAGTGGCCCTCTCGGGCTGGCCTTACGCCACAGGCCGGCCCACTGTGGGTTCCTCTTAGCTTCGCCGTTGGTGACCAAGCCCAGGGGGGAACCCGGTCGGAGGGGCGGTGAGAAGAGCCCTACGGATGTCGTCGTTCAGTGAACCATAGCGGGAAAAACGGCCAGCTTCTTTTTAACATGAAAGTTCGCGGTGACCTCATTTAAATCGTACCAAAATATAGAAATAACGAATTTAATAGAGAAAAATCTATCTACGTAAAATCTAGGTGGCGCGTGAGAATGAAAGAAGAAAAATTCTTCTTCTAATACTACCTAGAATTTTGTGAGTTGCGCTTTAGTTTATTAACAATACCTGTTTTTGAAAAAGACTGGCTAGATTATATTGTCAACAACTCCGAACCAAGTAAGAACCTATAGACATGACAATATGTTTATTGTTTACGCAGCTATGCAAACGCGATAAGACTTATGGATAATAAACGTTATATAAAAATATTAATGTTACAACTGCGGCAATATTAGGAGTAGAGCATTTTTGTCACGTATGGTATTGCTTCGAGCGCAAAGGACATGAAAGCCTTTATAGAAAATTCTGTTCATACTACCAGACAACTTCAGTGTCAATGTTTAAAAAGATTTTCGAAGTAGATTGATTTCGCACGAGTAAGACTTCAAAACAACGAAAGTTGTTTTGAAGTGACTTCAAAACAAACAAGAAACGGAGAGACTATAAAACTAGCAATTGAAATTGTCACCTATTTAATAGTAATGACTTATATTCCTGCTAACACAGAAATAGTCACCAGTTTACTAATCGACCAATCTAAATCTTATCTAGCGTAAAACCAGAAACTATAGTCGTTTTTTTTTTCATTAAAGCAAACGAAAACATTTTTATGGAATAATGTTTGTCTGACGTAGAAAAAGTATATTTTTGTTCGCTTAATTGGTCTACTTCTAAACTTGAAATTTTATTTCAAGTAGAGTATACAACTTTGAAAAAAAAAATGCTCTCACTGCGGCCTACAGAAATATTAATATTAGTTGACCCGGTCAACTCTAAGCCAAGGACTTAAACAAAGTAGGACATAGGAATTAATTTAAAGAAAAGAAAAATTGTATTGCATTACGTTTTAAATACACTTAAATACCAAGCCACCCCAAGTACCTATCATCCTTAGCTTTTATTTATTTTTGCCCTTTTGCAACTTGAAAACTTGCTCACTTTATGTAAGCTAATATATGAGTACCGTTTTTATCCTGTTTGAAAATTAAATTCTTCGCTTTGTTCAACATAAATCCTCATCTATAATCTTTGTATATAAGTAATTCTTCTGTACGTGTGTATGTCACTGAACTCCTCCTAAACGGCTGGACCTATTTTAATGTGTGTCTTCAAGTTGATTCGAGAATGGTTTAGATTCACAATTCGGGACACTACAACTTTTTTTTTTATTTATAAGTTGTCGAATTTAAGTCGTATGTACAGGACAACGTCTGTCAGATCCGGTAGTATAATATTTGTCACTATGTGAAGCGAAATCTTTTCACCATTTTTAAGAACATCGCGCGCACTGCGGAGTTTGAAACTTAGCGCAGTTAAATATTATACAGAGAAGTGCAGAAACATAAATTTATATACAGTACAACGTTTTATAGGTTTCTCACCTAAATAATCGAGCTTTATAACGGTAAAGTTAAGTAACTTTACCGTAATGTGTCCAATATAACTTGAAATAAAATTCTGAATTCTTGAAATAAATAGAACACTCATAGCTTATATTCATATGAGACTATTGTATCAGACTCAATAGTCTCTTATCAAAGAAATGCACAGAATAAGAATTTCGACCAATAGACTAATAGTACCGATTAAGCTTACTATTTTTTAAACGTACAAACACTCGAGTTTATCATTTCATATCATTTGCATTCGTAGAGCTAGTCACAATATCGATGTTTGGTATTTCGGTTTGATATATGATACGTTAAATATAAATTAAAAAACGTTAAAAATAAACCTTACTAAAAACCATAATTGCGCACCGACGATATAACAAAGCTTAATATTTAAGTTCAACATTTTTTCAGGCGTCAACATTTTTTCAAGTATATATAGATAACGTAAAATAAAAGCTATAAACTCTTAAAGCGTGTTTTATGAAAGACAAATATCACGGACCTGACGCGCACGATGTTTCAACCATCTAATGAAGTCTGCGCGTGACCTCCGTGTTAAACCAACTTTGACGTTAGGCGAGCTCAGTGCTATCATTTTACGTAAAACTGTGAGTGGCGTGGTATTATTGAGATTACGTTAGGCCAAATCCTTGTAAATTTTTGGGCCAGCAGACTGCTAGTACAAAAACCAAGCCAATATAGCACCAACAACATGATTCACACGCAGTGTCGACCCAACATAAGTGGGATAATGACACGAGGATAATAATGATGAAATGTTCCACAAATATTTGATCCAGGAGAGGCTCGAGGGCGAACACGGCTCGTGATGACTATTAATATATTACATGATATGCAATACAAGTGTTGATTATTTATTTATTTACTTATTATTCTCTTTGAATTATAAGGAAATATTACGTAAATAATATTTGTCTACCCGTGAGCAGCAGAGCGAGTCAAGTAAGTTTAGTATTTCAAATAGAATGTATTTATGGTTGGTATAGATCCGTAATTCAAATTTGATATTGGCTTTAAACTCGGTATTGAAATCGATAACGTAAGCAAATACGTAATCAGAGAGAGAGAGATACATAACGCGGATAGAGTTTAATCAAGCAATGCATTTAAATAGGCACATATATATTACATCCCAAATAAAATATATATTATAGGCAGAGAAGTATTCTCTGTCAATAAAATTATTTATAGACAGAGATTTAATTCTTACATAATCCAGTAATATTGTCATTATCAACCTTGCAATTATATTAGGAAAACTTAAATAAATATCAGTCAAAATTTGACTATTGACAATATATTATGATAAATATGGGGCCCCAACTAATAAAACAAAAAGGGTACATAGATAATAAGCAGTCTGAGAGAGTAATTGTCCTAGCACCTTCACTATACAAATTTTCAAGGTATAAAATAAAATAAAACAATGGGGAGATATTCACGTGATAAAATGTTACAAAACGTTATGCATTTATCAGTCACGTATATTATTATTATAAGGAAACTGCACCTACAATGATAAGGTTCATATCGTGTAAGTCCATTGTCCGATATCGGGATACTATCTACGCAATTCACAGAAAATACGTGCATTTATGGCTGTGTTCATCGACAGACATATTCAAAGTAGTTATAATAAACATCAAGTTATAAATTGTAAACAAGGCATTGTGCGATGTTGAACAAACAAATAAATAACGAAGTTGTATTAACAAGTGTGTTATCTCGATAAATTTCTAGGAGACTTCACAATCGCACGACAAATATAAACAAACCGAACGAAGGCAAGCTGCTTACTTGCGTAAAATGGGAATGTTACCACTACTCGGCTGTCAAAACAATATTCGTATGACGGAGCTGCGTTTGAAAATTGCATCTGTCAGGCACCGCAACGAATCGGGTTGAGGCGCGACATTTCCATTAAGGCTGCGGACGAAGTGACTTTTCCGTTGACAAAGAACGTCAGAAGACAAAGGGGGGGAAATGTTCCTACGTAGCACTACGTCGCCCCGTCAGCCAGCGCCTCGGGTAAGAAGTAATGAGTCGCTAAAGTAGAACTAGGCATCGCGAAACAATAGGCGCTGCGACACATGTCTCTATTATTAATCAAGTTGGGAACAACCACCCGCTTTCGGGACGCGGTAAGCTGATACAGCTTGCATTGTGGAAGTATATTTCAGGTTATTGCTTTTTCAACTGGAATGCTAGTGTTGTAGGTGTTATACCTCTGCGTTTCGCCTGGAGAGTGAGCTAGCTGGGGCCCACTTTATTAAAAGGTGGCAACGCATCTACAACACTACTGGTGTTGAAAATGTCAATGGGTGGCGGTTATCACTTAACTTCTAGTAAACCGTCAGCTCGTTGACGAACTTCTAAAATAATCACTATAAAAAAAAGTCGTCCCGCTGTCTGTCTGTCTGTCCCTATGTGTGCTTAGATCTTTAAAACTAAGCAAGGGATCTTGATACGGTTTTTTTATATAGAGATACTACATAGAGTGATTCAAGAGGAAGGTTTATATATATATATATATATATATATAAATAATACATTGCACCCGTGCGAAGCCGCGGCGGGTCGCTAGTATAAAATAATGCGAGTGGAGATTGGAATTTCTATTTCTCATGTCGAGGAACGTCTACAGAAAACAAAAGACTGTAGTTTCAATAAATCCTTAACGCGTGATTTACGAAAGACAAACATCTATACCAAGTCTGCGCGTCAAGTCCGTGTTAAACCAACTTTGATGTTAGGCAAGCTTAGGGCTGTCATTTTATGTAAGCGAGTACAATCAGTTTTTTGGTGATTCAAAATATATTTACCGCCTAATTTTTTAAATTATGAACTCTATACTCCATCTGCTTCGTAGGAGGCAGAGGTTTTAATGCAAAATATTCTGTTTGTTAATCCCCGTCACAGTTTAATTTTCTGATGTACTTAAAAAAATATCTCCATGTTAGAACTTTTGCACTAAAGTTTGCCTAAAATGTATTTCTATGCAAACTTTGTACAACAAAGGTATGGCTTTGACAAGGAACTAGTATACACCAATACAATGATATATTCAGCAACGGCGTAACGATTACGCGAGGAAGACGTATTTGATTAACCGCAATCACGTCCGATTTGCGGTTTGCGAGTTAATTTGAGCGAATATGTTAGCGAGCCAACGGAAAAATGTATCATTTACCGACATTTCGTGTATATCGACTTTTTAAAATTATGTATAATATCCCCATTTTTTATATCAAGGCAAATTATTTAAAAAAACTTGATGCTCTTTGGCTGTTCAAATTGACTGGCCCACTGGTACGTTAATAAGGTGAGTTAGACCAATTAATTCAACAGTTTAAAAATTTTAAGTTTTATTAAATAATATGATATGCCATTAATAAAAATTAAAGGCAACATTAACATCGATATGGAAAAATATGACGTGACAATAAAAATAATTTTTATGACAAAATTTGGCAAGCGAGCAGGCGGTTCACCTAATGTTAAGTTGCTACCTTGTTGCTATCTTTAACAACTGACCGGTTGCATAGGCGTTACTCATCATAAAAAGTGAACATCTCTGAAAGGATTATCTTGATTTGTCAACATCGTATTAACGGTGATCGATCGTCTAAACGGAGAATGGATGAAAACTTTTAGCAAAAACCAAGTGCACAGCCCTGCAGAGGCGAGGGGAAAGAAATACGCGAAAGTGAGGTGGGTGTCTCGAGGGGAGGTGGAGGGCGGGGCGTCTGCATCGATCGGCCGCCGGGGCCCAACGTCAGCTGTTGCCGACCCCGATCGGCGCGGCGTCTCGGACTCTCAGTTTTTCATCTGTTGACCCGTAACGAACGCTTAAGTCTCACTCTAATGAAATACCCCCGTTAGGCTCCCATCAATGGATCGACTATCGATTATCGTGTCCGCTTTCAACATTTCACTCAACTATCGGGTTCCGCGTAAGCTCGAGTACCGCTCGTGCAACTAGTTACGATTACGATACGACAGTAGTGGTGGATGTTACTTTTACAATACGAGGGATGTTTTCGGGAATGTTATTCAGAGAACAATGGAGTACCCATGCACATAGCTCATTTATTGAATGACATTTCTTTGAAGACATATAAATTAAATCAATTAAGTCCCACGAGAGTAAATAGTATTGACGTTATACGTATTTATGGTCTTAGAGGCCATGAATATTCACTAGTAACGGTAAAAGAAAAGTTCCACTTTTAATAACTTCACCCATGCCTCATAATGAGGAATGGAATCAATCAATGTTAGTCACCGACATTAAGTAAAACCGTACCTAAAAGGTTAATAAATAGTCCGATCTCGTAGAAGCACAAAATGTTAAACTTAAAACTGCGTCGTGAGAAAAGAAAAAAAATTGAAACTGTTACTCTTAACTCAGTTTCCTTGAACGAAATTTCGAAAAAGACTAAAAATTGAGATCGTTTTTAATAATATATCTGTTAACAAGTCGTATTCATTTCATTTGAAATGAAGTACTTCAATATTCCAAATGCGATCGTAAGACCGGAAACGGTAGCCAAGAAGGATTTCATTCATCAAATTTTATAAAGCCTAATTCACGTGGGAAGCCAATGCAAGGGGTCTCGAGGCCGTACTGTTGACTGTGTTCATTATAAAAAAATAATACAAAGATTACGCATGCACGTAAAAATATTTTTGTACAATTATTATCAATACTTTTAAAGATAACAATACTTTGAGTTTATAATTAATTACTATCTTAAAGTGCTGTTACATTTAGGTTTAGAATCTTAAAACCTCTTAAACCTTAATCTTAAAAAAACTACGTTTAAAAAAATCGACTTCTAAAACTAAAAGGTATAAAATAACTTAAGGAAGTTTTAATTTAATAGACCTCTTATGCAAACCTAATACATATAATATTAATAAAATACTATTATTTGAATAAGCTACCTATTGATAGGTTTGAAGTTGGTGCCATAACATATGCAACGGTTCATAAAATGAAAACTATTGGGCCAAACTACTTAAAATTTTTATGGGACCAAATGTCAACTATTCTGCATCAAAATAAAGAATCGTCGTAAATCGGATCATAAATCTCCGCGTAATCGGTGTACATACATCAAAAAATTGCCTCCTCCTTTTCAAGTTAAAAATTATAACCCTTATTATAGTTGAATTTATAATCGTAAGATGTGAAATAGTTTATGTTATTGCATTTTAATTGAATACATCCCGCAAACTTTCCATTTTGCGTTTTTTTACCAATGTAACCAGCATCGTGCTTGCGTTATTACTATATTAAAATGATTATAGCTCCGAAATTAACAACGGTCCGTTATTTTCATATTTGAAACCGATTGAAACATTCATGATACCGACGAACCTAATGGGAGAAACACATAACAAAATATAAAAAAACCATGCTTTTTATATTTTGTTGTGTGTTTCTTCATTTTATGTATTAATAAAAGTTTGTAACTTTTGTGTAAACTAAAAACTTCTATCGATGTTATCTATTTAAGAAGACTAGACGGCAAACTTTTTGTTCAATGTGTGAAAAATAAAACTGTCTACATCTCGCATATAAATCTGTAACAGATTTCATTTAATCAGAGAACACAAAAAATTATGCACAATATTTTTACCATTCACACTTTAAACATTTAAAGTATGTGTAAAGTGCGTCTTACTTCAATTCTCACTTACTTAAAAGTACCCGGAGGACCGAGCTTTGCTCGGTTTGTTTTTTTTTTTTTGGTAAATCGTGTGTTTTGGAAATTACATTTAGATACAAATTACTGAGTAATGAAATATGCGTAATATTTTTCGATCTTACCGACCTAATAATAAGAAAATATGAAGTGGCGTTTTTCACAAAAGAAACAACTTTAAAAAAAGGCAAAAAAGTAACAAAATAACAAATCGACAAAAAAATTAAAAATAAAGAAAGCAATGATCTGAAAAAAGTAAAAAAATAAATGTGTAAATGATCGTGACGCGAACCACGGCCGTCTGTTTTGGGGCCGCCCGATTACCGACCGAGCTATTATGACATTTTCTTTTGCGGCGAAATTTACCGTCATATTCGAATGATATTTTTCATTCCCTGGAAATAGGGATAAAGGGACATTTTCTAAAAATGAAACCTAGCTAGATCGATTTTTCGCCCCCGAATCTACGCACATACTAAATTTCATGAAAATCACTGGAGCCGTTTCCGAGATTCCGATTATATATATACATATATATATATATATATATATATATATATATATATATATATATATATATATATATATATATATATATATATATATATATACAAGAATTGCTCGTTTAAAGGATAAGAGATAAGATTACAATATAAGAACGCCAATCAAAACCATCTTGAAATAAACGATGACCTGTTAAATGGAACAATTTTTTTTTAATTTGGTGATTAAAGTGACTTTGTCTTGAATAGTGTATAAATGCAACCTTTCAAATACTAAATAGCTATTATTACGCTTTCGTTTAAAACGCATCAGGATTTCAGAGGGCAGACGGACTAATAATAAGACGCAGACGACAGACGCGTCCGACCCTGATAGACACTCGGCGCTCATATTTGGTGTATCCTAAGTATCAGTAGGGGGAGGGATACATTATATTTTCGCTCACAATTTGATCGGAAGAGGGTTCGGAGACTGAATTATTCACATCATTTACTCAACGAGACGCATCACACTGTAACCGGAAGCATTCATCTGATTTACTTTCTGTTATTGGCTAGTTAAATGAAAATTTATCAATGTCAACAACGGATTACATTGTTGTTTATCTCAATTTCTCACAAACTCTAGCAGGCTGAATACATATAATAGATGCGGTGTCTTTTTACTTTGCAAAAATAATGAAATGGAGTTCTCAAAAACTTTTGGTAATAGATATTCGTAAAACACTTGACATAGTAAATGTCGACCTATCCTTTTAGGTACATACATACTAACCTTAGGTACAAACACACTTCTCGCGTATCTAATAGGTCAGATGTATGTAAAAATTTGCTTCGTCCGAGAACAGTATATTGTTCAGACTGAAGCGCTCCGACATTGTCACGTCAAAAGCGTAACGTTAATTTTGATCATTCAGACTTATAAACAGATTTTATTAATATTTAACAAGTTTTTTCCCAACCCAAATGCGTAAGACTTAAATCGCACACATGCGACATGATCACTGCGTTACACAAAATAAACGTTGATCACCCTCATGAATATTCGCGGACCGACCTACTAATCCCCATCACCAATGTTATCTCATGCCGCTTGACAGTAATAAAGTTTTAAAATTGGTTCACCTTTGCATCCCAAACTCGGCAGGTGATACGAACTTCACAGTACATGGGAGACATTGTATCCATTGTGCTAAAGGATTTTTAATATACTAGATCAAATCTCTGTTCGTAAATCGATGATGCTCCTTGCAGGCTGATCATTTCTCTTACTCTTAATATAATACAACAACTATGCCATGTCTTGTGGGAGCAGGAAACTCTTCTGTGTATCGTATAACCTATAGGAAGGGTTTATAGGAGGTGCACCTGTGCTATCTGGTTGGCCGGCATGTCGTCGTTGTCGGTGGCAAATTGCGGCGGCGGCGGCAGCACCGGCGGCGGGAGGGCGCGCGGCTGAGAGCGGAGCCCGGCCGCGGCCGCACCCGCACGCCCCTGCATGCGCCCGCCGCCGCCCCTATCGAACGCCACGCAGCGCCGGGCTACGCCACGCTACAGCGCTCTATCACGCGCCACGCAACGCTAGCACGTGCTACGCCACGCTACACTACTCTATCGCGCGCTTCGAAACGCTAGCACGCGCTACACCACGCTAACACTCACTACACCACGTCACTAACTACAACCACAACAGCGATTGACCACAGTACGTCACAATACTGCTTCTCTCCGTTTCTGTACACTGCCCGATCGAAACGTAAATATCTTTATTAAAGGGCACGTAGTCTGCCTAATATATCTAGTTCACTTATTGGTGACACAGGCGGATGGTACTCACGTACAGGCTACGAATATAGGTATACGTCAAAATTAATAATGGTAAAGCTCGAGTTAAAAGAAAAATACCGACGCACCCGATTACGCGAATTTAAGTACAAATGTTCTCATTGCACTTGTTTTTATTCAACAAAGAATGGAATATTAACATTAATAAAATCTATATATATAGTATACTACTATAGTAATATCTTGATAAATTAGTTATAATCAAGAAATGTAAGTAATTTCCTAGTAAAATCACACATAATTTTTCATTCTAAATAATTGCTTAAACTGAAGTTGTTCATCGCGTCGTGAGTTAAGAAGTATAACTTAATCTAGTCATAGATATAGGTGAGGGTGGGTATCCGTACGATGGATACAGAACTTGAAAATTCGCTCAAGCACTTTGTTTGGAGGCAGGAAGTGATAAACCGCGAATAATATCACTACTTCTTATAAATTACGCTAATATTCTCATTGGATATGATCATGACGCTTTTGTAATGTAGTCCTCCTGCCAAGAAAATGTCTGCGAACCCAGATCGTAACATAAAATATCGTTATATTTTGTGATCGATATGAATAACCGAACAATATACGGCTTTTCATTCTTCATATCAAAAAAAAAAATATTCTAATTGCGGTTAATTTTTTTTTTCGTAATTAATAATCTTTAGAACATGGTTAATTGAAGTATGCTGTAGCACTGATTGATCTTATCATTATTTAAGCGCGTTTAGAAAAAATTAAGAGTAATTTTTTTTTAATTTTCGCGCACACCGAAAGTGAAAAGCGCCTAACTTCATGGTTATTACCATGGGAACCAATAACAATTTTTGCAATTGCATTTAATCTTTTCATCTTACAATACCTGAGGGCTTGTGTGATGAGACGACAACTTTTAAAAAGTAGGCCCCGGTTACCTCACCCATCAGTCGAAAAGCAGAAGTATAATACTTGCACTTCACGCCGGCTTTCTGTGAGGCAGTGGTATTTCCTGCCCATTCGCACAACAACAGGTGTTGAGTGGCCCTACCACAGTGCTTTAGAAGTGACGCACAATCGTTCCTATACTCTGTGCTAAAAACGCTTCGAATTTTCAAATTACAACGTAACACCGGTTACGATCGGTAACCCAATGCTCATTTCGCTTTTTTATGTATAAGCATAAAGGATACATATTATTTAGCTGAAGCCATGAAACGAGGATGGAAAGTTCAATCAACAGCAGATTTGACCACAGATACATGACATCGTTTACTTTTTTTTTCTTTTTATATGGAATAAGAATTCATTACATATCAGCGATTTTTGTTGTGCTCAATCTACTGCTACACCGTTATAATTAAAAAAAAAACTTTTAAAAATTGAATAAGCGATTTTAGGGAATTAGGGAGGAATTCTTACCGATAAAAAATATGAAACCGCCATATTTTTTATGGGTAAGAAGGACAGAAGTGCATTTAGTATTATTCTAAACTTAACCTTTCAAAATGATTCCGCAATCCTGTTAATACTTAAACGGCTCACCTCGATACGATGTGATCTCAAAAGTCAAGGTATTTACCTTGAAATGGTATGTTGTGATGTCGTGTAGACTTTTTTAATAAAAACATTTTTTAATAAAGTTGATATCTATACTATAGTATGGCTATTATAATATTATAAAAAGGAAAGTTTTTTTTTTTTATTTCTGTATGTTTCTAACGAATTGACGCAAAAACTATTTGACAGATTTCAATTTTTTTTTTTTACCATTAGAATGCCAGATTATCATTGAGTAACAAAGGCTATATTAAATAATACAAAAAATAGGTATGCTAGTCCTACCAAAAGTTCAATAATTAAGCTGGGACGAGTCGCTTTTATAGCATAAAATGATTTTTACACGGTTTAAGTTAACATATATAAGACTAGTAAGTTTATTCACGCGATTTTGTAATGATCCCTTTTTCTCCAGTTTTATGTGGGGTCGAGGTACTCACCCGGACTGGCCTGCCCATTCGCCAACAGGGAGGACTGTTGCGTGGCCCTACCACCACTCTGAAAGCTTCTTTGTAATAAGCTTGCCGCATTTGGATAAAATAAAATATGTTGGTGAAGTAAGAATATGAAAAATTATTATGTTTCGATATGGCGACAGACTCAGTATCAAATTAATTAAGTTTTATTTGAGATTATTGCAATGTAATTTGATTATAAGGTATTGGCATTTCAAAACTATTTCAAAACATTTCTAAGAGGTAGGAAGTTTTTTTTTACTTTGCCCATTACATGCCAATCTCTGTCCAAAGCCCGTGTCAATCTTTGTAGACCTTAAAATATCTATACTTAATATCCATAATAATAAAGTTAAGGAGTTCGTTTGTTTAAATGCGCTAATCTCTGAAACTAACAGTCGAATTTGAAAAAAACTTTTTGCACTTTATAGCAGAAGGTTATAGGGCATTTAACATCACGCTACGACCTACAGGGGCGAAACAGAAATTTTTCTCGCAGATGAAATAACACAGAACAGCTTGTGATATACAGCGTGTCGTTACCATCGCGACAATAAATGAACACACATATAGAGGATAACTTTTTAAAATTGTATTAAACACTTTTACATTCTTTAACCCTTTCACGCCCAAGGGAAATATTTTTCCCTTCTACAAAAATGATTATCGATTGTTCAATTATTATTGAATTGATATTTTTTTTACTAAATGTCAAAGTAAAACGTATGTCCAAGGCGGCAAATGTGTTCTGAATGAATAAACAAAAAATAACTGTCAAACTTTATTGCGCCAAAACCAAAACATTCGCGGGCTGAATTAATAATATCTAGGAAGTGTTTTGGACTTGAGCAAATAAAATAACTTTATTTTTTGTCACGTGTTTTACATTATTTGGTAAGTATAATTTTATGTAATAATACAGTAAACTGCAGAACATTAGCACAAGTACCTGAAAATTGCAAATCATCTAAAGGGAAATATTTTTCCCTCTGGTCCATATCTGGTGTATTCGTTGTATTATTATTATATGTAGTGCTTTATGATAATGTAGGGATTTCTTGTATTTTCTTGTATTTTATACAGTTTACCTTCATGGTTTTTTACAGAAAAGACTAAAAGTGCAGAGAATTTCATATTCAAGATGAAGAACTATTGCTTACGGCGATAGTAGTGACGGAGAAGATAACTTACTACAGACTACAGTTAGACGAAGAAGACCAGCATTTTCATAGCTCAAGATGAACCGATGTTGTTGAAATTGAAGATTCTGTTCAAGAAGTATCATCAACATGTAGCACGAGGTCTAATATTTTTTTTATGGGAAGAAAGCGGCAAACGAGCAGGAGGCTCACCTGATGGTAAGTGATCACCGCCGCCCATGGACACCTGCAACACTAGAGGGTTTACAAATGTGTTGCAAGCCTTTTAGGAAAGAGTATGCTCTCTTTTTGACACACCGGCGGCAGCTGGTTCCACAGAGCGGTTGTACGAGGCAGGAAATGCCTTGAAAATCTCGCTGTTGAGGAACGCTGGAAATCGAGGTGGTGTGGATGAAATTTTTGGTTTATGTCCGATGGTGAAATTCAGCCGCCAGAATCAATCCAAACAATTCTTCGGAACACTCCCCGTGATAGGTGTGGTAGAAGATGCAGAGTGATCCAACATGTCTACGCAGAACCAAAGTATGAAGTCGATCGGAAAGACTTTGATCGTCGATAACCCAAGCTGCCCTACGTTGGATGCGGTCAAATGGAAGAAGTTGATAATAGGCGGCTCCCGCCCAGAGGTGACAACAGTACTCCATGTGGGGCCGAATCTGCGCCTTATAAAGGTTTAGGCGTTGCGCCGATGTGATGTCTCGCCTTACTGAGCGAACCTACCTTCTTTGAAGCCAATGTGGTCTTACTTTCCAATTGACCCCGGAACTGGACATTGCTCGAGATTTCGACGCCAAGTATTCCGATATTTTACATGTAGATAGCAAACAAGAATCACTTAAGTCTCCTCTGAAAAGCTCCGCATTGGAAATAAACTGAAGCGATACGTAAACTGTGCAAAACGACGTATAGAAAATAGGAGACATAATAAATGTGTTATGTGCAATGAACACTTGTGCTTCACAAGTAAACGAAATTGTTTCGTAGAATACCATAACTAACTATTTATTTTACTTTTCTGATAATTTTTACTGTGTTTTTTGTATTACAAAGCAATAAATAAAATACCGATAAAATAAACCTTACTCTTTATTTATTTACTTTTTATGGTCCATAGGGAAAAATATTTCCCATGAAATTATAGGAAACCTATACATCCTTCTATGTTTTTCTGGAGATATCCTCTTACTTTATACCCACAATAGCTAAAATATTGTGTTGTATCGGCATATTTAGTCTTGGACATCTTATGGTCCTGTAAGGGTTAAACATCAATATTTACAGAGTTAAATTTTCCAAAATAATATATATATATATATATATATATATATATATATATATATGTGTGTGTGTGTTAAAATATATTTGTAATGTTATTATTGTATTCTAAATAAATATGATATGAAAAATTAATTTTCAAGACCAAACCTTAAACAATATGAAAACGAAACAGTTATATGTTTTGTATAACATATTTTCCAGAACAAACTTGACCACCAGATTTAATTTCGTTGCGAAATTAAAAAAAAATAAATGTAATTCACAATTCAAATTATCTGTAACGAAATTGCGAATCCTCTCCGTATAACTATAGCGAAAGTCGAACCAACAATAAAAGCACATCACTAGGGCTTCAAAAATTGAATTAACCATCGAGCTTATACTCTTTAAACTTGAATAAACGAAACGGACCATCGAGCATGCTGCTCTTTAAATTAGGTCGAAGCAGCGAGGGAGCGTTACCGTAATTGTAGGGAAAAACTGGCATCCGAACGAGGTCGCGCGTACGCGTCACACGCGAGTGCCGTTCAACAAAAAATCAGACGCAATACAGCACAATGCGCCGAGCCTTAATACGGTCGCTGCGAACGGCACAGCCGGCGGGGATTCATCGTCGCCATATTTTTACGTTTAAACTATTTGTAAACTCTCCAGCGAAATGACTAAGAGTTGGTGAATGCCATGATTTTGAGCGAATCGACTAAGATAACCACAGACAACCAGAGAGCAGAGTTATAATGGGGCTAGAGGTAAATAGAATGTTGGGTAGAAGACCACTCGATTTAAGACCTCTACGTAAGCCAATAAGAAAATATTTTGATGTGACTTATAATACAAGTGCAAAGAGTTGTCAAGATCATTTGCTAATTATAAACTAGGAGAGTTTGCTTCGATTTATGATTTAAAAGTAAAGTCATTTGTGAGTTGTGAACACGAATACTTGCTATATATAATTTCTTGTATTTATGCGAATAACACACATTTACGCGAGTTTTTCGCGATTAATAATAAGTCTTAATTTCCGACTTTAGGAACATGTTTTAGAAAAGCTTATTGTCTGCCAGTCTGTAAATTAGTCTCATTTAATAATAAATCATTTTCATCTCCTAAAACGACTCCATCTTATTTTTATGGAATAAGGTGGCAAAACCTTGATGGTAAGCGATCACCTCCGCCCATGGCAACTTGCAACATCGGTGGAGTCTTACGTTGCCGGCCTATAAGGTAGGAGCAGTATCTATATTCAAATATTAGGTAAATTAGTGTTATCATGCACTGAATCGATTCTTTTAATAATACAACGATACTAATAACGATAATCTCTAAGTAATACAGCCAAATCAGGTGGTAGCACATGATAAGCTGCGAAGACCTTCATACGAACTATCTCAAGCGCAAAAATAAACCCAAAATCTTTATGGAGTAATTTATTGGCAATAGTCTAATATCAAACAGTTGAATCATACATAAAGGCAAGAAGTCTGGCCTGAATTCAATTCCGTATAGAGAACGCTACTAACATATATAATTAAATACCACGCGGTGTAACGGAGATATTATTGTTCCCTCGAACTAATCGAAATTAGCACTGATCGGCAATATAACGATATACATCCACTATCCTTCGTTAATTCGAATCGTTATTAGTTACGGCTTAAGATTAACGAAACAAAAAACTACGTTATTTACACGTCAAATGTCACCACTTAAATTGCTCCAGCGGAGCGGGAACTATGTCGTCTCGTCTTTCTTAAGTTCACACCCGAATCGTTCAGACTCGTGTTTAAAGGTGAAACATTCGAGTGTAGTGACCGGAAACTTTTACATTCAAACAAAGAGAACTGGACTTTGTTTTACGAATAAACAGTGGAGGCAACGTGTAATCCAATAATAGAAAAGGTAAATAAACCACGCCGGCGTAACACATTCTGCCTTTGATAATTATATCGGACTGCTATGCCACGAGCGAGGACGATGCGTCATATTATGTACTAATCTAAGTAAACGAAGAGAAATCAGAACGCGAACGCTCTCGAATGAGTTGAAAGTGAAAGCTATATTTCGTTAATAGTGTAAAACATTCACAATTTTGTAGACGATATTGCGAATATAGATTTAACAAGCTAAACTAATAAGGTCAAGGATACCTTTAACGTGTTTCATTCTATGGATTTGGTACAATCCATTATTTTACAATTTAAGATCATACAAAAATAAAAAGTAAAACTATGCTAAAGAAATTGAAAACCGTCGGTAGAAAAAATCGACTCAAATATTCCGTCCTTTGCGAGTATTGCGCATTGGGTCGCGCCGGTTTCACAATTAAGCTTCGAACGTCATAAACTCCGGTTGCCCACAATTTGTTGTCTAACGATTTGTTCGCTTACGGTGATACACTGTACTCTTTTGTTTGTTTGCGATGAAGGGATTGAAAGCAGGAGAGTTGTTTTGGATGGGTGTGCAGACGCGGCCGGAGGGCGGAGGCTGCGCTCGGGCGAGGGAGCGGGCGGCGCGGCGCCTGGCACGAGACTGCCGCCCGCCCGAGCGTGCCGCCCGCCCTCGCACCTCGGCCCTCCGAGCGCCAACAAAACACAGATCGCGAGTCCATGAGTTTTATTAGCCTACGGCGACAGATCTACGGGCGAAGGTGGCATAGCGTGCGCACAGTTCCCGCCGTTTAGGACACAGCGTTCAGATCTTCCGATGGACGGTGCCGATCTACACCTGAGTTATCTGGAGGCGCGGCTGCGGCGTGCGACGCGGTGGGCGCCGCGGCTGCCGCTCGCAGCAGCCGCTGAGAGCACGCAGCCGCCGTGCGCACTCCCGCCTCGTCGGCAGCCTGCACCACTTCCTGCGCGGGCGGGCGCCGAACGTGGTCATCATTCTGTCGCCGGGCTTGGGCGTGTCGAACACGATCTTGGGGCTCTCCACGCTCCCTGAGCCGGGCGTGATGCGGCACCTGGCCCCCGTTATCGCCTTCTTCAAGCCCCTCAGGGCCCTCTGGGCCGCGTTGCCGTCCTCCTTTATTTCTAGGCCTTCGTCGCGTGGCAGGATCTTGAGCCGACCGGGGGGGGAGTCTTCCACGGGCTCTTTATGCGGTTTCTTTACGATGAGTTTTAGTCTGTCGAGCAGCGTCGGCGGCGGGTCGGTGTTCGTGCCGACGGTGCAGAGCCGCGGCCGGTAGTCGCGTTCTACCGTGGTCGGGAGGTAGGGTTGTTCGTGTAGGGAGGTGGCGCGTCGGGGTAAGGGCTCGTCTTGCGAGTACGCGACGTGCAGGGTGCTGATGCTCATGGGCTGGTGGGGCGGCGGCCAGAGCTCCCTGGTGGGCGGCACGGGCGAAGGCCTCTCGCCGAGCATGCGCCGGGCCAGCTCGCCCGGCTGCCACAGGCAACTGGCCGATAGATCACCGTGCGTGTGCATCACTAGCCAACAGAACACTGGCCGCTAACCGAACTCGTTTGCTAATCCAATACTGGGCTTTGTGCACTTGACGGTATTCACGGGAGATAAAACATTTCATAATTGGATATACGACAGTGTTCGCGAACATTATGTTTTGCACAGGGTTACTTTTATTAGCTCTCCCGCATGTGAACTTAAATATTTCTTTGAACAAAATGAAGATTATCTTAAAATTATAAATAAATACTAGATACATTTTATAATAACTAACCAAAATTACTACTACTTATACATATTTTAATAATTGCTTACTTCGTGTCATATGTTCTATATTAATAATTTAAGAACAGTAAAAAAGTTTTTTTTTTTAAATAAGAAGAATCTTTGAACACAAAATTGATACTTTATGATGAAATTACCAAGAGAATTGAATTATATCAATAAATAAAATATATATAACGTACATTATGAAACATAATTCCGTTGACTATAACGAATGTTCTATTATGCCGACGAAACGGTTTACGGTCACGAATCACGTGATTCCAGTGAGAGCAGGAAACGGGTCCATTTCCACTGAAAATTATTGAGAAATTAGACATCAGTTCCGTTTTAGGTCAAGCCCGAAATATCGATCTATTTAGTTGAACTTTTATCTGCAAAGAAACCCCTTACGTAATATTCATAAATTCCTTGGGTATGTATATAAATATACTCAAATATAAAAACGATAAGGAACAATTTTATTGTTACTCTTAGTTTGATAATTTTAGTTTGTCTTATCCTGAGGATTTGAAAAAATAATCAACAAGGAATATTTTTCGTCAGTTTTATCACAACACTGATTAAATTCATGAGAAATAATTTTTAATGATCCAAGCACTACTATTAGTGCGACATACTAATATCTCCCATAGTTGATCGCTAAGTGTAAGTTGAACACGTTCTGTTTGTTTTGCCTTTATTAGGGATAAGACAGATAAAAGTTTAATTTATGGAGGCTCCCTTGCCGAAATCAAAGCTTGCATTCGTGTGGGCAGACTAACGAGTAAATCAATTATGGTTTCTCACGGAATACGTTCCTACTCCGGATTTAGATATTCTTTTTCTCTCCGATTTTCAACATCCCAGGTATGATGATTTATAGTATTTGAGTATATATGGGATTGAAGTCGGGACTCCGAGCTTGCCATCCAAATGACCTATTATGGTAGAGCCATATACGTTATCGCCAGACCGGTGAGTGGAAAATTTAGGCTATGCTGGTTATGTATGCACGACATACTGACTCGCTAGAAAACGTTTACCATGGCTCCGAACTTGTTTTCTTTCAGGAACATGCCTTCGATTGACGGAAACGGTATTTTTTAAGCGCTGCCAGGTCATTTTATCGAATTCTTGCAACGGCCGTAGTTGAAGAAGAAAACCGAAAAACATCGCGAGATAAGAAGGTACAATCATTGCAATAACATAATTGTGTGATTAGCAAAACAAATTTTAACAAATTTTGCTAATCAAATTTGATCTCCAGTAAAACTTTTCCGCACATGAGTCATGTGTAATGTCATGTGAAAAGTCATGAGACATGACACTGCACTCAAAAAGCGATATTACATAAGAAAAATCTCTATATATAAAAATGAATCGCTGAATGTGTTTCTAAGCGCAAATCTCGAGAATAGCTGAACCGATTTTGCTAATTCGTTTTTTATAATATTCCTTAAAGTACGAGGATGGTTCTTTCTTTCAAAAATTTAAAAAATTGCCTCAAAAAGTCTTAAAACAACATATTCCCGTACAAAAGATTCGTAATAATACTTAAAAGTCAATTTAAACTTTAATACCATACCATAAAGTTATAGTGTTAGTGGAGGGGTTCCGGGAAAGCAAAATAAGTGACTGTGTAAAATGTCACTTTAAATGTAAACGTCTCTTTGTTGTGCATCACTACATAGTATAAAACAAAGTCGTCCCGCTGTCTGTCTGTCCCTATGTATGATCAATCTTTAAAACTACGCAACGCATCTTGATGCGGTTTTTTTTTTCTAGATGGAATGATTCAAGAGGAAGGTTCATATTTATAATACATTGCACCCGTGCGAAGCCGGAGCGGGTCACTAGTTATGTAGAATATTAACACCAGCATAAATACTAATAAATCATAAAACATCACAGGGTAATCACTATCAACAACATTTATTTGTATAATGAGTTCTTTTTTTTATGCGAATAATATACATTTTTGATGAAGTCTCGACCCCTTTCCAACTTCGCAGACTATTATATTTCCCGTAAATGCTGGAAAGCGGAATTTAAAATGAAATTAAAGTAATAAAATCCGTAAAATAGTTTAATTTACCAAATGTAATATTTATTTACATAAAACATTGGTACGAAATCTAAGCTAACACGTATAACAAATTTTTCCACTATATTTTGAAGGAAATAAAAAGCAGCTCACGCGTCTTTCTACCGAAACAGAGCTTAAACTAACTAGTGACTATCGAATACGCCTCATTCACATGACTAACGATTAAAGACCTGGGCTTTTTATTAACTACCGATAGAAACAAGTAACTACATCCATAATCTGTCCTTACCTTTAGCGGACGGGTTATCGTCACCGTCTCGATCATAGTCGTCGAAGCCATTGTGTCAGACGTACCCATTCCTGTAATAAATTTACTCCATTAATAGACAATTAAAACCAATCATCTGATTTACACTTGTACGTGTAAAAACGAAAGTTTACCAAACTAACGTAATTATGGTTATAGAAAATTCTGTAATTTACGTATTCCGTATAGTAAAGAACACAAATAATTTTTCGTTACTGCCTTTAAGATAACGACACCATGTTTCGAAGTTTTAATACTATTTAGTTATTTCATTTACATCGGGGCCTAGAAAATTTAACAAAATTGGGAATCCTCAGTCCACTCCCTTTGTTACCTTTTTTTTCTCAAGGTTAGCAATAAAGCATAAATAAATAAACAAAAAAAATCTTTGTTTGTTAAAGCTATTCATATCTGGTCACACAACGAAATGTCATCATAAAAGAATGAAGGTGACATAAAAAAACCACAGTCCCCTTTTAGTAACGCCTTTTTTTTTAGTTATCACTGTGGAAGGGCCACCTGATGGTGGGGAATTCTAGGTCGACATTAGGTCGATATTGCGCATGAACCAGGGTGCTCCCGTGGCTCTGCGCAAGAAAAGCTTAGGTGAACTAACTACTGCCTTACTATAAGGTCACTGTTGCACGAATAGGCAGGTCCGTCCGGGGTAGTACCACGACCTCACAGGAGCTCGGCGTGAAATGGAAGTGTTACACTTCTAGCTTTCATTTGGTGAGTGAAGTAACCGAGGCCAGTGGCGGAAAATAATGCATTATTCTCGAAGGTGTTTTTGTAAACATGATAATACGTTAATTATTTTTCAAATAATATGTTATTCATCAAAAGTATTTAATTTAATGAAAATTGCCCCTTACACCATTTTATCTCAATGAATATTTTGGGAGATATAGCAGTTTTCAAATAAATTCGAAGCGAAATAATGATCAAGTATTGCGCGTGCATTTATGATTTGCAAGGCCGGCAAGCAGTCATCGGGGGGGAGGGCGGCGGCCCAAAGTAACTATTCCACGCGCACGTAGCACGTAGCACGCAAAGTAGCGGGTAGAAGCTAGTGTTTATATAAAACTAATATTCAGGAATTTTAAAATACTTATACTTTTACCATAAAATTATAACCATTTATCTGAATATTTTTTGCATTAAATGGTTAACCAGTAAAAAGAAAAGTAAATAAAGTAACAGCCTACATATGTCCCACTCTTGGGGAAAGGCCTTTGTACAAAGGATGTTAGGGCACAGTGACCTGTGGATTAACGGACTTCATATACGTTCAAAGTATTTTTCTTGTTATTATTTCGAAAATAAGTGGAATTAATCGCAATGATTTCCTTTGCAGAGTATTTGATTAGGTTAATTAGAAGTTATGTAAAAACTTTTTTTTTTACGTAAGAAGTTAGCAACGGAGCCGGCGGTTCACCTGATGATAAGTGACAACCACTGCCCATGGACATTTCTATTTTTTTTTTAATTATAAACATTGCCCTTACATTAGGATATCCTGTGTTGTAAGGATGTTTTACAAATTCAGATGCAAAGCAACTATCTGTGGGTCACACAAATTGTTGGCCTGTGTGGGAATGGAACTCTCGACTCCAGACGCTGAAGTATTAAGTAAGATTTTGGCCTTGGCAACTGCAGCACCGAGTCGTTTCCACCTTTTAATAAAGTGGGCCTCCCCATTTACCACACTAACCAGACAAAATGCCAGAATTATATAACACTTTCTTTCTTCACACCGGTCTTCTGTAATGTTGTTGTACTTCCCCAGATGGACCTGCCCATTCCATAAACAGCGAAGTGCTACTATTAAAGCTACACATTTAATCAAACTTTTTTATGGTATTTTATTTCACATTTTATTCCTAAACATTTAACCGAAGAATTAAAATATTTCTTAATCCAGAAATAGCTAATTAATCTATATAGACTTATACTATTCCTATGTTTATTATTAACTTTAGAATAGCAGTATATAAAAATGTGCTAGAGGAAGCTAGCTAATTCACAAACTTGAATCATTTAATAAGAACACTGTAGCATTTTAATTTGTATAAGCAAAGTGTATAATTAAAAAAATACTTATTGCACACAGATTAATTACGACTTACAAATAGTGCTTATATCAAGTTTTATGATATCTTATATAATATATAGAGTATTTAAGCATATCACAAGAACCATGATTGACATAAACATTTATATTAAAATTATCTGAGCTTCACATAACATTTATTTTTGTTAATTAACAATTATGACAAAGTATTATTTTGCTATTTGAGATATTTATTGTATCCAATACCCATATAGAATATATTACATGGAATGATTTATAATAAGTTATAATTCTTGGACAAATTTCTACATTGACTTTAAAAATTCGTTTTGTGTGTATTTGTTTATTAACTAGGACTAGGATCAACTATAAAAAATTATTTCCTTAATTCATCCTAAGTATGTGATTACTATTATGTAAAATCGGGATAGTTGGCGCACTTTGGGGGAGGCTTACGTTCAGCAGTGGACGGCAATAGGCTGATATTGAATGTAATTATTTCATTTTATCAATTACTTTGAATGAAACTAAAGGTTTTCGTACAATACTTACATGTAAACAATACAATTCTGGATTATTGATTATTTTTATGTGTTATTGTTAGGTTTTGTTACTTTGATCAGATTTTTGAATTTATTACTCGACCCGATGTCAATGCTAACACAAAAAGTTGATCAATGTTATAAAATTCATATATTCAACTCATAAACTACCATTATAGACCAATAGTGACCATTAACATTTAACTAAAATTATTTTCATTTCTATCACAAACAACACATCCGAGGATTCACAATTTACTTTTTATAGTGATGTGCTGATCTGATGTTAGGGATGCCGAAAAAATAACGATATTTTTGGACGATATATTTTGATTCGATATATCGATGTAAAAAATTTAATATCGAAATCGTATCAAAAACGATATTACATTTTGTACTATAATTATGGTATTTATATTAAAACTTGATGCCTCATACTTTATACTATTCATATCTTAGGGACAACATGGTATAGATGTGTTACAAATCATTAATATTTAACTATATATTAATACATTTATAAATAGCATGCAAAACATTAATGGCATCAACTAAAGTTACTTTAATTTAATATATAAATAAAATTAACAAAAAAATTGAATTATAATCAAATTCTCTTAATTAATTATAATTAAATGTCATATAATATTATATCGAGCTTTCATGAAAAAATTATTTGACGACATAAAAATTATTATCATTTAACCACATAAGTAACTTCTTTAAATTGTCGTTCAGCATTTTCATTTCAATCAAACAACTATAACTAAATTCTGTTGATCTAGGCCTGTCTTTTAGGTCACACAAGTCTCTGCCGGTTTCTTTTTGATCCATTATTAACTTCGTTTTAAAAAATTCTTTATGTTTTTTTATAAAGTTACATGTTTTTTATTACTTATTTTTTGATTCGATTAAGGGTTAAAGAAACTGATTTGTCTTACTAAATAAGCTGTTTGTTTTTTCCAATGAAGGTCTGGATAAATGTTATACATAGAAATTTGGATTTATAAAAGAAATTAGATTAAAATTAATAAATAAATAATGTTTTATTAAAATTAATGTGATTTTGGTATGAACATTACTATAACTTATTGAATCAGGCTGAACTAAATACATTATTTTTTTAAAACCGAAAATTTGACCGATATATCGACATATCGATTTTTTTTTTCGATATATCGAGGCCGATATTGATATTTTTATAAATATTGATAGATCGATTTTTTTCAACTTTCGGCATCCCTGATGTGTTTGAATTGTGATATAGATTATATTGTGAAATATGTAAAGTAAAACACAGGCTACAGATAAAATAGAAGACCACATGTTTTTAGAAATGGTAGTGTGCATTATCGATGAATATTCTGAAATCTTGAATCGAGATAGATTTTCTGTATGAACTGTGACTGTTTAAAGTATGGACAAGACTATTTTTGAATTACAACGGAAAGTTTTTAGATGTTACAATGTAATAATTAAACTAAAGATGAAGAAGCGGCAATGTTACACTACTTATAGTATTTTTAAAAACTCGTTGTGCGAGATTACTATTTGGAAAAGTGTGTGAATGTGTATTTATAAAAAACTCCTTTAGTAGTCTTATATCTAACATGTTATCAACAACAAAATGGCGGACTTTCTTGGTGAAAATAATAAGTTCTAAGTGATTTATCTTTCTCGAATTGATTGATTTCCACCTAATAAAAAATTTTTTTGGTGGAAAATCACCCAGCGCTAATAGAAAATTTCACCAAAATTCCTAGTGAGCTGAATTTTGTATACACCTTTATAAGTTAAGGTTTGACGTTTTAATGAAGATGTGAAAAATCGACATTAATATCGTCCTGGCTAAAATAGTTATAAAGGTCAAAAGGTAACCAAAATCAGTTTTTCGATAATATCTCACTATATATTGCTCGGAGGTCAATAGAAGTCATTATAAAACTTCGTTGTCATGAAATTATCTACATAAAAATGCTTCTTGTACTTTCGTCTAAAATTAACCTTTTTGGGAGTATAAGCTGAGAAAGCTACTAGAATGTACTCACAAACGGTACGGTATTGTATACCGTACACCAAGTCGTAAAATCTATTGCTTTTTATTTTTGTTTGTGTCTCGTAAACTTCTACCTAAAATTTTGGCGTTTTGTGAAAAATATACTTATATTGTATACGTTTGGTAACTTAGTAAAAACAAGCCCATAATACATATATACTTTCAGTATATATGTCTTATCTACGCTACTACATTACTATGAGTACATCAATTGTCTACTCATGATTGTGATTTGTGACGCACCCACAAGATTTAAAAATCGTATAACTCCGGGCTTGCATCAGGGTACAACACTGATCATTCAAAATTTACCAGAATTATGCCATAAAATAACATAATATGTAATTTTTCAGCATTATATCCTTACAAATTAAGTCATCTTTCATCATAACTATTAAGCTCTACTAATTAGCTAATTAATAAAATAACAAACTACCAATTCTCTTGATACTAACAAAACTAACTAAATTTTCAAACCAACATTTTGTGGAAGAAATAAAAGGCTTTTTTATTGTATTCATTTATTTAAATAGCTGTTAATTAAAATTATTTAAATAGGTAGTAATGCTTTTTGGTGGTACCATCGGAATATAATCTGCATGTATACACCGAGAACGAGACCGAGAACCGCGGTTGGAGCCTAGTGCCAGACCAGTTTGCTTTTGAACAGTTTACGTAAATTTTTTAATGTTATTTAATTGCAAATCTGCTATTATCGTCTCTGTTATGAAGTTAACTATGATTCTTTTAATTTGCGAAGATTAAAAGTTTTCGTTGATTTAATATTTTCGTAAATCTTATAAATTTGGAAAATAATTTGATTCTCCTATACTAATGGTTTCGTAAATTCATTTCTTTCCTAATTTAATTTTTGTAACCAAGGTGAATATTCTTCCTCTAGATACAGTCCACTATCGGTTGAAAACCCAAAGCAAAGGTACAAACCTTCGATGACTCCGTGGCGTAGTTGCCAAGGTATTGGCTTCGGCGTCGAGGGTCGTGGGTTCGATTCCCACAAGGGACAACTATTTGTGTGACCCACATATAATTGTTCCGAATCTGGGTGTTTGTCCGCGTGAAGTTTATGTTTGTAAAACGTCCTTACAACACAGGATAATGTTATCCTAAAGTAAGGGCAATGTTTAAAAAAAATCAAAAAGAAAAAAAGAAAAAACCTCCATCCGAGGAAAGGTCTAAAGAAAAATCTAAAGGTCTAAGCGTAGTGATTACATTCTCTTTGGTTGATATGCGCGCGCATCCAAAAAATTACTTTCATAATTTTTCCTAACGCTCCAATAAAGTATAATTTAAAAAAATGGAATCTTTTCTAAAAAGTCAACGGAAATCTTTAGTACTTTTTTTTTCTATGATTGTGGCGTTTTGTTATCCTTTATGCCAATGACAAGTAAAATAGTACTTTGTTAGAGTCTGTATCTAATGTAGGGATGCCGAAAGCAAAGAAATATATCGATATTTATAAAAATATCAATATCAACCTCGATATATCGAAGAGAAAATATCGATATTTTCTCCTTAAGCCCGGTTATCCAAAAAATAAATTGCATGCCAAATATAAAATATTTGAATGTACAGTCTGTCACCGATTCGAATTTGAAAAAAAAACATCGTTTTTGATACGATCTCAATTTTGAATATTTTTTATCGATATATCGGATCAAAATATATCAGATAAAAATATCGATATACCGATTTTTCGACATTCTATCCCTTATCTAACTGTAAAATGTCAATTGTCAATGTCATATTTTCCGGTATCTTGGCGGCGGCGCGCTCGCTTCCTTCCTTTTCAGAAGTTTTAAAGGAATGTTTTGTGTACAAACTAATTCTGAACAAACTTTTCATTTAATTACAGAAAGATGGCTGGTATTAAATCTCTGGCTGTAAGGGGTATAAGAAGTTTTGGACCTGAAGACAATGATGAACAAAGAATATCTTTTGAGAAGCCATTAACTCTTATTTTAGGACAGAACGGTTGTGGTAAAACAACCATTATCGAATGTGTTCGTTATGCTCTTACAGGGCAAATGCCCCCAGGAAGTCGCAATGAATGTTTTGTTCACGATGCAAAAGTTAATAGATCAACAGAAGTATTAGCACAAGTTAAATTGAAGGTTTGAATTTAATGATTAAAGTAACATATTTTACTATTTACTGAGAACAATGAACACTAAATAATAGACTAGATCTATTCATAACTCTGAATATATTTTGTTTTTATACTTTGCCCATTAGAATTCAATAATTTTTCCTAAAATCCATGTTATATTTTTGTATCATGCTTGCTTAAATAAGTGCATGTAATGAGCCGATGTGATGATGTTGACACCAGCTCATTTCTTGTAATATCTTGTGCATTTTTTAGCATGTTAATGATATGATATGTCAACAATGTAGCAAACATATTATCATTTTCAGATTGTGAATGCGAAAGATGAACAACTTGAAATCGCAAGATCTATGAGAGTAACAGCATTACAAAAGAAAAAGAGTAAATTCCAAACACTTGATTCATTTTTATCACTCATAAATGAGAAAGGAAAAACAAGGGATATCTCTTCTAGATGTGCAGATTTAGATTCAATGATGTTTGAACAATTAGGTGTGTATGATTTAGTATCAATGTATTATCATACTAATATTATACTACAGTTGAGTGGCCTCATGAATCTGCAAAGGAAAGGGAGAGAAGTCATTTGTGAACAAATAAATTGTCATTAGCTCGGGCAACCATGATTTTTTTGATGCTTTGCAGGATTCATTGTTATTTGTTATTCAGCTAAATTATAAGAATATTGTTACATAAAGTTTCAATGCTCATTGCAAATCACATGTGGTATTTTCTTTGGATGTGGAATATTTTGGAATCACAAATCCCACCACCACCCATCGTTAATTACTGAATTGGAAATATGTACCTTTAATGTGCTAAATAGCAGGTATACATCCGCTAAACCACCTACCAATCGCTAAAGATCTTTGCGATAAGTTCCGAAGATTTGGAAATCTGGTACTTTTAAATGAATGATGAGGAAAGTGTATTTTATGATTTATGTCCAACAAAGAGATTAAAGAGACAAAATTTAATAAGATTTCTAATTTCACATATGGTGTTTATTGTGATTTATAATGTATATAGAATCTTACCACATTGATATGTAAAGTCAGATTAAAAGTTCCAAACTGGGCTGCCATGGCAGTATTTTATAGGCCAACAACTTTTACACCAGCTTGCAAAAATGTTTGTTGCATTACCGCGGGATGAATATATTACGATTTACTTTAAACAGCAATTAATTCCAAGCAGATTTTCTTTTTAGTTGATTCCCAGACTTATCACATCATTTTGTCTAAAGTCCTCTGATAGGTCTTGCAGTTACAAATAATAACATGATTCTTCCCATTGCCGAGCTCTCGATGTTTTCCTCGTTCATAATAATTGATGTAAAAATATTTCAATTTAAGATATCTCTGATTATTGTTACATCAAAATTTTAAAAATGTAACGGTTTTGATATTGGTGACATAATAAAATATAAGTTAGAAAAAGTAGGGGTTCAATTATTGCGAAATGTTTTAGCTACTGAGGAGATAGTATATTGCATACTAAAGTAATCCACATAATTACTAACAATGTTTACTAAATTACTACTGCTGCACAAAATACTTTTAATTTTATTTGCAGGAGTTTCAAAAGCTATAATGAATTCAGTAATATTTTGCCATCAAGAGGATTCTAGTTGGCCTCTGGATGAAGGGAAGAAAGTAAAAGAGAGGTTTGATGAAATTTTTGAAGCAGACAAATACAGTGACTGCTTTGACCGTTTAAGAAAAATAAGGAAAGAATATGAACAGGAAATAAAAATTTTAGGTAAATAGTAAATCCCATTTTTTAAATTTATACCGTGAAACATTATTAATTAAATTGCTAGCTTAATTATTACCTAATACCTATATTTTAATTAATGTCTTATACCTTACCTTTTATTCTATTTGGTAATTATATACAGCGTGTCGTTACCATCGCGACAATAAATGAACACACGTCTAACGCTACGTGCCAATAATCATAAAAAAAAATTAACGTTAAACAAAATCCATAATTAAAAAAAAATATTTTTCAAGCAAATAATTAAGTAAAAAAGAAACAAAATTTGTAACATCCTATACAACTCGCGCCACAGCGTCGTATTACAAGCCTCTCCTTCTAACAGTATGTTTTGTCTCTTTTAAATTCATTGAACCCATTCATATGCTTTGTGACCATTACAAATGAACTTTACGTTACGCTTTTATAGGTAAGGGTGTTCTAAAATTCTTTGTTTTGTAAAATTTAATAACTCTGTAAATATTGATGTTTAAAGAATTAAAATGTTTGATACAACTTTAAAAACTTATCCCCTATATGTGTGTTCATTTATTGTCGCGATGGTAACGACACGCTGTATATACAATTGTTCGAAATATTCAAAATTTTGAGTAAATTATACTTGGTTTGATGCAAAGTTAATACCCATTTATAACACTAATCAATATTACTGTAATCATTTTGTATTTAAGAGGAGAAAGTGGCCAACCTAACAGATAAGAAGGAAAATTTAGATAAGAAAAAGTTAGATGTTGTGAATACCGAAACCCAGATCTCAGAAGCAGAAATAAAAGTATCAGAATTGGAACATCAAATAAAACCTTTAGCTGAAAAAATTAAAGCTATCGAAATTCTGCAAAAGAATTTGGTTGCAGTGGAATCTAAGCGAGAAAAAATTAAGACCAGGTAAAACTGTTTATAACTTCTGAATTTAAATTGTTAACAATTCCTCAATGAACTCATTAATCAATGTGTTGATTTTAATTGTTTTATAAACTATTTTTAGATTGGAACATTTTATAACACAAGAGCAAGAGTTGAAAAATGCTGTTAAAAGTGTATTTGAAGGATCACAAGCAGAACTAGAAGAGAATATAAGTATGTTGTATCCTATAAAATCATTAATTTTAAGATCATTGCTTGTAAAGTTACAGATAAAAAATCTCTGTAACCAACCACTCCCATAGGAGAAAAAGGTCAAATATTTAGGAGTCACTTTCGACTTACGCATGACTTTCACATCGCATATTTACGATATTAGACACAGAGCCGCGTTCGTCTCCGGCCGGCTCTATCACCTAACTAATGCGGCAAGTAAAATGCCCTTAAGGCACAAATTATTATTATTATATAAGGACTGCGTAAGACCTATTATGTCCTACGCGTGCATGACCTACGTCACAAACCCTACTCGCTTGTACAATTTGCAAATAGTACAAAATAAGTTCATCTGCCGCGCAACCAGTGCGCCGCGGTATCGACGCAACTTCGACCTGCATGCACAGTGACAGCAGACTCCCGACGAACATTGGGAAACATTTTAAAGATTTCACCAAACGGTTCTTCGAAAGAGCTGAACATCATTTAAAACCTCTGGTGGTAAACATACAAATTATCCAACCGACACTAACGCGAACGTCAACAAGCGTTGCCCGCGCAACGTCTTCATCGACCCAGTCGAGGAAGGGGACTTTACGTCGGACCCACCGTCGAGGGTCCCGCCAAATAACACTACACACAGTTAGTGCATCAATAAACATCATAGTTCGTCTTCGCCTTAGAGCACGGAGAAACCAACTCAACGCGTACACTAGGTACACCCAGGTTCCGGGGCGGTACTCACCGCCCCAAGCCACCGACTAACCAAGTACACAACACGGTAAACGGCCATCGGGATCACGGTCCGCACCGAACCTTGATGGCCCGTAGGCGATATGTCATAGTTAACGCACGCATGAGTACATGCGCGGCCCGACCGACTGAGGAGGGCCTCAAACCCGTGGGTTCTGCCTAAAGCACCGGTTCTGTGTTCAATGAGGATTTAATAGTCTAAGTGTAACATCAGTTATACAAAAAAAGCAATAACGTAATTTGTACTGTTATAAATTACATGAGGTGTTACCATAATTTTTTAGTCCTTTATATTTAAGACTTGTAACTAAAATTACAATAAAAATTATGGTGTATTTTTTCATATATTTTTTTTATTACTTTAAGACAACTATGCCACAACAGCAAAAGCCAAACAGAAGGACCTTGATGATTCTTATAAGAAAAACTTCACATTCAATAAGGAGGAAGAAAAAATTGCAAATGAGAAAACGTCAAATGAAGTTAAATTTAATAAACTTATACTGTTGGAAAGTCAGAATCAAGAAAAAATTGATAAAAAGAATTTAATGATAGTAGAAACTGCAAAATTGGCTGGTAAGTATAAGGTGATAGAGAACAAAGTAATGTGAATTTTAAACAATATTACAATTTATTATATTGGTACAAAGAGGCATATAATCACACATTTTTTAAACCAACTATCCAGTGTCTTTCAGTAGAAAGCTTTCAGAAAAAGCAAGTGGCATTATTATAGTTAGTGGTAAACACACTGTTGTAATATATTATTATAATATATAATATATATAATATTATCTTAGATATTATATAACTTTCAAATGAGACCATGATAACACTGAAATATCTATATTCTAGAAATCCATATGGAAAAAATTGAAACTGATGAAGAAGCTGATAAAGCAGAAATGGCCATTACAAATAAAATTAAAAGCTTACAAAATGATCTCAATGGACAAAAAGCCCAGGCAGATGCAGAAGAGGATAAATTGCAGGCAGAAGTTGATATTAGCCATGATAGATTGGTATGATAGCAATATGAGACAGATGTAATAAAAATAAGAGTGGCTGAATGTATTTTACTTACTAACAATAACTATTTATACAGCGTGTCGTTACCATCGCGACAATAAATGAACACACGTCTAACGCTACTTACCAATAATCAAAAAAAATATTAACGTTAAACAAAATCCATAATTAAAAAAAAATATTTTTCAAACAAACTAATTAAGTAAAAAAGAAATAAAATTTGTAACATCCTATACAACTCGCGCCACAGCGTCGCATTACAAGCCTCTCCTAACAGTATGTTTTGTCTCTTAAATTCATTCAACACATTCATATGCTTTGTGACCTTTACAAATGAACTTTATGTTACAGTTTTATACGTAAGGGTGTTCTAAAATTATTTGTTTTGGAAAATTTAATAACTCGGTAAATATTGATGTTTAAAGAGTTTCAATGTTTAATACTATTTTCAAAAGTTATCCTCTATATGTGTGTTCATTTATTTTCGCAATGGTAATGACATGCTGTATAATTTGAAATAAAATTAAATATAAGCTTAACACATATATGTCAGTAAAACTAACCAATTTTTTTATTTATGTTACAAATGTTATTGATCATGGTTTAGCTTCATTATTAGAAGCTGAACCATAAGTTAAGAATGAAAGTGTATGAATAAGTTAAGATAATAGATTGAAAAGTATGTATGCTCAACTCTGGCAACTCCAGTCCCTTGTATACACCTAAAAATCAACTACTGGGCAATTGAATGATTTATGACCCTCAAGTGGTTCATGTAGAATTACAACAAATGTAGATCAAAATTTGAATAAAATATAGACTATGTCCGTGAGTGATAATAGCTTTTTGCTATTTATTATATTGGGTTAAATTCAGTTAAGATACATTTTTAAAGTCTTAATCTTTTACTTACTTGATGGAATTATTTTTTTCTAATTTGATGACTTTACTAACCACAGAATTTTTATAAAATTTCTTTTTCAGTCCCGTCACGAACAAAAAATTTCTAGCAAAGAGTCTGAAATAAAAAATATAAAACAAGAGACCTCTAAAGTTGAAAAAGAAATTGCTGATACAACAAAATCTAAAGTGCGGTTAGAATTCTTAGAGAAAAAAATGACCACAGCAGAGGAGTAAGTTACTATATTTACTAAAAAAAACAATAGTGACTGTTTTCAAATACCAACTTTTACTCAATTGTGGACTGTATTTTAAGACTACTGACTGACTGTTCTATTTTCTCTTAAGTTTAAAATGTGATTAACATTTGTCTTTAATTTTAAAACAAATAATCAAATTCTTTTTTTATTTCAGTGATTATCAAGAGGCCCTGAATGAATTGAATCCTGAGGAGTGTCAAAAGTTGATAAATGAAGATGAAACCACAATGGAAAAGAGTGAACAAGAACTTGAAGAGATTAATGAAAAGGTACTGGATTATACATAAGAATGTTTTCTGTTTTTTGCGGCGGAAAGCAGCGATGCTATTAAATTCGGTTTCCGCTTGATATTATTTTTACTGTCAAGCATTTAAGACCTTAATCTTCAAATTTATTGTTGTTAACACTAAAATTTGAACTCAGATTGCATAAAAATACTAAAGTAAAAGAATCTTAGTAATGCATATGCTTATTTCTTGGTCTACTTTTCCAGATATCAAAACTGCAAAAGCAAAGTGCTAAGTTGAAGGAACGGGACATGATTGAAGATTCTTTAAAACAAAAGGAAAAGCAAATGAATGTTCTTAAAAACAAACATAGGACTACTCTTACAGAATTGCTTGGTGTGATGCCAGAAAAGAGTTTCTCGATGACCGTGAACAAAATAGAATGCGATCTACGTAGTGAAGTAGACTCTGTAAAGAAGAAATTAAAGGAAAAACATACCAATGTAAGATACTTATAAAGTACTTATAAAATATGATCATTTATATATGGTCTAGTCCCAAATTGTAATGAATAAAAGTTCATTTATATGTACATATATTCACAGCTAACAAGTTTGGAAACAGAACGGAAACATGTTCGTGAGCTGTTGAATGAACGTCGAACTGAACTTACTAAGGCAGAGGACCAAATGTTTAAGGCATGTGGTACACAGTCTTATGAGGCCACATTGTCTAAACTTAACAGCACAGTGGAAAAGTTGCAGGTAATTTATTCACATTTCTCCACTAGCTTTATGATTCAAATTTAAATATATTTTTCTATATCAATAACATCGTTGTTTTCAGGAAGAGCAAAATATGCTGCAATCATCAATGTTCATTTTCACAAAATATAAAAGTCAACTAAAAGACAATAGTTGCTGCCCATTATGTAATCGTGGGTTTGATTCAGATTCAGAGGTAAGTAAAGCTTACCAGCTATTTTATAGAAGATAAACTACAGCTTCTCAACTTAATTATTTTGAGTTCAAGATTTAGTTTTTTGTAATATTAACAGAAATATATCATTTTTACTAGGTAACAGACTTAATATCGCAGCTGACTACACAAGTTATGAATGTTCCTGCTAAACAAGAAAAAGTAACGGAGGAATTACAAATTGCATCTGCAAAAAAAGATGATTTGCTCAGTATGAAAACATTAAATGAGAAAATAAAAACATTAAAAGAAAAGGATATACCCCAATTAGAAAACAGATTAAGTGACATTGATAAGGTAAAAAAATATATTAATTCACTATTAGAACCATTCCAACATTCAATTTTAATTTTATTTTTAACTTTGTTTTAATTTAAAAACTTGAAGTTCTAAAATAAAAAAATGTGTATGAAGTTGTTTATTTCGTACACTAAGTATGTTGACTATATAATGTCTATACAATAGAATTTCCAAAACTTTAAGAGGTCTATCACTATAAAGGAGATAAATTATCTATAGCTTAGTTTCAAAGATAACACTAATTTTCGATTAATTAGTACTCAAAAGGTCTGTGGTAAAAGAAACATCAACCAATACCCTATAACCATATATATAACCATACAAGAAATTTGTACCACAAATTTGTATAATATATTCTATAGAGACTTAACTTACTACTATCTGCAATCTACTATTGTTTTAAAGTATTTTTGCAATATATCTAATACATGATCCCTTTATTATCTTAAAGTTGTGGGAATTTATTAAAAACATATTGTATATTTCTCGGAATCTGAATAATTAAGTGTCCTTTTACAATAAAATTCAAAAAATCACTCTTGAAGTCAATATTCTTCAATTCTTATATTTTTTTGAATTTCAAATTTTTTGATTAACTTTTAGCAAATTGCAACACTGACTGAAGCTTCTGAAGAGTTATCAATGTCTATGATGGAACCAGAACAAAAATTACAAATTGCTCGGCAAATTCAAAGTGACATGCCACTTCTTGACAGATATACAAATGAAGTACAAACAGCATCTAAAGATGTGAGTATTAGTCGACACTTGAATTTGTAATAAAAATTATTTTAATTCTATTGTTAGTAAATTCACACAAAATGTTGCTTATGTTTATATTGTTAATTGATTTCTCAATGATAAAACAATCTATTATTAGTAATCCTGGTTTTACTGACATGGATCTTTTCAAAATGAAATAGAATATCATTTATTTCACAAATCACAACTTATGTAGAAATACAGCATCAACAAAAAGAGATATTCACAATGTTCCTATGTGTATGACATACAGGATCTGTGTTAAAGTTTCCAGTGCTAAAGCTCAACCCAGTTATGACTACTCAATATTTTATGATGTCTTTTCCCTTCTTTATATCAGAGTATGATTTTGGCGTAGCCAAATAAATAAAATATATCTTATCGCATTTAGTTAGAAGCCATAAGAGGGGAGTGCTCAAATATGGAGATGGATAACAACATTGATGAAGCAACGGCGAAAAAAAATGAATTGCGGCAACAAATCTCCATGTTAAGGTCCCGTATAAAGTCTTCACAAACTAAACTTAACCAACACACAAAGAAATTGCAAGCCATGGGTGAAAAGAAAAACAAACTAAAGGAGGAATTACTTAATGTGCAGAAAAAAGTATGTGATGTATTAAATTAGAATAATAATTGTCTCGCATGTGATCAATGTAAGTGTTAATAGACTCATATATTTAATCTCTATAATTAATTTATATGGAATCCATGTACAGGTTCAGGAATTGGTTACTTTACAAGAAAGCTTAAAGCAATTGGAGACCAACAGGGAGAAGGCACTAACAGAATTAAAGGAACTACAGGATACTACAGCTCCTTTAGAATTAGAGTTAAAAGAAAAGAAGAAAATTAAAACTGAATGTGTGAGAAAGAACAGGTACGTAAGCCTCATTAACAAATTATTTATTTTTTGATTAGGAATGATTACTGTATAATTAAAAAATATTGCAGAGGTGCTATTGATATTAAAAATGAATACATTATGAAAATCAAAAACATGTTTGATAAAGTGAAATCTATTGAATTAGAGATTAAGCAGCATAAAGAGCGAAATGTACATTTGGAAATGGATAAAATAAAAGAAGCTAATGAACGGCTTATGGATAAACAGAAACAAATTATGGTAGATAGAGATATGCTCACTAAAAAAATTGACAGTTTAAAGGATGAATTGGCTAAACAAGATGTGAGTTATTTTTTATTAAACACTCAATGAAAAAGTTGCATGCATTCTTAAAATGATTAATTAGTCATGTCTTTCAGATATCTTAAGAAAATTGCATTATCTTTATATAAATAAATTTAAATCTGAAATATTATTACTTATGTGCTTTAGTAAACCCTGTGTGGCATATAAAAAGTAAAGTAACAAGCTATACATATCCCTCTGCAGGGTCTCTCCTTTGGGCGAACTTCACATATGTTCGAAATATTATTTTTTTGTTATTATTTCGAAAATATGCAGGTTTGCTCAAGAGGTTTGCATTCACCGTGAAATTTTGTGTGCATGTTGGCCAGGGTGGAGAACCAGACATCAATTTTTCATCCCCCTAAATGTTAACGGTGGTCCGCCCCAAATATTTTTTTCTACCCTACAAATTCCTTAGAAATAATTTATACGGCAAGACGACGTATGTCGGGTCAGCTAGTTGCATATAATCTTATGTTTATTTTATGTTATCATATGTTTGTTTTATTGACATCTTTTTTATATTTTAAGATTTACAAACGCAATTTAGAGGATAATCTGAACTTGCGCAAGGCTCAAAATGAAATAGCTAACTGTGAAAAGGAAATGGCTGCACTCAATGAAAAAATGAGCGGTGTAAATATGGATATGATTGCAGAAAAAGAACCATTAATGTCCAAACATGATGAAGTATTTAAAGAGAAGCTTCAAACTGAAGGTCTGCTAAGAGGTCATAAAGTTAGTAGTATTTATACTCTTTTCGATATCGAGTTGAAAGCACCCTCTCTACAAGCCGCCTGTGGTACGCCGGCCGTGAGCCGGCGTAAGGCTCCTGCCTCTCACATTTGCTCTTTACGCTCTACACGAGCGATATACCTAAAGACCCCCACGTCAATCTCGCGCTTTTCGCGGATGACCTTCGCCCACACGCACCCTACTCGCTTGTACAAGTTGCAAATAGTATAAAATAAGTTCATCCGCCGCGACCTGCACAGCGATTGCAGACTCCTGTCGATTCGCGAATATTTTAAATACCTGACCAAACGGTTCTTCAATAGAGCCGAACATCATCCCAACCCTCTGGTGGTAAGCGCAGCAAATTACCAACCCGACAAAAACGCGAACGTCAACAAGCGTCGCCCGCGAAACGTCCTCATCGACCCAGTCCAGGAAGGGGACTTAGATACGCCGGACCCACCGCCGGGGGTGCCGCCGGATAACACTACACCCACAATTAGTGCAACAACAAACACACTAGTTCACCCTCGCCTCCGAGCACGGCAAGATCTATACAACGCGTTCACAAGGTACACCCGCCCTCCGGGGCGGTTCTCACCGCCCCCAGCCACCGATTAGCTAATTACACAGTCGACGGCCATCGGGGTTTCGGTCCGAACCGCGACCTCGATGGCCCTTAGATGACACACCATAGTTAAACGCACGCATGAGCACATGCGTGGCCCTACCCACAGCGGAGGGCCCAAACCCGTGGGTTCTCTGGCTAGCCCACCGGTTCTACGTCAGATGAAGCTTTAATAGTCTCGGGACTGAAAACAAAAACATCAGTTAATACAAGATACAAGTAGTATTTATAGGTTACTTTTCAATGTATCATCATTTCAATCAGTTTGTTTTTTGATTATTCTCAATTTGTTATTCATTGAAGATTTTCTCTAAATGAGGAAGGAAAGACTTATCTTAAACCTATTCCCTTTTTAGCTTGCACTTCATTCAATATAAACATTATATCTATGAACCCTGTTAAATTATTCATACTAAGGTAAATATTGAATTGCATTGACATAGTTATTAGCTAGTAGTAGCAATATTAAGAAAAATTTTAAATATATTTACAGGATAGATTGAAGCAATGTAAAGCAGAATTAAGGAAAGCTATGAGTGAGGGTATAGAGAAACTGTACAGGGAAAAATATTATGATTTGCATGTAATTAAAGCTGTTGAAAAAGATATAAAAGATTACTCTGTTGCCTTAGAAAAGTGCCTTATGGAGTTTCACAAAGAAAAGATGGAAAACATTAATTTAATAATAAGGTACAAAACCAATTAAATATAATGCTTCATTATTATAATATATTAACTATTTATGCTTTATATATAAAAATATATTACTAAATTAAAATTCCAACTAAAGAAACTATGTATTTAAAACTTCATTACAGAGAAATGTGGAGAAAGATCTATAGAGGAAATGATATTGATTATATTGAAATAAAAACTGAAGGAAATGCGTCAGTTGATTCTGATCGACGAAAGTATGATTACAGGTGTGTCTTAATTTTATAATATGCATGTGAAATATACTGGTTTCTTGTATTTTCCTAAAACTTCCAAGATCTTTCTAGCTCAAATAAATCCATTTAACAATATTACTTTAATCTGGTTACAAATGGCATTATAAAAAAAAATTCAAATATTGAATGCAAACTTTTTTATAAAATTGGTATCCACAACCCGCCGCCTCACGGCCGGCGTATCACAAGGCTCCTGCCTCTCACATTTGCTCTTTACGCTCTACACGAGCGATATACCTACGTCAATCTCGCGCTTTTCGCGGATGACACGGCGCTTTTTTATTCAGACCGCAACCTTAGACAACTAACCACTCGACTCCAAAGCGCTGCCGACCGCCTCGGCGATTGGTTTCGCAAATAGAGAATAGAAATAAATCCCGAAAAGAGTGCGGCGATTCACTTCACACGACCCGTACGACGAAGTTCTTACCCGTCACATCTTTATAATGGCCCTCGTCAATGCAGAAAGTTGGGGCAAATATCCCTTTATGGCCAACCGCTCCCCTGGGAGAAAAAGTTCGAATACTTAGGTCACTTTCGACTCGCGTATGTCATTTACTACGCACATTAATAACGTTCGCAATAGAGCCGCGTTCGTCTCTGGCCGGCTATACAGTTTAACTAACGCTAAAAGTAAAATGCCCTTAAGGCACAAATTATTATTATATAAGTCCTGCGTACGACCTATTATGTCTTACGCATGCATGACCTTCGCCCACACGCACCCTACTCGCTTGTACAAGTTGCAAATAGTATAAAATAAGTTCATCCGCCGCGACCTGCACAGCGATTGCAGACTCCTGACGATTCGCGAATATTTTAAAGACCTGACCAAACGGTTCTTCAATAAAGCCGAACATCATGATTGATATTCCATATGTATATGGGGAAATACCTGAAGACTGGTGCAATGTACAAGTATTTATGCTTTTGATCTCTTGACCTTTTATCAAGGCCTTTCCTTCTAAAAGTTGGCAATGTACATCTAAACATAAAGTTTTAGGGTGGTATTTACACCAGTACCTGCTTCTTTAACACCTCAAATAAAAACATACATAATATACAGTAGAGTTCCTTTCATTGTATATTATGTTTTGAATAGTAGCCACAATGAAATAAATTAGTAGCATTTAAGAGTAAATAAATGAATATAATAATTACAGCAATGGTAATAAACTTAAAATCAATTAATGTAAAAAAAGTTCTTCCCCCCAGTTTGTCTAGTCAATCTGCGAGTCGAACAGAGCGGGCATTGTGCTTTTGGTGACGACTACAGCCATCACACACCTCCCACAAGCTGCGTTAAAAAATTTCGCCTTAAAAACAAAATATATTCTATGGTTTATTTTATCACACAGGGTAGTGCAGTGTAAGAATGGTGTTGAGATCGATATGCGCGGCCGTTGTAGCGCTGGGCAGAAAGTTTTAGCTTGTCTTATTATACGACTGGCACTCGCCGAGACCTTTAGCACACGGTTAGTGTTCTTCTGTGGTATAAATTTCACTCTTAATTAATTTTTACTACCTAAATTTTATGAATTTTTAGTATATACAATATACAATCGATATACAGGGAGACTTTTTAATGGTGCCCAAATTTACACAGGAGGTTCAGACTCGGTAGTATAGAAATAGTTTATAGAAATAAAAACAAACTTTTTTATTCAAAAAAATACCATTATATTACCTAAAAACAGAACTTGTTGACAACGCGTTAGTCATTCATAAATACCTAACATGCACACAAACGAACTTGTGTGCGTGTTAGTTATGAATATTCGCGCGTAAAATAAATGAGTTGCGTATAAATGACGCACTTTTTGAGATAAGTTCAAATTAATGTTATTAATTTGTTACGAGTATAATTTTTTGTATTACATTATTTAAGTCTAGAATTTAATTAAAAAAAAGCGGATACACTTACAAAAGCCTCCCTGTATATGTGCATAAAATTACATATCAAAACTACATACTGACTTACAACAAATAGCCTCATGGCCACATTTTTGTGTTAAAATATCACATGCTAGTTATTGTTTGCTTGAGCAAACAATAACTAGCATGTGATATTTTAACACAATGACGCAAATATTTATATTTCAATCTTGTAAAAGCAAATCATATACAAAATAATAAACCTATCCTTTTACATAGACACTATGTGTGTTATGCATGGGATGAAAATAATTCGCCGAAACACATTTAGACTTTTTATATAATGTGATCATTTTATACAATTACTTTATATACTATGAAGTTTTAAATATAATAGGCTAAAGTCTTTATAATAATAGTATGAACTTACACAAAATATTAAAATTCTAGAAATACTTAGTGTGAGAAATACAAATGTTTTAATATTATTGTGTAATATTTTTTTTATTTGTTATAATATTGTTAAAGATTTCACAGTCTCATTTTGACGTGATTTGATATCTCAGTTATGATTTGCTCAGAGGTAAGTCATGTGATGTGTTAAAATGATAAAATTTTATAATTAAAAATAAATGATGATGTAAAATTGTTTTACATGTACAAGGGCAAGAATCCAGATTCAGAATTTCTTCAAAAACTCTTTGGGCTATACAATATTTGCCCAAGTGAGAATCAAACTTCCCTCGGTGCCAAAGTATATTGCTTAGCTGCTTATTAAACCAAGTCATAATATTTATTGTACAATTATAGTTGTGTTATTCTTTTAGGTTTGGAATTTTAGCATTAGATGAACCAACAACTAACTTGGATCAAGAAAATGTTAAAAGTCTGTGTTCAGCTCTAGGTGAAATAGTTCAAGAAAGAATGGTGCAAAAAAATTTTATGTTTATTATTATTACTCATGACAAAGAATTTATTGAATCACTGGGCAACATTGATAAAGTCTCACATTATTATGAAGTGTCCAGAAATGAAGAAGGAAAGTCCAGGATTAAAAAAATTAGGTTTTCCTAAATGGCAAAAATATATACATAAAACCCTATATACCCATTCCGTACTCAAATATAAATATCTATTAAGTAGGCTGTGCCTTACACCTTTATCAGTGTTAAGCATTACATTTTTTATATATTAAAAATATAAATTTTTCAAACATATGCTTATATCCTATTTTAACCCATTAATAATCCTGTAATACTGTTCAATGGTTTACAAATTTCAATTTGATCAATATGCAGTAATTTGCTCTCCTGTAAAACTGTTAATGTAACACCCAAAAGTTCACAAATTTGTGTTGGTGGGAATGTCTGCGAAAGACATTTAGTGATATATGGGACTAAATCTTCAGAGAAGCAAATACAAAGTGATACAAAATTTTGCCTTTCTATATCTGTAAATGCTTGTTGCTCTTTGTGGTAAAATGTCGTTAAAATTTGTGTAGCCCTTTCTAGTGAACTTCTATAGCTGTTGTATACTTCTTTTACCATGTTTAATGGGGCTATAACACGCAGTGAATTTAATGTGGTCAACAATCCATTACAATATTCTGCTAATGGATAGTAGTCCAGTAAATTTTCAGGTGGTCCAGAAACAACAGTTTCACTTATTGGTCTTGGCAAATTTTTCATGGTGGGCACCTTATAGGACTTCATTTGTAATTCGAATTGGTTGTTTACTCTTTCCAAATTTGTATGAAATAGTGTAATAATATTGTTCCTGAATAATGGTGTCAGTACGCATCTTAAATCAGCACCAACTCTGCCGAATGAGAGGCAGAGATACATACATTGATTCATAAGGGATTCAAAGCTTGATTCATCTTCCTTTTTTAAATCTTGGTTCAACATTTGAGTAAATAATTCGACCTGAAATAGGATATCTTAGTGTAATAACATGGTTATGTGGATGGAAATGGCAATGTGTTGTTCACTATAGTTCTATCTTCTTTCTCCTTGTTCAACAGTGATTGCCTTCCAGCTGATGATGATTAAACATGTTTTTAAATTTTGCTCAAATTAAATTAGTAAGTTAATTTTATTACCTTTTGCTTTAACCAGCATGACAATGCACTAGTCCCACTGAGTTCATCATCTCTAACTTTAGATTCCTGTGTATCTGATAAAAATATTGATTTATGCTGTGTTAAGACATTAAACAGGTGTATTCTATGCAACTCAACAATTTTTCTTAACAGTTTCTCGGATGCTGCAAAAAACAAATGTTGTTATTAAGTTTTAAGCATTTTCACAAAAAAACAAGGTTATATGCACTTGTTTTTTTTTTAATTGTTGCATGCATAAACTTAAAATGATAAACTATTTTAAATATCTTTTTTCTTTTTCTCATAAATTGATCCCTTTTTCAGACATTATACATATACAGTTTCTATATAACACACTAATTATAAAAAACTTAAAATATAATATTAAGAAGTATATTCAAAATATAAAGCCATATTTTTTTTGTTGCAAAAAAAATTTCAGTTAATTGCAAATAAGAGCATCTTTATAACTAATAACTTACATTCATTACTCTTGGCATCTTCTAATGCTTTTTCAAACCAGGCATTTCTGGCTTTCAAAAAATGTAAGTGCAAACCATCAGTTAAAACTGAATTATTCATGATTTTATTTCCAGCAAATAACAGTTTCCTCTGATCTTCTTCTGTTGACTTGAATACAGTATTAGCTCTACGTAAATACCCCAGTATCTATAAGAAATAAAAATAAATATAATATAAATTTAATAGTAACACAATAACAATATTAATTGATATATTTAAATTTTTCTCACTTGCAAACATTGGGGCAATGGTAAATCATATTGCAACTGATTATACAAATGGTACAAGGTTTCATACCATAGAGTCATAATTTCAGATGATGTGTTCTGAAATAAAATTTAAAAATCTATATGTATAATAACTATTATTTTTACAGTTTTAATTATAAATTACAAAATTATAGTATTACAGATTATATACCTGTATAACTGGTATCTCTGAATATCTTTTTGATAAATTACGAACAAAAGTAAAAATATCCAATGCACTTTCATAATCCTCTGCATTAAGAGCTTCACGCATTAAAGAAGGTAATTCAAGTAATTCCAATAATATATCACTTTGATGACGCATGCTGTTATACCGTCTAAAATAGGTTGAACTAGTTTAAACTTGCTGCTTTAATTGTTATATACTGAACAAGAGACTATGACATAAGACATTATAAGCAAGACACCAAAAACAAATTAAAGAATGGACATACATAAAACTATTATTAAATTCAAAGCTTCACATAAAACTGGAATAGTTAATAATTCGAACAATGTGTAAATACACATCAGATTTTGAACTTTTTGCATACCTTTTATCGTCAACGATATTTCCAACATTGATAGAGAATTTTTCAACTTCTTGAACAAAATCAGGCATAGAATTAAGGAATTTGTCCAAAGAATCTTTAGACTTTTTCAAATCTTTCCTAATAGTGCGGGAAATTTCTGCAGTTTCTACAAATGTTTTACAATTTGTAAATGCTAGCTCTTGGGTTTGTTCTGTCAAATGCTTCATCTCATCAGATAATCTCTCTGGTTCACTGCGAATATGCTCCCAGTTTTGAGATCCCAGCTTCTTTATATAATCATTAATATCACTAAAATATTGTGGTGTTTCTAAAAGAAAGAATTTTTTTATATTACTTCCAGTTTGCAAGAAGATTTATATTATTAAAATCTTTTATCTTATAAGAGGAGTTACATCAAGAGAAAGGGTTCATCTACAACACCTCTGGGGTTGCATTTTCATTACCTACCTCTAAGGGGATAGGCGCTGGTTACATCACAATCATGTATGTGACTTGAGACTTTTGGGCTTCCCTGCTATATATGCAATTTGAGACAACCCATACATGCAATAACGGACCAGCTTCCTGGTCCGTAGCTTTCGGGAAGCAGCTTTTGCTGTTGGATGTGTGGGTTGCCTTTGCCACAGTTTATTGATTCGTAGGAATTAGTCTCAAATAACCTATTCTACTTCTGTACTAGTTATACATACCTACGGTGGAGTTAGGAAACAACAGCTGGCAAAGCTCTTTTAATTCCTGGGCCATATTTATTTCAAAACTTTTTTATACGTCTGTATCTTAAAGTCGTAGAATAGATATAGAACTGTAGCGTTTTTCAATGTATATACCAATGAACACTTAACTCTTAAACAATGTTAATTATTTTAAAACAAAGTAAAAAAAATATATTTTTATATTTATAAACTAAACTTTATGTCAAATCAAAATTCAGTAATTCAGTCAAACAAATCGCAGTAATTGACATTAAATATCAATTTTTGACATCGCACATCGCAGATCACATTCGCAATTCGCAATTTTTCATTGACGTCATAGAAAAACTCAAAACTGTACGACACTCAGTAATAAAATTATGTCTTATCTATGGTCGACACAGTGTAGTTTATTCCTTTTTTTTTTTTGAGAAATTCTTACGAGCGTGGTTTGCTTACGACGCACGGACTTAGAATTCAATCTATGAAAAATAAATCTCGAAAACAATTAATTATCTACGAAAACAAATTCACTAACGAAAATGTACGGCAACACAATATTAAAGGAAGTAATTAATTCGCTGACATAATAAATGTTAGGAAAAAAATCTTATCTTCTACGATTAGAATATCGATTTTTTCGCTTACTGGCTCGTTCAATATCTATGTATTTTACAATATCTGATATTTCCGAATCTGAAATGATGTATGACGTGCTCGCTCGCTATACCGACACGAATCGCGATATCATACGCGTTTGCCTCTCATATCTGATTTTTGAAAACAGATTTCGAGATACAAAGCGCGTGAGATACAAATACTCACTAGTTAGAGCGGGACGGCAAGCAATGCACGATATCAGATATCGAGCGACAAAGCGCGTGAGATATAAATACTCACTAGTTAGAGCGGGACGGCAAGCAATGCACGATATCAGATTTTTAAACAGATATTATGAATAAGTTAAGTAATTTTGAATCTTAAAACCATGCAAATAAGATCCGTTTCAATTAAATACTAATCATGGTATCAACGATTACTACAACGATATTATTAAGTATATTTTTTATTGTTTTGTTTAGCCTTGAGCCGTAACGGGCGACAAAGCGCGCACTTAAGTAATTTTGAATCTTAACAGCATGGGAAAAAAACACTTTTAGTTGCATTTAAATACGAATTACGGTATTAACGATGTCTTTAAATTTTGTTTAGTCTTGAGCTGGATTGCATTGGTACCTAACACGTAATAGTAAGGGATGCCAACTTACTACTTAAGAATTTTCTGCCTAAATTAAGGAAGAAAAATATAAATGGAAATTTTTTAGCAGGTAAATTTTTTGTGAATATTTTTATTAGTTAAATTTTATTCATATTTTTGGAAAAAAATAAAACTACACAAAAAGAAAAATATAATTTAATAGTGCTGTGCTGCTTGGGTGGAAATCAGACCAAGGCTTATGTGCTTTGTGTGTATATTTTAAATTCTTACGCCCTAAGTTATAATACTGAATGTATTATTTCTTACACAAATTATAAAAATATTGTCACTCATGATTACGTGTTCTAAGAATATATTAAAGTCAATTATTAAGCGATATATAAGATGTTAAAATAAATCATTTTTATATTACTTCAATTTCTATTTTTAATGAAATTTTTAATTTAATCAGGTAATGTTTTAATTTTACCTTAATAGTATAAAAAAATCGTCATTTTAAATTCAGTAAGTTTTTTGAATTAAGTCAATTTTAGTGGGTTTTCGAATTTATTTAGGAGTAGTCTTTTTGAACTGTTGGTATCACTGGTAATAGCTTTAGTTATGTATAGGTATAATGATCGTCGAACAAGACTTTCGACGAATAAAGTCAAACAGCTTACGTTCGTAAACGTGAAATACGTGAATTATTAACCCACACATAGTTGTAAATATATAATGTTAAGTTTTAAATACCAGGAAAATGATGTACATAGAATGAATCAACTTTTTTTTTTTTTTTAGAATTCAAGGTGGATACGGGACCGTCAAATATCTAGATATTAAAATACATAGTTTCGAAATCTGATATTTGAAATCGAAATCTGATTCAGATACGGTACTCTGAAAAAGCGATACGACCCATCTTATTAGAGAGTTAGTAATTCCATTATAAAAAAAGTAAAAATCGTACTGCAGCGTTCAAAACAAAAAAATAAAAATTTGGTTTTATATTACGGGATCTTTTTTTGCATCATAATGTTTTCCTTTGTTTTTTTTCTGTAAATTTTAAGGTTGAAACATTTTAGAAATGATAAATCTAAAAATACAGATGTTTCTAATTAAGTATGTTTAGCCGTTTGTAGAGATGGGTCGTATCGCTTTTTCTGAGTACCGTATCTGAATCAGATTTCGATTTCAAATATCAGATTTCGAAACTATGTATTTTAATATCTAGATATTTTACGGTCACGTATCCACCTTGAATTCTAAAAAAAAGATAAAAATGTTTTCAACGATATTTTATACTCATTCGGAATATAAATTGTGCAGGCGTATTTAAAAGTTGATTCATTGCATATACATAATGTTCGTGATATTTGAAACTTAGTACCAGTGATACCAACTGTTCCAAAAGAATACTTCTAAATAAATTCGAAAACCCACTAAAATTGACTAAATTTTAAATCACGATTTTTTTATACTATCAAGGTAAAATTAAAACATTACCTGATTACATTAAAAATTTCATTAAAAATAGAAATTGAAGTAATATAAAAATGATTGATTTTAACATCTTATATATCGCTTAATAATTGACTTTAACATATTCTTAGAACACGCAATCATGAGTAAATATTTTTTTATAATTTGTGTAAGAAATAATACATTCAGTATTATAACTTAGGGCAGAAGAATTTAAAATATACACACAAAGCACATAAGCCTTGGTCTGATTTCCACCCAAGCAGCACAGCACTATTAAATTATATTTTTCTTTTTGTGTACTTTTATTTTTTTCCAAAAATATGAATAAAATTTAACTAATAAAAATATTCACAAAAAATTTTCCTCCTAAAACATTTCCATTTATATTTTTCTTCCTTAATTTTGGCAGAAAATTCTTAAGTAGTAAGTTTGGCATCCCTAACTATTACGTGCTAGGTACCAATGCAATCCAGCTCAAGGCTAAACAAAATTTAAAGACATCGTTAATATCGTAATTCGTATTTAAATGCAACTTTTTTTTTTTCCATGCGGTTAAGATTCAAAATTACTTAACTGCGCGCTTTGTCGCCCGTTACGGCTCAAGGCTAAACAAAACAATAAAAATATAATAATATCGTTGTAGTATTTAATTAAAACGGATCTTATCTGCATGATTTTAAGATTCAAAATTACTTAACTTATTCATAATATCTGTTTAAAAATCTGATATTGTGCCTTGCTTGCCGTACTGCTCTAACTAGTGTAATATTTGTATCTCACGCGCTTTGTCGCTCAAAATCTTTTTAAAAATCTGATATCGTGCATTGCTTGCCGTCCCGCTCTAACTAGTGAGTATTTATATCTCACGCGCTTTGTCGCTCGATATCTGATATCGTTCATTACTTGCCGTCCCGCTCTAACTAGTGAGTATTTGTATCTCACGCGCTTTGTCTCTCGAAATCTGTTTAAAAAATCAGATATTGTGGCAAACCGTATGATATCGCGATTCGTGTCGGTATAGTGAGCGAGCGAGTATTCGGTATATCAGATTTCGGAAATATCAGATATTGTAAAATACATAGATATTGAACGAGCCAGTAAGCGATATTCGGATATTGTACTAATATCTAGATTTCATATCTGATACGATTTGTATCGCCCACTACTAGCCGTTTGTATATTATCTGTAGTGTGTAAATGAAAATTTGGAAACGGACGAATATTACTTCAAGATAACCATTTGCTTGATAACCAAATATTACTAAAATAATTGCTAAAAAACGAATCAGATCATTACTAAGGTTTTCGGTTTTACTTACCGTAAGTAATCAATGCCATTTTTAATGCTTTGGTTATACCCTATGTTTTCATCCATGTTGAACTATTGATAGCTAACTTCTGTGATTGCGTCATGTTAATGTATAATTATCATATGTACTTTCAATTTTTACTAGTAATTTCATTAAACGATTACTGCACAATTATTATTTAGATTATCTAAATGTTTGTGTATGCAAATTAACCCTCCGATTTGACACTTCTAACCTATGCGAATTTAATTCTTGACACCATTTTTGTTAAACCTTTCAGTTCAGTATACACACATAATCAGCATAATGTATAGTTGGTTAAATGAATAAATTTGTTTTTCGTTTAAAAGTATTCATATGTATGATAACTATCTTAAAGTTGATAAGGTTATGTTGATGTTTTGATTTGTGATGTTCCTAGTCTTTTGACAACTTACAATATAATTCAATGTAATCAAATTAATAATTCTTTTTCTTGGGAGCATGTGATGTATTCATTTTTTGTTGTTTCCAGTCTTACTGTTTAACAAGGAAAACTATACAATGGGAAGTAAATAAAAATCATTTTTTAAAATAAATTGTTTTAAAAAATTAAGAAAAATAAAATTATGGTAGCAAAATGTCATCACAATGATTACATATAAGTTATACAGCCATATAACATAAGAAAGGTACATTTTAATCTTAGTAATCCTAGTACCCATGGATTAATATTCTGTAAAATAATGGAACCATCAGCAGAGGATTTTAATCTCCATTGGGAGGAAGTTGTTATAAAGGTACGTAAAATTTAACATAAACAATTATTTTTGTATTTTTCATAATAAGATAACAAAACGATCAAATTTGTCTTAATATGCTTGTTTTCTGTTTTATTACTCTGTATTATACATTTTGAACAGTTTTAAATATTTCACATCAACTAAGTTTCCATATTGGAATATCTTCAAAATTTGTTATATATATACTTATCTCATTTATTTCTTAATTTTATTTCCTTACTTACTAAATTTAAAATAAGGTTACATTTGAATACAAAGGTATACAGGGTGATTTTTAAAGAAGTACCCAAATTTACAATGGAGGTTCAGACTCAATAGTATAATTGTTTATTGAAATAAAAATCAAAATTTTTTTTTTCCAAAAATGCCATTCTATTCCCTAAAAAACAGAATGTGTTGACAATTCATTCATAAATACCTAAATTTTACTGTATACAAACTTGTGTGCATGTTAGTTATGATTGATCGTGTGTAAAATAAAAGAGTTGCATACACTTTAGAGATAAGTTCAAATGAATGAAATCAATTAGTTACAAGTGATTTTAAATATTTATAATTTTTTATATTACTATTTTTATCATTATCATATATTTATAATTTTTTATAGTCTAGAATTTAATTAAAAAAATGGATACACTTAGAAAAGCCACTCTGTTTAATATATTATTAATATAACTTTTAGTATTGTTATATGTACTTAATTATTGTTACTACTACTTGCTTGATAAAGTATTATCTCAATAACAACAACTAACTAAGTATTTTTACTTAGTCTTAACTTTTTAGTTTTGACATTATTTCTACCACTGTGCAATATATAGTTCTGCTTTTGTTTAGAAATATTTATTAGTTTAATTGTATTGCTTTTAAATACATATTTTTAGTTCTTAGTATAAAGTAGCAATGAATAAAAATATTTTTTAGAATTCTCCTAAACATGAAGTTCAAGAAATATGTGACCTTGCAGGAGTGCAGTCTGTATCATATTCTGGAATGGTTTGTATTTTTATTCTGTAATGTTTTCGGACTAGCTTTCGTTAAGTTCTATGTAAGGTAGTGCCTGTATGAGGTATTACAAAATATGTTTTTTAATCATATGAATAAGTAAACTTACAACAATATTATACATAATTAAAAGTAAGTCTAAAACTTGTGAAAAATTGTAGACGTCTGAAGAAATGATAGCTGATACAGATCAAATGGCAGCAGAAAATTTAATGTATTTATCACAGGATGTTGTTGGATATACTGAAGCAACAGAATTGACTGATGATTTAAATGTTGAATGTGTGACTGAGGAAGTCATAACTGATGACTGGGTCATAGCAGGTGGTCAGGAAAGGTAATTGCATGCAATTTAAAAGTATATTTGCAATAAACTCATATGAATGAGAATATACAACCTAATATTCTTTACTGTCATAAAACATCAAATAAATTTGTCCTTACAGAGTGGAAGTACCATTGGAACATTTAGCAAACAGTGTTTCTGATGTTAAAGTTGAAAATGATATTGATGTTCCATTACCAACTGATCAAGTAAGCATATTTTATTTATACATATCAAAATCTTGTAGTAGCTTCTTTGTTACCTTAGTTAAAATAATATGTACATGAGAAGAGTGCGGCAATGTAACTTACAACTTTGTTTAATAATTTGTTCCTTTTCTGTTACACTAATTAAAATATACCTATTATATCAAAATAAACCAAGGTACATCCTGCAATAAGCACCTAAAATAGGCTGCATAGCTTAAAAAGAAAACTTGAAATTTAATTAACATTAATAATGATGACAAATAAATAAATTAGTATTGAATAGGTGGACTACAAGTTTCGAGAGTTAAAAAAGTCGAAAATATCATACTGTTTTCATTTTAAATACTGGATTCTGTACCATAAAGTACCTTTAGTCTCAATATTACTAGTAACATAATTAATAATATATTCTTAAATTTAATGGATATATTTTAAAACCAAAATTTTTACCAGTGATGTCTTACATAATTGTGATCTAACCCTCCAGAGACCTGAGTATCTCTTGTATTTGATGGGATAAAAGTTTCAGAACTTTGCAGCAGTGACAAGTAAAGTGTTAAACAAGATCCATGGAAAGTACAATGATATGCAGGTCGGCCCAAAGACTGGATGTATATGTCTTACAAAGGATTCATATGATTAGGGGATGATTTATCAATGACAGTTAAATAAGCAATATAATGTGTATTTATTTTACATATTTTTCTACAAAATACACAGATCAATTGTGCTGCCAGTCTGCAAGTTATCACATTTTTAACCATAACAAGCTAAACAAGAATAGTTGTAGTTTTATGTTTCAGCAAACAAATGAAGTTTCGAACATTGATTCATTGGTTACTACTTTGCTTTAGTTCTGTCTCATAACATTAGATTGTAAGTTAACCCAGGCACTATTGTTGTTAAATCATTCAATGGCTCTATCACTGAACACCAGTGGAGTGTTTATTCCAATAAAACTATACACGTTAGTATGTGACCCCTAAACCAAACTCCGTAATACAGTCTGTCGCCATTCCGCAAGAGAGCAGTGTTACCAACTGTCAAAAAAAGCTAAAGCAATTCAAAAAAACCCACTAAATAAAATTCACACCAAAACTTCCTAAACAAGGAACATTTAGAAAGTTTCATTGTTCGGTTTGAATTCACCTCCTAAAAATAGCTTACATTGTAAATTTTATACTAGAATACTCCCATTAATTTTTCCTTCCTAAGTTTAGTATGGAAATTCCCAACTCGGCATCCGTGCTGTTGATAGCTTACCGAACGCACCAATCCGCAGGACGAGTACACGGCGATGCGGCCGTGGCCGTGCGACTTCTGCTCGCGCCGCTTCCGAAAGAAGGCGGCGCTGATGAACCACATGGTGGCGCACCAGAGCGACCGGCCGCACGCGTGCAACCTGTGCGGCGTGCGCTACGTGCGCAAGTGCGACCTCATGAACCATCTCAAGGTGCACGCGTTCGTGCCCGAGCACGGCGACACCATGGACTACGGTGAGACGCCCGACCGCGCTACCTGCAGTGTTGCCAGCTTGACAAAAAGGCCAAGTGCCATTCGGACCCGCGCACGAATGGTTCCGTACCTATAAAAGCGGCAATAATATCATGTCGTATGAGGGAGCTCAACTATGTAATAAATCACCAAAAAATGTAAAAGAATCTGTATCCATTAGTGCTTTTAAAAATACTTTGATGACATACTTAATAAATAACTGATCCTTACAGATAACTTTGTAACTACGGCAGATCGAACTCCACTTTGTTTATGACTTTTCTCTCTTTCTTTTATTGTAAATAATTTAGTTTAGTTTCTCATCTAAGTGAATTATGTTTTTTTTGGGTAATAAATTCTTTAAACTGAAAATCATGTCCATTGTATGGAAGCCCCACTTAAATTTTATTTTGCTTGTTAGCATTTTTTGTTATAGCTGCAAAAGGAATACATCATGTGTGAAAATTTTAACTGTCTAACTAACACAGTTCATGAGATAGAGCCTGTTGAACGACGAACAGACAGTGGAGTCTTATTACTATGGTCCCGTTTTACCCACTGAGTATGGAACCCTAAGAATGCACCCAAAATTAAGATGAAATACCCCTGATATAACCCTAAAGAATGCAATTTTCAAAAGCCCCATAAAGAAGAAATATTGTATTCAAAGATATTGTTTAAATGAGTCCCATATTTTGTTAAGACTACTAAAATATAACTTAGTAGTAATAACATAACTTTAATTACTTTTCTTTACAAGTAGTTGAAATAATTAACAAAACAATGTTATACTAACATTTCATTAATAGACATATTGCTTAGTTTTACTCATTTTGGTCAGTACAAAATAGCAATGCATGAAATATTATTCATGCCCCTAAAAATGGACCTAAACTTGGACTAAAAAAGCCCCTAATGACCCTAAAAAATGCATATTAGTGTTCTAAATTTGGGGCCAGTTGGCAAGCTTGGCTATCACTCTCCCTTCCTCCCTTTGTCTCTCTCTCTCTCTCTATCTCTCTCTATCTATCTCCCTATGTGTTCAGCGAGTGTATGACAACTTTTTTGTGAACGAACATGCGTTTGAACAAGTATGTCTTCCAAAAAGGTTCTCAAATTTGTTTTCTCTTTTGTTTGAACTCTCAGAACATCGTCAATTATTTTATCACACATATAGTTATATTAAATCGCTTTTTAAGTTAGTTCAAGTCCATATTCGATTCAAGGGCGCTACATCATAAGTTCCAAAACAACATTAAAATATTTTATATGAAACGTTACATTGACTGTTTGTTATAAAGTAATAACAAACAGTTAATGTATAAAAACATTATATTATTGTTTCAGATGATGTCCTACCTGAAAAAACCCAATTGATTAAACCAAAGAAAAAGCGCGGTCGTCGGAAAAAGAATCCGGAACCCGTTGAGGTAACGAATCAGATAATGTCGATATTGTTTCCTCATTTTTTACCGACTGCGCGTCTATTGTTTATCGGCCTATGTATATATAGTTATTCTTTTGTGGCGCTCTATAGACGAAACGCTTTCGCCCCTCGCGCCATTTGATGATCCTAACGACAATAGAATTGCCTTAATGTTGCGAGTGACATTAGAATATGACGATTTTGAAGTTTTAGTATGGTGACAACCAGATGCCATATTGTGAACAAGAACTGCGAATAAAAAAAAATACATTCAAACAGCATATTGTCTTTCGGAAATCTTGGTAAATATATGAATGTTTTTAGAATTTTTTCCGTCTATCTCTGCAATTTTGTCTCGAATACACTTAGCTGGGTTAGGGTCATAGTTAATCTCTCACTTGACTTTTTGTAAATTAATGGTTTAACCGAAGAAAGAACCAGAGAGCTGAGTCCTATTTAATATGATCAATTCCGTTACGTATTATCAGAACGGCGTGTGGGAGAACATGACGTCGGCGCGCACGCAGCAGTGGCAGAGGCGGGCGCGCACCCCCGCGCCCCGCTCCCCCTCCCCCGCCTCCGAGCCGGAGCCGCCCCCTCCCCCGGCGCCCCCCACCCCTCCACCCCCGGCGGACCCATCTCGCCCCTTCGTCTGCCGCCACTGCGGCGTCGGATTTGCACGGGAGAAGGCGCTGCAATCGCACTCCAGGGTGAGGGGAAAATTTCTGTATTCCACAGATAATATTCATTCAAAGTAAGATCAATACGACGTCGATACATAATATTATGGCCCCGTTGTGTCCTGTCTCTTGGACTGTATTTTTGTTATTACCTATTTGAAATACGTTTTCGCTCCGAAGGTTTAAATAATCAATTAACACACATTTAGAATTCCACTGTCCGCGTCGTTTATTGCTAAACAAAAAAAAACAAAATCATACTGCAGAATTCGAGACAATATACCGTCCAGGTTCCATTATGAAGCCAGATCTGAAGCCCGGTTCCATTCCGGATGAGAACCGCAAATAGATTGCGACGTTCATTAGTTCGGACACACGCTCAGTTCAAACGAAGTCAAGCAAAGATCGAACAAAAGATCGAACTCAAATCAAACGGACTCTTGCATAACGTAAGATCGAATCAAAGAACGGACTCTTGTTATGCAACGTAAGTCTATCTTTGACCTTGTTCCATCGCGGTGCAGATCCACGGCGGCGACTCGCCGGTGGAGTGCGGTGAGTGCGGCGAGCTGTGCTGGTCCCGCGAGGCGCTCAGCTCGCACACGGCCCACCGCCACCCGCACGCCGCGCCGCGAACTCACCGCGAGCCCTCCTACGACGAGTCCAACTCTGGTATGCGCACGCACACGCCATAGCAACACGCCGTACACTCCTTGTACGTACACACACATGCATAGCCCAACTCGAAACATCACATTGTTTATGCTCATTCACGCGCACACGAGCAATGTACGCTGTTTATTATGCATGTACGCATTAACGCGGCCACTGAACAACAAGCCGTTAACTTATACATTGAACGCGGTATATACTGTGTACTGTGTTTCTTGTTCTATATCCTAATTCTGATGATTATGTGTAATATGTGTGCATGACGCACAAATATTACACATTATATTTTCTTTCGAATGACTTGCGTATTTGTCTACGCAGGCGACGACATGGACTTCCGCCTGTCGCCGATAACGCAGGGCGGTGACCGTGGCATGTTCGACAACGTGCGCGGCCCCGAACTCTTCTGCCAGGACTGCGGCGTCGCCTTCCAGCGCGTCGATTTGCTGAGGCGGCACGTCGCCGCCGCGCACAGGTACCGGCGCCCGCACAAGTCTATGGCGCACCCACGCTAACCCCCCCGTGGCATTACATCGCATCTTTATGACGTTGTAGCTATAAGCGACACGATAGCACGAGCAGTACCTGGGCGGAGCACACGTGTGACGTGTGCGGCGAAAGTTGCACGGACGCGCTGCAGCTGCTGGCGCACGCGGAGGGTCACGCGGAGCGGCATCGACCCGCCGCGCCCAGGTACCACTGCCCGCAGGCCGCCCGCGGACGTGCGCTGTGTTGCACCGACACGCACACAGTTGCACGGACGCGTACGCAGTTGCACGGACGCGTACGCAGTTGCACGGACGCGTACGCAGTTGCACGGACGCGTACGCAGTTGCACGGACGCGTAGGCAGTTCCACGGACGCGCAAGCACTTTATTATATCGCAAAATTATTTATGGTGTTGGTACATCCGATTAAGCATTTAAATTAAAATACTTAAAAACGGGTCCAGTGATTTTATTGCATGAAAATAAAATATTTGTTTTTATACAATCATAAACTGCACCTTTTACTAATTCCAAAGCTATAACAAAAACAATCAAGTTTCAAGTAATACGGGAAAATGTTCTTAACTGAATACTATGGACGCTTTTAGGATAGAAATAGTCATAGGCACTTTCAACTCTCCCCATATGACCTCATATAATGGTGAGCGGATGGCTACATCTTTAAAATGAATAAATCTCGAAAACAAAGTATTGCTTACCCATGATCTCTTAATACCGCGATGACTTGCTTCTGGTTGGAATATGTAAATTCGTAAGACAATAGGTATTGTTTCCTGTATTTTAGATTCAAAGTATGTATGGCCCAGCAAATATTTTACCCATGACACAGAATATAAAAACATAGAACCGAATTTGGATGCTATTTTGCAATCCGAAAGCTAGATATAACGAATTTATTGTTTTAATAACGTTATAAAATCATAATACCCTGTGTGAATTTCTTGTGTCATACAAATACATTTTCAAATAAATATACAGTAAGGTACAAAACTGAGTCAGTATGTTACATTTTTATAAAAAGTAGCATAAAAAAATATTGGATTAATTAATTAATAACAAATATATGATGTCATTAAAAACTAGATTTATTCATTAATTTTATTAAGAAAGTCCAATAGTCTTGAACATACTTTTGGTTTATAATTATCATAAGAAGAATTGGTTCACTTTTGCACCAGTTAAAAAAAAATACTGATTTCATAATTTTAATATTTAGTCCAAAGACCTTTTGCTTTTATAACAGCACGCAATCTGTTCTCCACACTTTTTACAAGTCTTTCACAATACTCAGGTGGAATTTGGTACCACTGCTCTTGAACACGTTCCCAGAGAACAGTAATGTTCGATGGTGGTGCTTTATATTCATTTAAAAGCATGCTCTTCAAGTATGCCCATAAGTTTTCTATCGGATTGATATCCGGACTCTGAGATGGCCTGGGCAGGACCTGAAACTCTTGTTTACTCAACCAATTTTTTACTATTTTCGATGTGTGCTTCGGATCATTATCCTGCTGGAATATTACTTCATTAACAGGGTACGGCATATTTTCAACAACTTCCAACAGATGTGTCTGAAGAATGTTGCGGTACATTTTCCCGTCCATATTTTCTTCGATTTTGTAAATTGGTCCAACGCCATAAGCTGTTAGACAGCCCCACAATTTAATATTGCCACCACCATGCTTCACTGTTTGTATAAAATCTTTTGCTTGTAATGGTTCACCGACTTTCTTCCAGTTCCATTTTCGACCATCTGTACTGTATCTATTAATTTTGGTCTCATCTGACCAAATAACTTTCATCCAATCATTCTTAGTCCACTTAAAGAATTCTTTTGCAAATTTATTTCTTACTTTGATATTTTTCTTAGTAAGAAGAGGTTTTTTCTTCTCGATAACTCGCATATTTGCTTTGTGTAACCCCCGACAAACAGTCCACTTACTCACTGACGTGCCAGTGTCTTGCTTTAAAATTGCTGCCGCTTCAGAAGCTGAAGACGCTTCATTAGATCTTAAATAGTGAATAACTTTTCTTATGTCTCTATGAGATAATTTTTTGTGCGTCCGCCAACATTAATCGGTATAGGAAATTTACATTTGGTTCTAATTCTTTGTATTGTTGATTGACTTACGTTTAATTCTTGAGCGATATATCTTGTCGATTTCCCATTTTTAAGTAGCTCTTTAACACATTCTATAATATTCTTTGCAATCGGTTTCATGTTTGTATCGAAAAGAGATGTATTAAGTTAAACCGTTCACTACGCTGTATCGAATTAAACTGAGTAATAAACAAAGCGGAATCATATTTCTATACTAATCCTAGCAAGCTTAAACACGTTTATACTTGAGCGCGAAGACATTTTTTAACACGGTGCAAAAGTGAGTCAATCAATATTAACTATCTCAAAGTTTTAAAGCGTAGATATATATTTGATAAAAAATGTCAGTGTACTGACTCAGTTTTGCACCTTACTGTAAATTATGGAAAAAACATACTGAACTTGGATCATCATCATGTTCATGTGAAAGAAATCGATAAATCAGTTTTATATAACAATCCTAATGTGAAGTTCACTTTTATTTGCAGACTGAAGAGGCACGGTCGTGGTCGGAACAACACGACGTCAACGAGCAATTCAAGGCAGTTCCCCTGCAGAGAATGCGGTGAGCATACATTATGTTATATGGTGTATATAAATGAATAGCAGCTTGAATAATATGAAGTTACATTGGTCAATTTTTTTATATGAACAATCTGATATACAGCAAAGCACTGCAGATTAAACTTTTATAATGAATGAAAATACTAAACTAAATGTCAATAAAATAGACTGTTGGTCGCCCTCTTTAAAGCAATATATTAAATTATGCACATATAAAAAAATGTTCCAAAAAAGGAATCAGCTATAAATACATTTTTTAACTTTACAGTCAAATTTATGAAGAAAACTTGAAGGGTATAAAAGCGGCCAAACAAATTTTTTTAGAATGTAACCTCAACATCATCATCGTCAGCGGCAAGAAGTCTATTGTTGTCCATAGGCCTCCACCTTAGAACGCCAAAACGTATGACACTTACCCTGGCCCACCTAGAGTGAGGCCTTAAACGTAATAATTATAATGTTAATTTTTGACATCTCTTTCAGTTTCTCTATATCACTTCTGTTACATTATCACTGTATAAACAGCGGCTCATAAATAACCTTCATGTTTCAGGCAAAGTGTTCGGTTCGCGCAGCTCGCAGCAGATCCACATTAGGATCCACACGGGCGAGCGGCCGTACGCGTGCCGCTTCTGCTGGAAGGCGTTTGCCGACGGCGGCACCCTGCGGAAACACGAGCGAATACACACGGGTCCGTGGTTTGGTCTTCAAATCTGACCATATATAAAATATACTTAAAAGTGCGAAATTTAAAAAAAAACAACATTGTTGCATACCTTGATCGCACCGCCATCTCGATTTTCCTTCAACAATGTGCTCAATCCCCACTATGGGGATTCCTCACATAACTTGTCTGTAAGACTGTGGTAGATATGGTTGAATTCATTTTTCTTTTTTTTCTATGAGAAAGTGGCAAGCGAGCAGGCTGTTCACCTGTTTTCAAGTGATAACCGCCGCCCATTGACAATACGCGTATGTGCTATACGCGTAGGTTTGCAGAAACGTTGCCATCTTGTAATAAAGTGGGCCCTGGCTACCTCACTCACCTGACGAAACGCGGAAGTAAACCACTTCTACTTCACGGCGTTCTTGTTCTGTGAGGACCTGACTGACCTGCCCATTCGTGCAATCTGCTTTCGGAACTGGTGATAACTTACGAACGTATTAATTTCTATGTAGGACGTTTCATAAGAACGTGCACGCGTCTATGTGAATGAAAGTATTTTGAATTTTGAAAAAAAAAAACGACACTTAAAAACTATGAATAGATGGTTTACGGTTATTGGCGTATTTGCAGGCGAGAAGCCGTACGCGTGCGCAGTGTGTCCGCGCGCGTTCAACCAACGAGTGGTGCTCCGCGAGCACGTGCGATCCCACCACTCCGCGCCCGACCGTCGTGCCAACGGTACATTTATGCCCACGGCTCATAAGCGATAACTAGTAGAACATCTGCACGTGTACACTACAATTACGCCAACACACGTGGTCGCTATCCCGTCCCGCCCCTTGCATTCAATGACCTATTGAGATTTGAAATCCACCAAGGGCCGGTGTCAATAAGTTAGTGGTACTGTCAAGTGCAAAATTGATTTTAAATCCATTTTAACCACAAACCGCATCCAAGTTGAATATAAGATATAAGTCTATTCATCTACCCGAAAGTTTCATTGTTTAAAGCGAGCATGAAATTAATTATCATCGTGAGGAATATTATTTGTTTTTTTCTTTTTTTTAATGTGAAAAGTTGCGAAACGAGCAGACGGTTCACCTAATGTTAAGTGAATACCGCCGCCCATGGACATCTGCTACACCCGAGGGTTTGCAGATGCGTTGACAACCTTTTTGGAAATTGGGCTCCAGCTACCTCACTCAAGAGACGAAACGCGAAAGTATTTGTCATACTTCCACTTTACGCCGGTCTTCTGTGAGGTCGTGGTACTTACCCGGACGAGCCTGCCCATTCGTGCAACAGCCCAGGCTGCTGCGTGGCTCTACCACTGTTTAAAGGATTTTTTGTAGCAACGCCATATCTTCGTTAAATCTTAATCAAATCAAAGTAAAATCTAAAGTTAATCAATCACACACCATTTTAAAGATTTGATGTTTTTAGATATAATATGGCTAAAATGTAGTTAAAGCCTTTTTACGATTACATTGATAAAATTCTTTACGATTCAGTGATTTCTTTTTTAATTAATATTTCATTGCCCCCTACCTACAAGAGTGTATAAATAATAATAATCACATTTCCTTATAACAATGTTCTTGTATAGTATTAAAGAATAGAAAAATATAATTTAGAAATAAAGAGCATTATATCATCAAACACAATATATAATTGACATTGACAAAAGAATAATTCACTATAAAAAAACGGGGCTAAAGCTTACTTTAATAAAAATGTTATTGACTCATCATATAAGTTGACTCATCATATAATGTTTTTATTATTATATATCACATCAATTCATCTCAATATTTTATATCTTCTGATATAAAATATTGTAGTGTTAAAAATTCTTAAATAAAACTCTTCAATCTTAATTGGAATACTAAATTGTTTTCTCACTATATATTTATGTAATCAACAGGTGGAAATGCGTATTGTTGCGTGGTGTGCGGCAGGACTCTTCATTCCAGTGTAGAGCTTGTTCAACATTTGATACAGCACTGTGACGCCAACACGGCACTAAAAAGACAACCACAGGTACGAGAAATATATATATGATCAGTTCAATGTAGCATTCCCAGTGCGTTTTAAATTGAAAGATTTAATTATACAGTTTTTCAGTTTTTTTTCAGAATGCCAACCCAGAACTGCGAAACAATTTCCTGCGCTTTGTGCGCATTTTATTTATATGATTGCACGGCATGTGAACAAACTAATCATCCGCCATACATATTATTATGATGAAGACTTTTATTTTAGTATTTAACATTCATCCATTTCACATCTTGAAATCAAACCATGTAAATAAGTTTTTTGAATATATTTTCTTGTTGGGAAGTGGGCAAGGGCTTCATCTGAGGTGTTGCAGATGCATTGCCAACTATTAAAAAAGTGGGCCTGGCTACCTCACTGACCAGTTGGAACGCGAATTTATAATACTTTCGTTTCACCCGTCTTCTGTGAGGAGTGCCTAAATGAGCCTGTCCATTCATTCAATAGCTAGTGCGTGGTCCTACAACAGGCTGTTGAATAAAAACTGCCTCCCATGATTATCACAAGCACCATGAAGTTACAATTGCGTTGTAAACATTTTTAAAGGTTACATACGTTTAGTGCCAACCCTTTAGAAAGAGGGCTACGGAGCACCTCCAACACAGTAGATAAATGAGACGCGCCATTCACAGAACGGTCCGCGCAAGTACAAGCGGCGGCGGAAACTGAAGGCCGAGATGGCGTCGCCGAAGCGCGAGTGGGAGGGGCGCGGGGAGCGGGGCTCGTCGCCGTCGGGCGCGTCCGTCGCTTCGAACGCGTCGCGGGCGTCTGAGCGGTTGAGCGCCGCGTCTACCCCGCACCGCGCCCCCTCACCGCCCCGTCGCGCCCCCTCACCGCCCCGGCGCAGAAGACGCCGCGCGCCCCCCGCACCGCCCCGTCCCCGCATGATACACACCGAGGAGCCACGCCCGAGGACTAAACAGGCGAGTCGAGTTTTACTCATTCCTTACAACATCTCTCCCTTCTTAGCCACGTACTTGCGGGCATATCATATCTCCTGTTGTGCAGGGTGATTAAAATAGGATTTTGGATTCACGGGTGGACCTTGATTGATGAATGAACTAAACTCAGGCAGGCACTGTGGTAGGGCCAGTTAACAGCTTTCCACAAATGGTCGAAAATTGAATACGCTTTAGCGTTGCGGCGTAAACCGAAGTAGTTGAACAAAACCTCATTTGACGTTGACTGTGCAGGTGCGCAGCAGGCGTCCTCCGCGGCATCCGGCGGACGACTTGCGCGCGATCGCGACGCACTCCGCGTCGCCGGGGCCCGCTTCCCCCTCACCCCCGTCCCCTTCCTCCCCAAATTCGCCACCTTCACCCGCCTCCCCGCCCTCCCCCTCATCGCCGCAGTCCCCCACCGGCCCTTACAAATGCGAAATGTGCTCCCTCGAGTTCCCCCGGCGTGATGCTCTATTACTACATGTACCCGTCCATATATGACGCACGTGCAGACCTAGGCGATGCAAGGATCGCCAACGTGCACGCGTGTAAACGTATGTATGTATATGTAAGGCCTGCACCCTATGCCTGAATGCTATTGACTATTTAAAGTCAATCAATCTCTCTTTGTTTCGGTGTTTAATTGTAGTCCAGTCTCTGGCTCAGACCAATTATAACATAACTGTATCCAAGAGTATATGTGAAATTTTTTAAACAAGTTTTTAATGTGACCTTTTAATAATGTATAGACATAATGTGTCTTTTTTCTTTGTAAATATGTGTGTAATTCTTTGTAAAAGAGAGTTGAACGTTCTGTGCGAAAGCTTTATTATAAAAAAACATTAACAGGTCCTTAACCCTTTATTCAATATACTCAAGAGAAATACAATAAAGTGTCTTTGTAAGAATTACATACAAGCCATGGTAACAGAATTGATTTGGGATTGTAAAAACTTCTTGTATTCTTTATATGTAAAATTTTAATTTAATAGGTTTAAATAATAAATAATTAAATTGATGGTAGCATAAATATTGACATTAACAATATTGTTTTATTTAAATAAATTCTCCATAATGGTTTAAGAAGGGAATCTCTATGACTACTTAAAACTAAAAAACCGAAGTGCTTTATGAATGTTACAAATATAGTTTGACAATGAAAATGTCATGATGAATGTGCAGTACTTCGGGCATTAAGTCCACCCTTTGATATAAAAAATTGATATGTGTAATACTGCCTCATAAATATTAACAATTTCTTGTTAAAAGAAAATTGTGCCCTTGTAGTTTGTATCCATTGTTGTTAACTTAAAAATAATAAACCTTCAGTAAAAAAAACACATTTACAAATGATCAGTTACTAAGCAGAGTCACGCACTTTAAATTATTATACAATTATTAGGCAATTATTATTATCTTTATTATATGCTTTTCAAATTTCTGTATCATGGCATAGTTAAACAGTGTAATTAGTTGTTAGCGTTAAAGTCTTTCTGAATGTTAAATATGGGTTAATATAAATAAGTTGTACACATAATAATAAATAAATGTATATAATACAGATTTGCATTATGATAATTAAAATAAAAAACAGTTGGTATTGTTATCTTTGGGGAGACAGTTGAATATGGCTGTTAAGCAAATACATGTATTTTACTAATTGACTGATTTATCGATTAGTTTAGCTGTGGTGTAAATTTGTAAATAAAATATATATTTCATGTAATTTAATGTTCATGGCAGGAGTTTTTATTATTTAAATACTGTTTAGGGGGATATAAATTTGGGAGTTGTATTCAACTAGAAAGAAAGTTACAGAATGACAAAATACGGAGACCTTAATAAAAAAACTTTAATATTATTTAAAGCACATAACATATTTTTACTTACTGAAGTGCCATACATACTGTAGGTCGAAATCACTATAATCATTATACGAAAGTAATGTGCATAATATTAGTTGATTTGTGCAGTGCAATACATTCCCTAAAACTGTTATTTTATGGCTTCTTGTAATGAACTTTCTTAAACCGGCTCGAGGGACGTGTGAGTCCTATTAACGACATTCTTTAGTATTTTTTTACAAAAAATGCTAGTTTTGGGATTTCTTACAATTTTCAGTAAATGAATGCTTTTCCTAAAGTATCAAAACAACCTTAGACTTGATTCCATAGCCTGACATTGAATGATAAAAGAAAATTACAAATACTAAAATAAATTTCTTGCTCCAGTTTTATTTACATTTACATTCAACAATTGAAATAGTATCAAATATTTAAAATATATGTTACATCAAAACTTAATATACATCTGGATTGGATACATTATGTTCCTTAATATAGTTAAATGTACCCAACTAGTAACTTGTTTCTTGGCAGAAATTTAATATTAAATTTATGTTTTTTTTTATTATTTGTTTAAATTAATTTCTTCAATTCTTGTACGTCACCACATGTTCTTTATATTTTAATTTAGCTGTAACCAAATGTAAATATCATATATTCATACTTTTAGTGATAATAAACAAATGTATTGATAGTATTACCTAATCTCATTTGTTTTCTTTACTTTAAAAATATATCCCTTCCTTTTCAATTAAGAAATATGCATTGCGAAACTAGATTTTTAATAATTATTATGATTTAATTCACAATTTTTGAAATGATGTTCCACCGATTCAAACGTTCTTTTTTTTCATTATATTGACGTGTCTGACGATTGCTGTTTGCGCTTCCCTTTCGTACCGGCACACGGGGCCCAGGGCCCAGGGCCCCTTACGTCACGGGCATGGCATACGTATTAGATTAAACTATATTAACTATAGATTTTTTTATAGTCTTGGTAGATATCATCTGACAGAAGATAACGGCAAAAAAATGTTTTTGTCATTCCCTTTTTTTACTTTCCATCAGGGCCCCAAAAGTGTGCCCTAGAGCTCCGATATGGCCGAAGACGACATTGAGATTGACTAAAGGTTTGCAGTGTAAACTTGACGTGTGTTTAGTGTTGTCTGGTGGCCCTGAGTCTAGAATACTCCTGTTCTTACCCTGACCGTTTCGATGAATGCGACACAATTCCAGGAGTACAGTTACACGTAGCCCATGCCCGTGACGTGACGTTCGTTGCTTCCACGACCGCCGCCCCGAAGTCCACTCTGAGCATGAGACATACTCCGATTCATATTAATATGCCGGGTGATTTTCAGAATAGATGTCAGTGTCTTATAGATGGTGGGTATACACGTAATGGAATACGTGGAACTTACTCGGGTCTGAGGAACATGATCTTTAGGAACCAAGGAACTGTCGCGCGAGCACAGCATGACACACCACGTACCCCTTCAGTCGGTAGTGATCAAAGAGTACATTATTAATAGTGGTTGTGATGCAGCTCGTCGAGTCCCGGACTTTTCCAGTTCCGGACTCTACGGACCACCTCAGATATGTCATTATTATTAGACTAGCTTCCCTAAAAGTTTGTATCGAAACGACCTTCATTGGACTACTTCTTTACATAATTTATTTTCTCCTAATCTCTTCCTTTTTTCATTAATCTCGAACTTAGGTTTCGATTTGAGCAAAAATATGAAATTAAGGGGAAACCCACAAGTCTCGTTTGCACACTCACTAATTAAAGTTCTTTCTTGTTTCATATTATTTTTATTGATAAGAATTTGTACAGGAGTTTGTGTTGTGGCAGAAAGTTCAGGAATATTGCCTTAAAATAGCAATAAAGTCTATCGAAGCTGTCAAGCAGCAAACTTCAAACAAAGTTCAAATAAATAAATTAAACATAACTAAAAAAATAATAAGTTCATATAAGTTTAAATATAACAAAACAAATAGAAATTTTATTTTGTAGCATCCGCTTTGTATTTGTTTTGGCGATATATCAATTATTGGAAATGAATACAGATTTAAGTAAAAAATATAAAGAAACCATATGTGAATTTACTTTTGAAAATTTTGTCATCAATCGAAAAAAACTATTTGAAAAAGCTTTAGCATGTGCAAAGTATGGTAAAGTCCTTTACATATTGCAGGAAGAACTTAATGAATTACCAAAACTTTCACAAGACCTGAATTCAGTAAACAGGCATTATATGAAAATGATAAGTTTTATTTACACGAATAGTTTAGAATTATTGATAGAAAGTATTTCGACGTTGCCCGATTGGCAAAATGTACCCAGCACAATAATTTTAGATAATTTAAATGGATATTGCAGTAAAAATAACTTACAGAGAGCTTGCGGAATAGTTGCATTACTTTTAGATACAATTCGTAGTTGTTCAGCCTCTTTAAATACAACCTGTAATTTATACATATCAGTTGATAATCAAAGTGTGGGAGATGATTATTGTTCTTTATTACAAGATTTATATAATTCTAAACTGTAATTAATATACATGTTTAAATTAATAAAAATTCATTGACTTTTGTTAATTAATAGTTAGCCCAACAATAAAATAAATATTAACTAAAAAATCTCTTCATAATTTTTTTAACTGACTTAAACTGCTAAGCTTTATAAATGTTAATTACTAACATTTTAAATTACTTATACACAGCGTGTCGTTACCATCGCGACAATAAATGAACACACATATAGGGGATAACTTTTTAAAGTTGTATTAAACATTTAAATTCTTTAAACATCAATATTTACAGAGTTATAAAATTTTCCAAAACAAAGAATATTAGAACACCCTTACCTATAAAAGTGTAACGTAAAGTTTATTTGTAAAGGTCACAAAGCATATGAATGGGTTGAATGAATTTAAAAGAGACAAAACATACTGTTAGAAGGAGAGGCTTGTAATACGACGCTGTGGCGCGAGTTGTATAGGATGTTACAAATTTTGTTTCTTTTTTACTTAAATAGTTTGTTTGAAAAATATTTTTTTTTAATTGTAGATTTTGTTTAACGTTAATATTTTTTTATGATTATTGGCAAGTAGCGTTAGACGTGTGTTCATTTATTGTCGCGATGGTAACGACACGCTGTATAATTACTGATAACACCTTAAAGTATATTTTCCAATCTTAATTTTCAAATAATTTAAGTGATTGATTAAAAAGCAATGAGAAAAAATTTTCTATGCTAATATTTAAAAAGTCATGTTAACAAATCTTTCTTGTTGGTAAGGCCACGCAACAGTGTTTGCCATTGCACGAATTGACAGGTCTGTCCGGGTTAGTACCACGACCTGACACAAGACCGGCGTCAAGTAGAAGTGTTACACTTCTGCGTTTCGTCTGGTGAATGAGGTAGCCGGGGCCCACTTCATTAAGAAGTGGCAATGCATCTGCAACCCTACTGGTGTTGCAAATGTCCATGGGCAGACGGTTATCAATTTACATCAGGTGAACCACCAGCTCATTTGCCACTTTCTCACATTAAAAAAAAATCTTTTAAGATCTTTTCAAAATGAAATTATTACAAAAAATCAAATTATTGCTTATTGAGATTTTTAGCAGCTGAAATCTAGTAATAGT